AGGCAAAGAGAGCTTTCTCCATAGTCGCACCCTCCCTGTGGAATGCCCTCCTGTCAGATGTAAAACAGATAAACAGCTCTACTACTTTCAGAAGATATCTGAAAGCTGCCCTGTACAGGGAAGTTTTTAATGTCTGAGGTTTTATTGTGCTTTAAATATTTTGTTGGGAGTCACCCAGGGCAGCTGGGGAAATCCAGTCATGTGGGTGGCATATAAATAATAAAACAGAAATCAGCATATAGATGGTCATTAAATGAAGGATTATTAAAGAAGCCAGAGCTATAGGGGAAAGGGATGAAAGTCCTAAAAGACTACATTGAAATAAATTTAAACAGACTTAAATATGGTACAGGATGCGGGTAAGGCAGTAATAAGAGGCTTCTTTATATACAACAAAATGCTTCCCAAAAGAAATCAGGAGAAGCCAAGAAGCAAGAGATAATAAAAGAAGCAAGAGATAATAAAAGAATGAATGAAAATAAATGAACTGAAAAACTGGGAAACACTGTTGTAATGCAGACTATTAAAATGCTACAAACACAGTTATCAATTCTGACTCTACATGAAATTAAAATATCCTAAACGGAAAAAGTTTGAATTTGCAAACAAACCTGGAAGATTGTTGCTGTGGCAATTAAAGAAAGAAAAGAAATCTAATGTGATTAACCCACCCACCAGCCACTGACACTCTGGAGGGAAAAAAGATGGTGATGTTTTGGTTTTAAGTGACGAACAAAGCAAAAATTGCAACACTGAGCTGGGTATTTGGTGGCTGGATTGGCCGACCACAGGTGGCCCATCTATCACAGCATCCTGCTCCCAGAGTGGCAAACCTGATGCTCCAAAGGGAACGCCATGAGCAGGATGCGGCCGCAAGACCAGTGGAGGGAGATAGGAGCCAATGGTGGCCTCATCCTACGTGATTTGGGGGTGTTCAGAAGTAATAATAATAATAATTTATTATTTATACCCTGCCCATCTGGCTGGGCTTCCCCAGCCACTCTGGGCAGCTTCCAAAAACAAAAAAATTAAAATACTGTAATACATCAAACATTAAAAGCTTCGCTAAAGAAACCTAGAATAAAATTTAAAATTTTAACGGATGCAAAGGAAAGAGGCGGATTTGCCCTGCCAGACCTTCAGCTTTATTATGAATCAGCAGCTTTTTGCTGGTTGAAAGAATGGCTACTTCTTGAAAACACTGACATTTTGGATTTGGAAGGTTTTAACAATGTATTTGGATGGCATGCATATTTATGGTATGATAAGGTCAAAGCACATAAAGTATTTAGAAACCACATTGTCAGGAAAGCGCTATTTAATGTTTGGTTAAGATATAAGGATTTGCTAGAAAATAAAACCCCAAGGTGGCTGTCACCGATGGAAGCGAAAGCCTTGAAAAAGGTTAATATGGAGGTCAAATGGCCGAAATATTGGGAAATTTTGGAACTAGACGGAGATAGATTGAAATTGCAGAGCTTTGAAAAACTAAAAAACAAAGTGCGAGACTGGCTTCATTATTATCAGATAATGGAGGCATTTAAATTGGACAGGAAAATTGGCTTCCAGGTGGAAAGATCAAAATTAGAAACAGAACTGTTAGAACCCAAAACTAAGAATTTGTCAAGAATGTATAACTTGCTGCTGAAATGGAATACTCAGGATGAAACAGTAAAATCGGCTATGATTAAATGGGCACAGGACATTGGACATAACATCATGTTTGCTGACTGGGAACAGTTGTGGACCACAGGTATGAAATTTACGGCATGTAATGCCTTAAGAGAGAATATTATGAAAGTGATATACAGGTGGTACATAACCCCAGTCAAGCTTGCAAAAATTTATCACTTGCCCGATAACAAATGTTGGAAATGTAAAGAAACTGAAGGTACATTTTTTCACCTTTGGTGGACGTGCCCAAAGATTAAGGTTTTCTGGGAAATGATATATAATGAATTAAAAAAAGGTATTTAAGTATACCTTCACTAAGAAACCAGAGGCCTTTCTCCTGGGCATAGTCGGCCAAATGGTGTTAAAAAAGGATAGAACTTTCTTTATGTATGCAACAACAGCAGCAAGAATACTCATCGCAAAGTATTGGAAGACACAAGAACTTCCCACGCTGGAGGAATGGCAGATGAAACTTATGGACTATATGGAATTGGCGGAAATGACTGGTAGAATCCGTGACCAGGGAGAAGAGTCGATGGAGGAAGATTGGAAGAAATTCAAAGACTATCTTCAGAAACATTGCAAAATTAAAGAATGTTAGAGTGATGTTGGACTGAAAATAAGCGGTTTCCAGCTGTACAGGTTAAAGTTAATGATAGACTAAGATTAAAGATTAGGATTAAAGATGTTTAAAGAAATGGAAATTTGACATTAAGAGGGAAAATTTTAATGTTATATGATACTAAGACTAAAGATCAGGTTTAAAGAAGTTGAAGTTATATATTTCAATATCTTATTAAAGCTAAAGATTGGGATTAAAAAAGTGGAAAAGAAATTGCTGGACAAACAATCTGAATTGGAATACAAAAGAGGGAGGTATGAGGAAGTCCAGAAAATAAGTAACTAAAAAACGGAAATGGAAAAGAGATATTGTTTTTAATTGTTATGTTTTTTGTTCTTTTATTGTTGAATCTTGTTTTTTTTGTGTTTTCGTTATCTTCTTTTTGAGATATGTATTGTGTATGCTTTTCTTTTCTTTCTTTGTTGTTCAAAATTTTAATAAAAATTATTTTAAAAAAATAAATAAATAAAAGCTTCGCTAAAGAGGGCTGCCTTCAGATGTCTTCTAAAAGTCTGGTAGTTGTTGTTCTCTTTGACATCTGGTGGGAGGGCGTTCCACAGGGTGGGCGCCACCACTGATAAGGCCCTCTGCCTGCTTCCTGTAACTTGGCTTCTCGCAGTGAGGGAACCACCAGAAGGCCCTCGGCGCTGGACCTCAATGTCCGGGCAGAACGATGGAGGTGGAGACGCTCCTTCAGGTATACAGGACCAAGGCCGTTTAGGGCTTTAAAGGTCAGCACCAACACTTTGAATTGTGCTTGGAAACGTCCTGGGAGCCAATGTAGGTCTTTCAAGACCGGTGTAATGTGGTCTCAGCGGCCGCTCCCAGTCACCAGTCTGGCTGCCGCATTCTGGATTAGTTGTAGTTTCCGGGTCACCTTCAAAGGTAGCCCCACGTAGAGCGCATTGCAGTAGTCCAAGTGGGAGATACCCAGAGCATACACCACTCTGGCGAGACAGTCTGTGGGCAGGGAGGGTCTCATCCTGCGTACCAGCTGGAGCTGGTAAACAGCTGCCCTGGACACAGAATTGACCTGTGCCTCCATGGACAGCTGTGAGTCCAAAATGACTCCCAGGCTGCGCACCTGGTCCTTCAGGGGCACAGTTACCCCATTCAGGACCAGAAGGGGCAAAGTGCATTTTGGATAGCAGCTCCAGCCCACATTTCTGAGAGATGAACAGCAGCACATTCCACACAAACATCTGGCGCTTATTTTCTCCGAAGGAAGTCCTGTTGGTTTCTTCAGGAGTTAACGTTCCAGTAAGTCTGGTTAAGGTGGCACCCTTATTTGAATGTGTAGTTTGTGATTTGGATACAAGCAGTGCAAGTAACCACAGGGGTCCAGTTGTGGAGTAGGGCAAGCAGAGAAATAAGCTGCTTGCCCGGGAGGGAAAGCACCGTTCCCTCCTCCCCTCCCCCCCCCACACCTGCCAGAACCCTTTAACCTCTTGAGAACCTCTATGCAGGGTTCACATTTCCATATTGCAAGGTAAAAACATAATAAGAGCTTACTGGGTCAGATGCCCCCATGGGAAGCGCACGAGCAGGACCTGAACACAAGACCTCTCTCCCCTCCTGTGGTTTCCAGCAACTGGGATTCAGAAGCCATCATGAGTGATAGCCATCAATACCCCTTTCCTCCCACAAATATGTTGAATCCTTTTTCATTCTTAAAGGTATATCTCTAATCCCTCTTTAAAGCCATCTAAGTTGGTGGCCCTGTTTCCTGTGGAAGGGAGTTCCACAGATTTAATTCTGCCTTGCATGAAGAAGTCCTTCCTTTTCTCTGTCCGGATTCATCCAACCTTCAGCTTCATTGCATGCCATAGAATTCTAGAACTGTAGAGTTGGGAGAAGGTCCATATAGTTAAAGCTGTGGTAGTGATGTATGGAAGTGAGAGCTGGACCATAAAGAAGGCTGATCGCTGAAGAATTGATGCTTTTGAATTCTGGTGCTGGAGGAGACTCTTGAGAGTCCCATGGACTGCAAGAAGATCAAACCTCTCCATTCTGAAGGAAATCAGCCCTGAGTGCTCACTGGAAGGACAGATCCTGAAGCTGAGGCTCCAAGACTTTGGCCACCTCATGAGAAGAGAAGACTCCCTGGAAAAGACCCTGATGCTGGGAAAGAAGGAGGGTGCAAGGAGAAGGGGACGACAGAGCGCGATATGGTTGGACAGTGTCCTTGAAGCTACCAGCATGAGTTTGACCAAACTGCGGGAGGCAGTGGAAGACAGGAGGGCCTGGCGTGCTCTGGTCCAGGGGGTCACGAAGAGGCGGACACGACTAAACGACTAAACAACAACAACAACAACAAAACATCAACAAGAGTTGGGAGGGAACCCGAGGGTTATCTAGTCCAACCCCCGAAAATGCAGGAATCTTTCGGCCATCACGACCCTGAGATTGAGAGTCTCACGCTTCACCGACTGAGCTAAAGAGTTCTGGTGTTAGGAGAGAGGAAGGAAAACGCTTCTATCCAATTTAGCCATGAATTTGCCTAGTCTCCATCCGAAGTGGTGACCGCCCTTTGCCCCTTGCGAAAGTGAAAGGTAACTACAGTATTTGCTGAGAGAGAGCCCTCTTTTTAAAAAGTGGAAGGGCTGGTGGGGACGAGGAGGCTGGGGGGCGAGGCCTTCGGGAAAGAGGCGCGGCCGCCGTGGGGCTGGGCGGTTCTTAAGCGCGCGGCTTCCCCATCGCGGGCGCGTCGGCTTCTGCTTCTGCTCTCGGACCGTGAAACCGTCGGGGAGGCGCAACAACTGCTGTTTTCCTGCTTTGCTGCAGCAACTGCACGGGGCAGAGACCTTTCCCCTCCCCTTGCCGGGCATTTTTGTGGGGGGCGTCCCGCCCGAGGACTGCGTACAGGCGAGAGCCATTCTGGAGATGCTCCTGGCCCCCGAAGAGGCACTAGCGAGCGCGCAGGAGCTGCCGGGCTGCTGAGAACGCGCCGTCGAGGGAACGTCGGAAGGCGGCAGGCAGGTAAATCCGGGGAGAGACGGCGGGGACAGGGGGCAGCCGCGACCCTCCGCTCCCCGGGGAATGGCAGGAAGGAGATGGGTCGTACGAGGGAAGCGTAAGGAATGCTTAACCCGCAGTCTTGTCTGTGTGTTTAAGGCCCTGGAGCCTGTGGAATGATAAGGCAGCGGAGAGCGTGCTCTAGAGCATGTGCAGAGTTTGTTTTCCTCTTTCCCCGAGTCATCACTCACCTGCGCTTTCGGCTCATCTGGGTAGTCGTGAGCCTCGGTACTTCTCTGTTGCGAAGGTTCTGGGTGCCTTGATCAGACGTCTCCCTTTTCAAGGGGGTTTGTAGGGGACATGCCCCCAAAAAACCCCTCTATTGTTTGCATTGTATGGCTCATAAGTCACCCCACTGAATTTCAGCGGCTGTTGCAGCAGAAGCTGAACCTGCAGTCTGAATCATCTGGAGCCTGGAGGGCACCAAGTTGGAGAAGGCTGCTGGAATATGTAGCCAGGTGGTGAAAGAAAGGAGTTTCACAAGGACTCAACTCACCCTTTCAACTAAATGTTTAGCCCTCAACCGTGCAATTCAGTGTGCACCTGAGAATGTGCTGTACACTGCAGTTGAACCGGAGTTAAGTCGCGCAAGCCCTGGTGCCCTAAGGCTTTTCAGCACATCATAGTTTCTAGAGGCACAGCGAAGATATTCTAAGGGAGGGAACAATGGAGGAAATCTAGCATCTTGATTCTGTTTCAGTCTGTATCGCAGCTCTGTGGGAGGGGTGTCCAGCTCTGTCCTCTTGGTTGTTTATACACACCTCCCCCTCCCCCTGCAAAAGCTGCAATCCACTGCTCACCCAGTGGGGGGGGGGGATACAAGTATGTACCTGTATTTTTCTTCCAATAGTTGCGTGAGGAAAGACTAACCATTGGCCTGGCTGCCTCAGAATGTTAAACCATGGTTTATTAAAATCACACACACACACACACAAACTTTGTCCAGAGGTATAACTAGGGTTTCCAACAAACCATGGTTTGTTATTGGGTTATGAACCTTGGTTTGTTTTAACTGCAGCTTGTCATCATGCTTAAACTCAACACCCCCTCCTGAACCAAGGTTTGTTTGGCCAGACCACCTCAATTGCAGGAGCAACTGGAAAAACAACAACAAACAAACAAACTTTGGATAAATAAGCCATTGTTTGTCTGATTGTCTGTGCGGCAACTCATGGTGAACTTGTAGTTTGTCAAACCACAGTGTAGTGTTACATGGAAACCAGACAATTTCCTCCTCCAACACTGCTGCTTTGGGGTGTAAAAAACTGAGCCCACATCTCCACCCAGGGTCTTCAAGGAGTTTGGAGTGGAATGTGCACCTAATATTCTTATTGTTGTTTCCTTAGTTTTGGTATATTTGAAAATCATCTCTCTTCCTCTCTCATAAATAAAATGAAATATTGGTTTGCTTCTGTGACCAAATGGCACGTCACAGTAAACCATAGTTGATGGTGGGTTGTCCTGTCCCCTCAACACACAGAGGAAACAAACCATGGTTCCTAGTGTCAGGCGCATTGCACATAGGTCTAGGGCACAAATTTGCATTAGCTATTGCATAATGTATGAATGCTTCTGCGCAAATTGTGCAGAGTGTGTTGTGTGTGTCATAGACATATCTCCACTGGTCTACCCCCTAACAACTCTCCTGCTGGGTGAAGTATGTCCACTGTGGTTGGTTTTGCTCCAACAGAGCACGAGGTCTCTTAGAGGCCAAGGGATGCTCAGCGCATGGGCTCCGGAAGGCCAGGGATGCTCATGTGAGCCCAGCAAGATCTCGCAAGAGCACTACAGAATTGGTGCACCAACAGGGCTTTGCCCCCCACCCCACCCCCCCTCCAAGCAAGGCAGAGAGCTGAAGAGCTCATACCACGCTGTTTCTGCTTGGCTTACGTGGTGTGGAAAGAGCTTTCAAGCTCTCGGCTTTGCTTGCATTTAACTTGCAGAATTTCAACCAGCCGGCCCCTAGCCACATATGGTTGAAATTGCGCGATCTAAATGGCCAAAAGATTCGATTGCATATTCTCTCTGCAAATGCAGGCGGCTTTAGCGTAACTCGGCAGGTTTGATGTATCAGACAGGTGAGCCCCTGCTGTCACTCCTCAACTTCAGCACACCTTGAAAATATTCCCTGTCTCGTCAGCACCATTTTATTCGAATTGATCTCATAATTTGTACTTGCACCCACTTTTGCCAATTAAAAAATACTTGTGCAATGGTGCTTAAGTGGAAAAATGTGTTGATGCAAGTAGGTCTTGAAAGACCTACACTGGCTCCCAGTACGTTTCCAAGCACAATTCAAAGTGTTGGTGCTGACCTTTCAAGCCCTAAACGGCCTTGGTCCAGTATATCTGAAGGAGCGTCTCCACCCCCATCGTTCTGCCCGGACGCTGAGGTCCAGTGCCGAGGGCCTTCTGGCAGTTCCCTCACTGTGAGAAGCCAAGTTACAGGGAACCAGGCAGAGGGCCTTCTCGGTGGTGGCACCCGCCCTGTGGAACGCCCTCCCACCAGATGTCAAAGAGAAAAATAACTACCAAACTTTTAGAAGACATCTGAAGGCAGCCCTGTTTAGGGAAGCTTTTAATGTTTAATAGGTTATTGTATTTTAGTGTTTTGTTGGAAGCTGCCCAGAGTGGCTGGGGAATAAATAAATTATTATTATTATTATTATTTTTAAAAAAACAGATTTCCTTCTTTCTTTTAGAAAAGAACAACATGCGCCCTTTCCAACTGGGACAATTTCAGGCCACTATCATGCCATACTTTTAAAGTTCTGTGATACCACTTTAGACAGCCCTATTGTATTCCCCAAAGAATTTTAGGAGCTGTAGTTTGTGAAGCTTGCTAAGAGACACCCCCCCATTCCCCTCACAGAACTACAATTCCCAGAGTTCGCTATGAAGAGAGATTGGCTTTTAAACCATTCTGGGAATCATAGCTCTGTGAGGGGGATGAACCTCAGTAATATTTGGACTTTTCAGACAAGCCCCCTGGAGTTAGAAAGTTTGAGAAGCCTTGGCCTAATCCCCTTTTAAAGTCACAAAGCTTATCTCATCGTGTGGCAGTGAATGCAAACAATTAAATTCCCCACCTTTTTTTTGGCCAACGGACCCATTTGGAAACTTCAGAAGGCTCCGCAGGCGCCAGTCACAAAATGGCTGCCTTTAGGCAGGAGCGTAACACCTAATAGCTGCCACATCTGAAAGATCAGGAAAAAAAGAGATTGGGGGCCCAAAATATACAAGCATCTCCTACCCGCCTGTCTTGGGCATTGTAGTTTTTTGAGGGTATATTTACTGGAACACTTGTGGCCACCATAGGAAAGAGGAGCTGGCAGGGCCCCTGAATCAAATTATGCACTGTGGGGGAAAGTCTTAATTTCCTGAGAATGTCCTCCTTCCTCATGCAAAAGCATGATCAGTGCACAGGGGCTGCCTTGTCTGCAGATCTGATGAGCCAAAAGACAAGTTCTCTTTTAAAATTATTTTTAAACCACGGCTAGGAACCAAAGGGGACGGGGGTGGCGCTGTGGGTTAAACCACAGAGCCTAGGACTTGCCAGTCAGAAGGTCGGCTCCCGTTGCTCGGTCCCAGCTCCTGCTATCAGTTCAAGAGCACGTCAAAGTGCAAGTAGATAAATAGGTACTGCTCCGGCAGGAAGTAAATGGAGTTTCCATGAGCTGCTCTGGTTCGCCAGAAGCGGCTTTGTCCTGCTGGCCACATGACCCGGAAGCTGTACGCCAGCTCCTCAGCCAGTAAAGCGAGATGAGCGCCGCAACCCCAGAGTCATTCACGACTGGACCTAATGGTCAGGGGTCCCTTTACCTTTACCTAGGAACCAAAGGTTGACCTGGCTCTCTTGAGACAGGAACATTGTGTAGCAGAAGAATGAAAGGAAGCTGCCTTATACAGAGGCAAACTATCTATTTAGCATCCCCCCCAACATTTCTCCAATGAAAATAGACATATCATCATCATCTTCATTTTATTTATACCCCACCCATCTGACTGGGTTGCCCCAGCCACTCTTGGCACCTTCCAACATATATAGAAACACAATAAAACATTAAACATTAAAAACTTCCCTATTCAGGGCTGCCTTCAGATGTTGTCTAAGGTTGTACAGTTACTTGTCTCCTTGGCTTGAGAGTTGCATAGCTCCATACCCTCCAACATTTCCGTGATGAAAATAGGCACGTCCTAAGGAAAAGGACATGGGTGGTGCTGTGGGTTAAACCACAGAGCCTAGGACTTGCCGATCAGAAGGTTGGCAGTTCAAATCCCCGCGACGGGGTGAGCTCCCGTTGCTCGGTCCCTGCTCCTGCCAACCTAGCAGTTTGAAAGCACGTCAAAGTGCAAGTAGATAAATAGGTACCGCTCCGGTGGGAAGGTAAACAGCATTTCCGCGCGCTGCTCTGGTTCGCCAGAAGCGGCTTAGTCATGCTGGCCACATGAACCGGAAGCTGTACGCCGGCTCGCTCGGCCAGTAAACGAGATGAGCGCCGCAACCCCAGAGTCGGCCACGACTGGACCTAATGGTCAGGGGTCCCTTTACCTTTAAGGAAAAGGCGGAAATTCCGGGATCAAATCAGAAACTGGTATGGCTTCTGTAAATCTGGGGCTGTCCCTGCAAAATAGGGACACTTGGAGGGTCTGATCCAGCTTAGTTTGGTCTACACACTGACAGCTCAGGCAGGGCCACCTGGAGATGCTGGGGCCTCTTCTCCATGCAAAGCTGCTGGCCCTACATTTGCAAATGTGCAATACATTAAAATGCTTAATATTGCACTGTTGTCGGTTTGGGGGGTCAGTCTGGATGATGTCCTGGGTCCCTTCCAGTTCTTGGGGTGCAAATGCTTGTTTACAAAGCTATTGTACTACCAACCTTACTATATGCTTGTAAAACATGGACCACTTATAAACGCCATATCCATCTCCTCAAAAGATTCTATCAACGGTGTCTCCGAAAAATTTTACACATCACTTGGGAAGACAGGCGAGCTAATATCAGTGTACAGTACTGGAAGAAGCAAAGATCACCAGTGTTGAAGCAATGATTCTTCAACATCAACGTCGTTGGACTGGTCATGTTGTGCGGATGCCTGGTGATCGTCTTCCAAAGCAACTACTCTATTCCGAACTTTAAAATGGAAAGCGTAATGCTGGTGGTCAGCAAAAGAGGTTTAAAGACTGTCTCAAGGCAAATCTAAAAAAATGTAGTATAAGCCCTGACAACTGGGAAACACTGGCCTGCGAGCGCTCCAGTTGGAGAACAGCCTGTACCAAAGGTGTCACGGGCTTTGAAGACACTCGAACTCAGGATGCAAGGGAGAAACATGCTAAGAGGAAGGCACGCTTGGCAAACCCACACCTTGATCAACTCCCGCCCGGAAAACAATGTCCCCATTGTGGAAGGACGTGTGGATCCAGAATTGGCCTCCATAGTCACTTACAGACTCATTGTTAAAACCGTGTTTATGGAAGACAATCTTACTTGGCTACGAGTGATTGCCAAAGAGGAAGAAGAGGAAGAGGAAGAGGAAGAAGAAGAGAATCTAACAGAGGAGTTTGCCAAACTAGTCAGACAATTCTCTTAGGACAATGACCTCCGCAGGCCACTTAAGCGTCCTGGTCAGCACCCCAAAAAATGAGCTAGGTTGCAAGAACTACAACTGAGTGGTGGCAGCATCTGGGCAGATAGGTGCCCCTCATCTCCTAGCTGCTAGGTAGGAGAACAACTGCCAGAGTTTTGGGGTGTGAGCTAAGCTGGAAGCAGGCAGGAAGCTGGATACACAGAGACCTGCTTGCTCTGTGCTGGATCCAAAGCAGTGACTCACGGAGAAGCAATATCCTTTGGGGTATTCATGCTGTCGGCCCCTCTTATCTTATGCTCAGTTTGTAGATACAGTCCTACCTTGGTTGTTGAATGCCTTGGTACTTGGACGTTTTGGGTCCCGAATTCCGTAAACCCAGAAGTGAGTGTTCTGCTTTGCAAACGTTTTTTGGAAGCCAAACGTCCATTGCGGCTTCTGATTGAGTGCAGGAAGCTCTTGCAGCCAATCGGAAGCCGCGCCTTGGTTTTCAAACCATTCCGGGAGTCGAATGGACTCCCAGAACGGATTAAGTTTGACAACCAAGGTACCACTGTGTGTGTAAATAAAGCCATATATGCAAAAGACTAGGGACACAGGTGGCGCTGTGGCCTCAATCCTGAGCCTCTTGGGCTTGCCGATCGGAAGGTCGGCGGTTCGAATCCCCACGACGGGGTGAGCTCCCGTTGCTCTGTCCCAGCCTTCCATCCTAGAAGTTCAAAAGCATGCCAGTGCAAGTAGATAAATAGGTACCGCTGTGGCAGGAAGGTAAACAGTGTTTTCATGCGCTCTGGTTTCTGCCATGGTGTTCCGTTGCGCCAGAAGCAGTTTAGTCCTGCTGGCCACATGACCCAGAAAGCTGTCTGTGGACAAACGCCAGCTCCCTCGGCCTGAAAACGAGATGAGCGCCACAACCCCATAGTCTCCAGGGGTCCTTTACGTTTTACCTATACAGTGGTACATCGGGTTACAGGTGCCTCAGGTTACAGACTCTGCTATCCCAGAAATAGTACCTTGGGTTAAGAACTTTGCTTCAGGATGAGAACAGAAATCACATGGTGGCAGTGCGGCGGCAGTGGGAGGCCCCATTAGCTAAAGTGGTGCTTCAGGTTAAGAACAGTTTCAGGTTAAGAACGGACCTCCAGAATGAATTAAGTTCTTAACCCAAGGTACCACTGTATCCAAAATACACTGCTGTCTCTGCTGACCTTCCTTCCGAGGAAATTGAACCCTGAGTAAGTGCCCGGAAAGCCTTGGAGTTTCCCTGCTCAGAGATGGAGGTGGCGTGAAACAGCACTTTATAGCAAAAGAACTTCCCGTTTTGAAGTTCTGCTAGTGCGAAGCCCTGCAAAGTGGCAGGCTGAAGTAGATGGACCAGTGTGTGGAGCGACTTATGACAGTGCTGCGAACAGGGCTTAATTTCCCCGAAACACACAGTTCCACCCCAGCAGTGCCTTGGTCTATTGTCGCAAGTATGTTCAGAGGCACTTTTGGCCTGTTGTTGCATGTCACTCTTCCCCGGCTTCTGACCAGCATTTAAAATTAGCCAGTCGCCAGTTGCATTTTGTGACTGATTGCAAGCAGTTTGAGAAGTCTTGGCGACTGAGACTCAAGATTTAAAATTGCTGCCACTGGCACCAAGGGCGCAAGAGGAGAAATGCCTCCCCGATGTTTTGGGGGCAACTCGCAGCCATGCTGGCCGGAGCTGGCGCGAGTTGCCATGCAAACGTCTGGAGGCCGCCATTGCAAAAAATGCAATGTGTAAAGATCGAAACCCAAAATACGGGCAGGCGGAGGCCAATTGAAGCCAGTAGTTTGTGTGTGTGCTTCTTCCTGTCCCCGGAGAGAGAGAAGAAACTTTCTCTTCCTCCTAACCAACTTCCCCTGCGCCGAGGAAAGCTTATCTCATACCCTTGTGGCGCCGCTTTGGTCCGGTGGCCCAAATTCTGTTCCCTGTGTGCCTCTTGATCCACTGAGTTGAGAGCGCCTTCTGCTTTTCAGAGTCTGAGAGGGGATGTTAAAAGTCTACAGGGGATCATGTCAGCGGGGAAGGAAATGGCCTTTCCCCACTTGCCTCCTATCACAGCTCTGTGGTTATTGTGGTGGCCATGGTTCGTAAGGAGATAATGCTCTAGGGCGAGTGTTTTTCTGGAGAGCGTAAGGTATTAAGAATAGTCTGCTATTCATGATATGTGGTGGGAATGTAGAGAAATAAAAAAATTCTGGGAAATGATATATAATGAGTTGAAGAAAATGTTTAAATTAACATTTGTAAAAAAAAAAAACAGAAGCATTTTTGTTAGGGGTTGTAGGAAAAGACCTGCCAAGGAAAATAAAGAATCTATTTACATATGAGACATTAAAAAATTCTGGGAAATGATATATAATGAGTTGAAGAAAATGTTTAAATTAACATTTGTAAAAGAACCAGAAGCATTTTTGTTAGGGGTTGTAGGAAAAGACCTGCCAAGGAAAATAAAGAATCTATTTATGTATGCGACAACGGCGGCAAGAGTCTTAATAGCACAAGGATGGAAGAATGAGGAAATCCCGACAAAAGAACAATGGCAAGAGAAATTGATGGATTATGCAGAATTGTCCAAGTTGACATATAAACTGCGAGACAAGGACAACTGTGACTTTAAAGAAGAATGGGAGCTTTTTACAAACTAATTAAAAAAAACAACAAAATGAATAGGACTCCTTGGCAGGTTTTGAATAAACACACACAAATTTATTGATTGTTAACATAATAGACAGAGAATTTGAGGATCTTTACAATTTTACAATGTGCAGAGTATAACATGTGTTGAAAAATCAGAGAGAGGAGCTGAGGGAAGTCTTGGGGGTTCTTCCTGAGATGGGGGAGGAAACAATGAAGATGATATGTTTTGATAATTTGTTATGTTGAAATTCTTAATAAAATGATTTAAAACAAAAAAAGAATAGTCTCCTCGATCAGACCAATGGCTCATCTGGTCCAGACTCCAATTGTGCAAGCCGGATTCAAGCGCAAGGGTGTAGCGCCACATGAGTGAAGGCCTCCACCTGAACAAACCATAAGCACAAAGCCAACACTTCCCAGCACACAGAAAAGACATGGGGAAAAGTTGGAGGCAAGATCCTGAAGGGCTTGCTTTCTGTGTGCAGGAAACTCGGTTTCCACTCCCGAATTTTTCACCTGCTGCGCAGCCTCACAACTCTGACCATCTGTGAGGGAAAATTCCTGTTCCTGATAGCAGCAGGAGCACCACCGCTGGGTTAGTCTTTTAAATATTGCTTTGCCTATTTCAATAATGATGAACGGGCCACGGGATTAGCTTGAAGCTTCCAGAATTATGTTGGCTTGAGTTACAAGGACAGAAGAAGAAAGGGTCTGTTTGGGATGCAAATTGGATGCAGCTCAGCTCGGACGGTGAGGGTGCTGTGCTCGTGGATGCAAACTCTCATGCTTATGCTTGCCCACAAAAGCTCACAGTGTTACTTGTTGTTGTTTAGTCGTTTAGTCGTGTCCGCCTCTTCGTGACCCCCTGGACCAGAGCACGCCAGGCACTCCTGTCTTCCACTGCCTCCCGCAGTTTGGTCAAACTCATGCTGGTAGCTTCGAGAACACTGTCCCACCATCTCGTCCTCTGTCGTCCCCTTCTCCTTGTGCCCTCCATCTTTCCCAACATCAGGGTCTTTTCCAGGGTCTTTTCTCTTCTCATGAGGTGGCCAAAGTCTTGGAGCCTCAGCTTCAGGATCTGTCCTTCCAGTGAGCACTCAGGGCTAATTTCCTTCAGAATGGATAGGTTTGATCTTCTTGCAGTCCATGGGACTCTCAAGAGTCTCCTCCAGCACCAGAATTCAAAAGCATCAATTCTTCGGCGATCAGCAGAAGTGTTACTATTGGTTTGCAAAGCCCTTAACGGCTTGGGACCAGTTTACTTGTGGGATATGCCCTCTTGACTGCACAACATCATACTTGTACTGCACTTGCAATAAACCAGTCTTTTAGTGTGGCAGCACCTGCACTTTGGAACTGCCTGCCTCTTGACGCCTTGGCTGTACTTTTCGACAGTTGCCTTAAAACATTGTTATTTAGGCAAGCCTACAGACGTGTCGAAGTTACACGTGTTTTATTTCTTTTTAGCTGCTGTTGATTTTAACAATCTTCTGAATATTTTAAACCACCTGCTTTTACTTGTTTTAATCAGCAATGTTAATGTTTTGTTTTATATCTCTGTAAACCGCTTGGAGATTTCCTTACCATCAAGCAGTACATAAATTTTGTTAGATAAATAAAGAAAAATACGTATTTTCGTCTGTAGCCCGGGCTTAGAATCTCTTCTCTCTCTCCCTCCCTTCTCCCAGAATGGGCTGCATGAAATCCAAAGAAATCAACCTCAATAGAAAAGGCTCAGGACATCGTCAGAGCTTGGGTGATCCGAATAATTACATACCAGACCCCACTAACGTGGTAAGTCTAAATTACTTGCCAGTCTCAAAGAAAAAGTCAGGAGAGATATTTTACAAAGTGTTAAGGGTATTTAACGGAGTGTTAAGAACTTTCTGATGATAAGGGCTGTTTGACAGCGGAACGGATTCCCTCCACAAGTGGTGGACTTTTCCTTCCTTGGAGGTTTTTAAGCAGAGGTTGGATGGCCATCTGTCCTGGATTGTTTAGCTGTGATTCCTGCATTTCAAGGGGCTGGACTCGATGACCTTCGGGGCTCCCTTCAAACTCTTGAAGCATTAGCTTTAAAGGCTGGTATATTTGTGATGGGATAAACTTTTGGGGGGTTAGAGATCACCATTAGAGGAAGCAGTCTCTAACCCGTAAGAGCTGATGCCATCTTCCGTAAGGCCAAGAGAAAAGAGCACACCAAGAACTCGGGCCAATATAAGGTTGAATAGTGGGAGTGGTCCCTACTCGCAAAAATCAATAGTCAATTGTAACAAGAACTACTCCATTCAAAAGTATGTATTCTGACAAGAATTACAAACTCAAATAGAGTTATGACTGTTTTACAATATATGTTAATTTAGAATTTAAATGTATTTTCATGTAATATTTGATACTTCCAGCTGATGAAGGTGAATACATCGAAAAAGGGCTCTGTCCTGGTTTCTGATCCGTCATTGACTTCTGACCTGCTAAATGGTTGAAACTAAGACCTTCACGTCAAATATGACAATGGACTAACATGAATTTATCTCTACTCATAAACTCTTATCTCTAATTCTGTAACAAATTATTGTGTTATACATATCCTTATGAGTTTGAGTTTGTAATCTCTATTTGAGTTTGCAATCCTCGTCAGAATACATACTTTTGACTGGATTACCGTATTTTTTGCACCATAACACTCCCTTTTTTCCTCCTAAAAAGTAAGGGGAAATGTCTGTGCGTGTTATGGAGGGAATGCCTATGAGTGGCATGCCTACAGATTTTCCTCCTCTAAAAACTACGTGCGTGTTATGGTCGGGTGCGTGTTATAGAGCGAAAAATACGGTAGTTCTTGTTACAATTGACTATTGATTTGCGAGTAGGGACCACTCCCACTATTGAAACTTATATTGGCCTGAGTTCTTGGTGTGCTCTTGGTATAGTTAATAACAAGAACTCCATTTTCCGTAAGGCCGGCAGTGATGTGACCTGTCTCCTGAAACAGCTGGAGGGCACCAGTTTGGCAAAGCGTGCTGCAGAGACTGTGGAGCAGACTGAGGATTAGAAATGCTGTCTTGCAGAGATTCTGTTTTCCTGTTCATAAATTATTTCTGTTCTCTTGCATCCCAGCTTGGCCCAGCACCCAGCAAACCGAAGCCTTTCGTACCCGATGGTATGTATGCCTGCTTCTATGGTCTGTCTTGGCGGGAGGGAGACACATAGATCTATGGCCCCTGGCCTACATCAGAGAGCTGTGTGCTGCAAAGACATACGTCCCCTTGTCATCCAGGGGCTCAGCTTTTCTCATCCATAAAAAGAAAAAGGGTAGAGGGACCCCTGACCATTAGGTCTTGTCGTGACCAACTCTGGGGTTGCGGTGCTCATCTTGCTTTACTGGCCGAGGGAGCCGGCGTACAGCTTCCGGGTTATGTGGCCAGCATGACTAAGCCGCTTCTGGCGAGCCAGAGCAGCGCATGGAAATGCTGTTGACCTTCCCACCGGAGTGGTACCTATTTATCTACTTGCACTTTGACATGCTTTCGAACTGCTAGGTTGGCAGGAGCAGGGACCGAGCAACGGGAGCTCACCCCATCGCGGGGATTCGAACAGCCGACCTTCTGATCGGCAAGTCCTAGGCTCTGTGGTTTAACCCACAGCGCCACCCGCGTCCGTTTTTCCACATCCATACCTGCCTATCAACCAGCTGGTTTTATTTGTTTTATTTTGTAACGTTTATATACCAATTGCAAAAACAAAAATAAAAAATCAGAGTGGTTTACAAAAAAGAAAAAAAGATAGAAGAATAAAATCATCAATGAGGAAATTCAGCAACAATAACTTAGCAATAATTTAGCTGCCGGCGAAGTGAGGTTTGTCCCTGCGTCCAGAGTAAACACTGAGTTTGTGTGAATACAACCCTTGCTCTTCTCGCAGGAACAGAGGAGTTTATCGTTCTGGCTCTTTATGACTATGAAGCCATCCACAAGGAAGACCTGAACTTCCAGAAGGGCGACCATCTCAAAGTCCTAGAGAAGTAAGTACAAGACCCCTCTAGTGCAGCTGCTTACTGAGCGAAGGTGGGGGGGGGGTCTTATCTGGGAGTAAGTGTTGGGGGGGCCCTGATCTGCTGCCTGCTTTCTTTGGGAATCTGGTTGACCCAATTTGTTATGGTGTTATGTACTGAGTTGAATAGGATCCAAACTGCAGCAGTCTGATTGGTCCTAGAACAATAGGATCCAAATTGCAGCAGTCTGATTACTCCTAGAACAATGCAGCAGTATGATTGGTTGGCAGGAACCACCCAATCATGCTCCAGATATAAGTGAATCCACAACCTGATTGGCTTACAGTAGAATTCCAGAATTAGCCAATCATGTGCAGCCCATTGTGTAAATAATGTATATAAAGCAGATACTTTGAGGGGACTTTCATTCATTCCTCCTCACCACTATGAGCTGAATAAAGAGCATGAAATCACTTTGCGACTCTGAGTATATTTCACTGGCGACGAAGGTGGGATCCCGCTGAGCTGACTGCCACACACAGCACCGCAGCACCGCCACCTGCCGCACCGCTGCCTCGCACCGTGTATCCAGGCTTCAGCTCCGGGACACAAGGAACTCAGAATGGCAACCGACAGCAGCTTCTCACCGTTCAACCCAGCATCTGGAGACTGGGAAGCGTATGCCTCCCATTTCACCTTCCTCCTAGAAGCCAAAGGGGTCACCGATGAAGAAGACGCCAAGAAGAGGGCGATATTCTTCAGCATCTGCGGAGAGGAGACGTTTGAAATCGCCCGGGCTCTCCTTGCACCTGAAGACGTCGCTACTGTTCCATACAAAACAATAATGGAACACCTGAAGGGGCACTTTTCGCCGCAGCCCTCAGTAGTGGCTCGTCGAAATGCCTTCTACGCAAAGCGGCAAGCCTCTGGGGAAACCATAACTGGGTTTGTGACCTCTCTCCGCCAAGCCGCCCGGTTCTGCAACTTCTCAGAGCTGGAGAACATGCTTCGTGACCGCCTCGTCGGTGGCCTGAAGGATGAGAAGCTGCAACGACGCCTCTACGCTAAGAAGGACCTAACGTTCCAGGTCGCTCTGGAGGAGGCCCTGGCAACAGAAGCTGCCAAGAGGTTGACGCAAGAGGCACGGCCAAGCCTGCCATCCCAACCGAGGGTCCACCATGAAGACCTCACCGACGACTCAGGATCTGACATGGAGGAAGTGCACCGAGTACAGCAGTGCACCCAAGCAGCGCACAGACCACAGCTGCCTCGACGAGAAGGAGGGAACTGCGCAAGCTGCGGGGAAAGTCATGAGAGGAGGACCTGCCATTTCCGCAATGTAGAGTGCAGGCAGTGCAGAAAATCGGGACACATCGCCCGGGTGTGTCGAGCTCGGCCCACCCGATGCCAGGCATCAGATGACCAATCCAAGAGCCCCAGGTCCCGGGGCCCAACACACCAAGGCAACTCGACGGAGCTCACGGACTTCCAGGTATACCAGTTGCCCCACCCCAACGTAGAGAAAATTTATGTAGAGGTACAGATAGAGGGGCCCCATGCCGCATGGAGCTTGACACAGGTTCAACTCTATCCATACTCTCTGCAAGGACCTTAAGGAAACTGTGTCCTACTAGGGGTCCCAAACTCAGGCCGGCCCCATTCACCCTCCGGGACTTCCAGACACCCCCACAATGGGGGTGGGGACCTTCAGGGTGCAATACCGAGGGCGGACGCGGCAACTGGACTTGCTTGTGGTCAAGGGCCCCTACATTAGCTTACTGGGATTGGCATGGTTTGGACCACTGGGGCTAGCCATCACCGGGGTGAATCACACTACCTTACAAGTGGACGTGGACGCCATCTGCAAGGAATTTCCAGGGGTTTTCGATGGGAAATTGGGACAGTATACGGGCCCCCCCATTGCTCTACAGCTTGACCCCGCAGTACGACCGGTCAGGCTCAAGGCCCGCCGGGTCCCGTTCGCCCTGAAACCCCGTATAGACGAGGAATTGGACCGGCTCGTGGAGCAAGGAGTGCTGGAGCCGGTGCCTAATGCCCATGGGAAACCCCAATCGTCACACCCGTCAAGCCTAATGGTTCGGTCCGCATCTGCGCAGACTACAAATGTACCATAAACAAGGCCCTCACGGCCCATGCATACCCAGTGCCAGTGGTCAGCCATGTCCTTGCCACCCTGGCTGGGTCGAAAATTTTGGGCAAGCTGGACTTGGCCCAAGCATATCAACAGCTGCCAGTAGATGAGGCCACAGCAGAGGCACAGACGATTGTGACGCACAGAGGAGCGTTCAGGGTAAAGCGGCTGCAATTCGGTGTCAGTGTGGCACCAGGCATATTCCAGAATCTAATGGACTCCCTCCTTAAAGGGATTCCTGGGGCAACCCCATCTTCGATGATGTGTTGATTGCCGGGCCCACACCAGAGGAGTTTGAGGACCGCCTCCGCACCGTTCTGCACCGTTTCCAGATGGCGGGTCTCAAGGTGAAGCGGGAAAAATGTCTACTAGGAGTGCCTCAGGTGGACTTTCTGGGATTTATGGTGGATGCAGAAGGGGTCCACCCGACTGGGGACAAGGTACGGGCCATTTGTGATGCCCCAGCGCCCAAGAGCAAGACTGAACTTCAGGCCTTCTTGGGACTATTGAACTTTTACCTTTCCTTCCTTCCCCACAAGGCGGCGGTAGCAGAGCCCCTACACAGACTCCTGGACAAGCGGGCCCCTTGGGTGTGGGGCCAGCGCCAGGAGGCTGCATTCCAGGCAGTCAAGGACTTGCTTGTCTCAAACTCGGTCTTGGCACACTTCGACGAGAGGCTGCCGGTGGTGCTAGCATGCGACGCCTCACCCTATGGCATTGGCGCTGTCCTGGGACACCAACTCCCGGATGGAAGAGAGGTACCGGTAGCATACTTTTCCCAGACACTCAATGCAACCGAGCGGAACTACTCACAAATAGACAAGGAGGGGCTGGCAATCGTGAAGGGAGTAAAAAAATTCCATGATTTCTTGTACGGGCGGCCCTTCACCGTGGTGACTGACCACAAGCCGTTGCTTGGCTTGTTTGCCCCCGAAAAGCAGACCCCCCCAAGTGCTGTCTCCTCGCGTCCTCAGGTGGTCAATTTTCCTTGCCAGCTACCAGTATGCACTGATTCACCGCCATGGGAAGGCGATGGGCCATGCAGACGCCCTCAGCAGGCTACCACTACCGGAAACAGGCCCCGACCCAGCACCTGCACAAGAGGTTATGAGCCTGGAGCTGCTTCCCGACCGCCCTATCAGGCACAAGTTGCACACCATTCCAAGAAAGACAGAGTCATCTCCCGGGTCCTGGACTGGGTGTGGAGGGGATGGCCCAGCAGCAGCCCTGGGCCAGAATTCGCTGGCTACACAACCCACAAACATGAACTGTCGGCCCACAAGGGGTGCCTGTTATGGGGAAGCAGGGTCGTTGTTCTCCAGCCCCTCCGCAAAAGGGTCCTCACAGCCCTACACGAGACACACTCAGGGGTAGTAAGAATGAAGGCCCTGGCCAGGAGTTATGTGTGGTGGCCGGGGATCGACAGAGAGATAGAGGCCTGGGTCAAACACTGCCAGGCCTGCCAAGAATCCCGCCCAGATCCCCCAAGGGCCCCAGTCCAGTCCTGGGAGTCCGCCCGAGCACCATGGTCACGCCTGCATGTGGACTTCGCTGGCCCCTTTCAGGGGAAAACATTCTTCATAGTGGTGGACTCCTACACCAAATGGCTGGAAGTCGCACTGGTACCGTCCACTTCTACATCCGCAGCCATCCGGGTACTACGCAGGCTGTTTGCAACCCATGGGCTCCCTGACACTCTCGTCTCAGACAACGGGACTGCATTTACGTCAGGAGAATTCCAAACCTTCACAGCGCAGAACGCCATCCGCCACATCCGTTCGGCGCCATTCCACCCTGCCACCAATGGCCAAGCAGAACGCATGGTGTGGACCACCAAGGACACCCTTCGCCGCATGATGCAAGGGGATTGGGAGTACCGCCTTGCCACATTCCTCCTAGCACAGCACAGCACCCCCCAGCTCAACGACTGGCCGGAGCCCTGCTGAACTACTAATGGGTCGGCGCCTTGCAATCAGATTGGACCGCCTTCACCCCGATAGAGCTCAGGATGAGGTAGTGGAAGGCAGGAACCCCCGGACCTTCGAGGCCCAGGACCCAGTGTACGCAAAGAATTTTGGGGCAGGCCCAGCATGGGTACCCGCCACAGTCACCAGGGTCACTGGCCCGGTGTCGTGCGAGGTGCTAACGGATGGGGGGCAATGCTGGCGCCGCCACTGCGACCAGATACGGCGATGATACGAGCATGAAATCACTTTGCGACTCTGAGTATATTTTATATATCCTGTCTAGGTTGGATCCCCGTAAGTGTTAGGGCCGCTCTACAGGGGTGGTTTTTTTGCCTGCTTTCAGTTTGGTGTGGCAAATCCACCCCCGCCACTCGCACAGTAAGGGGTTAGGGTTATCTATTAGTTCCTTTGCGTTCTTGCTAAAAAGCATAAAAATATGTTTCATATATAATACAGTATACTTCCTGTTGGCTATTTGCAGATTAGTTGCGCCGCAGAAGGCGTGCTGGGGAGACCACACATTCAAGAAACGCAAAAAAAATTTTGCTAGGTTTTAGCAACAAAAACAAAAACTCCTTTTACACTAAATTACAATATATCAATAAGCATGACCCATCCACCAGGGTCCTGTGAGAGCTGCATGCTGCTCTTTATATACCATACCCAACAGCTTAATTACCACAACTTAACAGCACCTGCTATACTGCTTCACGGCTGTAAAACTAGGTCATGTTATTTGCTCTGGCCTTTAAAGAAATACACGTCTTGTGGAACAAGAATGAACCTTCAGATTTAAAGAGACCATTCAACACTTCCATGCTACAAGTCTAAGACACAGAAAGCCATAGCTGTCAACGTTTCCCCTTTTTTAAGAGAAATTCCCTTATTCCGAATATGATTCCTTGCAAGGAAAGGGAAAAGAAAAGGGAAAAGGACGCGGGTGGCGCTGTGGGTTAAACCACAGAGCCTAGGGCTTGCCGATCAGAAGGTCGGTGGTTCGAATCCCCGCGATGGGCTGAGCTCCTGTTGCTCGGTCCCTGCTCCTGCCAACCTAGCAGTTCGAAAGCACGTCAAAGTGCAAGTAGATAAATAGGTACCGCTCCGGCGTGAAGCTATTTCCCCTGGGAACAAGGAAGGATTATAAAACCTGTTTAAATCCATAGCATAGGTAGACTTGCCCCCGGAGAATCCTGGAATTCCCAGCACCCTTTACAAACTGCCGTTCTCAGGTTTCGTTGGGGGGAGCCATGTGCTTTTAATAATAATAATAATAATAATAATAATAATAATAATAATAATAAATTTATTATTTATACCCCGCCTATCTGGCTGGGCTTCCCCAGCCACTCTGGGCGGCTTCCAACAAAATATTAAAATACAGCAATGCATCAAACATTAAAAGCTTCCCTAAACAGGGCTGCCTTCAGATGTCTTCTAAAAGTCAGATAGTTGTTTATTTCCTTGACATCTGACGGGAGGGTGTTCCACAGGGCGGGTGCCACCACCGAGAAGGCCCTCTGCCTGGTTCCCTGTAGCTTTGCTTCTCGCAGTGAGGGAACCGCCAGAAGGCCCTCGGCGCTGGACCTCAGTGTCCGGGCTGAACGATGGGGGTGGAGACGCTACTTCGGGTATACTGGACCGAGGCCGTTTAGGGCTTTCAAGATCAGCACCAACACTTTGAATTGAATGCAGCCATAGACCTTTGAGGCCCATTCAGACAACTACATAGACACGTGTAGGAGGACCCTGGGAAAGTCTGTGGCTCATAGCCCTTGAACCCTTGCCACACACCCTTTAAGATGCATTTTAGCATCTACCCAAGCACAGCATCTTATATCATGCCTCGATTACGTTTTGGCCTTTGGCAAACCTCAGCAGCAAGCGGTCTGCATTTGCAGGGGCGTCGCTGCGGGGAATGCCTCTCTGGGCACCCGTTTTTGAACTTGCCATTTGAGCGTGTGATTGCTCCTCCTCAGTGACAGAAGATTGATATTCTCGACCTCTTTCCGCCCCCCTTCCTCTCTCTTTCTTTCTCTCTGCAGCTCGGGCGAGTGGTGGAGAGCCAAAGCCCTCTCAACAGGCCAAGAGGGTTATATCCCCAGCAACTATGTCGCCAGAGTCAACTCCCTGGAGACGGAGGAGTGAGTCTGCTCTGTGGCTGGGGGGTAGCGAAGGGGGTCTTCTCTGCACGGCGCTTATCTAGGACTGCAATTAAAGTGCCCTTTGTGCTGGGGGTGGGATAGTGAACAGGGGCAAAAGACCCTCTCCACCTAGCCCTGCCAGCTTCCACCAGCATAGAATTCACTAGTATCAACCCAAATGTTGATGGATTTTCACGAGGACTTAAAAAAACAAATAAGAAATTAAGAAAGCGGACCAAAGACTCTTTATGTATGCCACAGCAGCGGCAAGAAACATGCTTGCCCCAAACTGGAAACTGCAAGAAATTCCTACAATTGCAGAGTGGCAGACAAAATTGATGAGTTATGCGGAGCTAGCCAAACTGATGGGAAGAATTTGGGATCAGGACAATCAGAGGTTTCAAGAAAGTTGGAGTAAATTTATGGTGTATATAAAGGATAATTGTAAAACTTTAAAAAGACTGGCAGGATTGAAATAGCTCTTACAATGTATGACAGATAGAAGGTTAAAAAGTAGAATACGCAATATAAGAAAATAAGGGATACCCGCTGAAGGGAGGGAGGGAAGTCGCACGCTCGGCAGAGCTAGAGGTATTTATGTGATTTAATGTATTGTATTGCAAAAGTATGTATAAGGAAAGTAATAAATACAGAATTGCAAACTGATGTGGAAATGTGGAGAAACAAACTAAAGTTTGGGAAAATGAGAAACTGAAATGGACCGATTTGCCCCTGCCAGCTTGGGAAGGTGCGCAGCACATGCAAAGCCAGATCTGGCTTGCTCACCCTCCTGTCTTGTGACTGTTGCCCCCCCAGGTGGTTTTTCAGAGGCGTCAGCAGGAAGGATGCTGAGCGGCAGCTGCTGAGCCCTGGGAACGTGATAGGCTCCTTCATGATCCGAGACAGCGAGACAACCAAGGGTAAGTGGCGCTGGTTCGTGTGTGCATGGGCCAGATCAGCTTTCCCCACAAACAGCTGGACCTGCTGGAGAACAGATGCCCTGTTGTTCAGAGAGGAGCTGCTCGCGCATAGAAATAGCCTGCTGGATGCCTCTGGGAAACCCACAAGTGGGGCAGAGCGAATGTTGTTCAGTTTGCTTTCCTCTTCCACCGTCCAGTGGCGTAGCAAGGTCAGGTGGTACCCAGGGCGGAAAATTTCTTGTGACCCCACCCCCACATTGAAATTTATTTCTTTTTGCCTGCAAAAATGGTTTGACTTTACAGTCATACCTCATGTTACGTTTGCTTCAGGTTGAGCGTTATCAGGTTGCGTCCTGCAGCGACCCGGAAATACCGTAACAGGTTACTTCCGGGTTTTGCCACTCACGCATGCACAGACATGCAAAATGATATCACGCGCATGCACAGAAGCAGCGAATCATGACCCGCGCATGCACAGACGTGGAGATGCGGGTTGCGTTCTTTTTAGGTTGCAAACGGGCCTCCGGAACGGACCCTGTTCGCAAACAGAGGTACCACTGTATTTCATTTTATTTTGCGGAGCCAAAGTTGTGGGGCTATTTAGCTGTGGAGCTTTCTTTGTGGAAGCCGAAGTTGTTGAGCTTTTTGGGGGGAGACCACACACCCTACAGCCTGCACGCCAAAACCAAAGCATCTCTCGCAGACGCTGAGTGCCGCACAGCATTTTGTCACCCCCCCCTGAGGTGGCACCCAGACCGGACCGCAACCCACCTTGCAACGCCTCTGCCACCATCCTGATACACCATCTTCCTTTCCCCTCTCTTCCTGTGGGGCAGTCCCAGAGTGGAGGGCTTGGGCAGGCCCCACTTGTTGTGTGAGCCTCTCCAGCGCAGGGGGTTGAAATTGGGTTGGGGAGGAAGTGCTGGCGATCCAGTGGCACTTTCCAGTTCTCCCTCCTGCTGCTGCTGCAGGACAGCTTGACCCACCTCTGCTTCCTGCAAGCTTTTCCCTATGTGTGACTTGCAGGAGGAGGCGCTGACAGCGACAGGGAGGTTAGATGGCCAGGTTCCTGCCTGGTGCTTGAGGACAAGTCTTGCCCAGCGCCTGAGGACAGGTCCTGCCCTGCCATCTGTACCTCTTGCTTGAGCAGGATGTTCTTCCGCAAGGACCACAGGAGAACCCAAACGGCCACTTGCAATCTTCCCCGATTCCTGGGTGAGTCAAGGCAATCATAGGGCAGGGGTCAGTAGGCTGACTTGTGAGGGTTGGGCTTGAACATAGGAAAGACAGACTCTGGCCTGGTTTGTGTGTAACACACAGTTTAGGAAAATACCGTATTTTTCGGTCTATAAGACGCACCAGACCACAAGACGCACCTAGTTTTTGGAGGAGGAAAACAGAACAGCAAGAGGGATCGCTACGCAGTGAAAGCAGCAATCCCTCTTGCTGCTCTGGCTTCTGGGATAGCTGCGCAGCCTGCATTCGCTCCATAAGACGCACACACATTTCCCCTTGCATTTTAGGAGGGAAAAAGTGAGTCTTATAGAGCAAAAAATACGGTACCTTTTCATGGTTCAAACCCTGCCTAGTGGTTTGTTTCCTGCCAGCAAACCACAATGGGGAAGCCATGGCTTGCTAGTTAACAGACCTTGGTTTGTCTTAACTATGGCTTGGCATTATTGGCAAAACCTACTTGGTGTTTCGCAGCTTTCCAACTAGTTGCAGGATCTCAGCCAGACCTAGCAGAGTAAACGCAGAATCCACGGAAGCAATTGGTGACTTGGCTGCAGACAGGATAGACGAAGCAGGAACCAGGAACTTGTAGTTAGGTGTTTATTATATACAGTGGACTATTTACAGGAACAGAACACGGATCTTTAGCTTGCTCTCTCTGACATGACTCACAACTCCTACACTGACACTGACCCACCGAACTAACAGTTAGTAGGCCATTAATTATCACTCCCTTGAGAGAGCTTGACCAATCATGGAGCTGTCTCCATGCCTCTTTATCACCAGGCAGACTTACTCCTTCACATGACCTTTTGGCTGTCTGCCAAACCCTAATTGACTCTGTGTGAGTAGCTGCACGTACACAATTTCCCAACAGGAATTGCATGTGAACCGTGGTTTGCTTGGCCAGCCCACCGGAGACACTTGCCAAGCTAAATAGGCACGAGGTGAGAGCAGTTGGTAAACAAACTATGGCTAACTTGTAGTTTGCTAAACAAACCACGGCTTGAACCAGCCTCCCCCAGCCTGGTGCCCACCAAATGTTGTGCACAACTCCCATCAGCTGTGTGGCTGGGGTTGATGGGACTTGTAGTCCAAAAATTCAAGAGGGCATACCAGTTTGAGGAAGGCTGCCTTACACAAACCATGGTGCAGTGTTACATGCAAACCAGGTCATTGTGCCCAGCCTGAGACAATGTCCATACGGCAGATACCATCAGTAATTTTATTTGTTTCTCGTTGAAGCTGGCTCCTTAGAAACACTCCCCTCCTCCCATTTATAATGGTCTAGATCCAAAACCCCAAGAGCAGGTATGGGAGAACTGGTGAAATGGTCACGTGAACCTCCTTTCTCAGTTTGCATTCCTCCCTCTTGGCCCAGGTTCTTACTCCTTGTCTGTGCGAGATTTCGACAACCAGAAGAAAATGGAGACAGTGAAGCATTACAAGATTCGGACGCTGGACAGCGGCGGCTTCTACATTTCTGCCCGGAACACCTTCAGCAGCCTGCAGGAACTGGTCAGCCATTATAAGGGTGAGCCTGTGCTGGGTGCTCCCTGGAACACCTCAATGTCATTGTGACTGGCTCACGGTCACCCGGTGCGTTTTACAGCCGAGGGGGGATTTGAACCCTGGTCTCCAGGGTCTCTACTCCAGAACTCTAACCACTACTCCACGCCACTCTCTCACGTATCTGCGATGGGTTCATATCAAGGCTTCTCCATGGTGGCACAAGTGTAACAAAATTTGTGGTCCGTTTGGAGCCTTGTTTCCAAAAGCGCCAGCCTGCAGCCTTGCCTTGGGATCCTGCAGGGTAGAATAACCTGTGTTCTCTTTCAGGGCAAACTGATGGTCTTTGTCAAAAGCTGACTTACCCGTGTATCGCTCCGAAACCTCAGCAGCCCTGGGAGAAAGATGCCTGGGAAATCCCCCGCAGCTCTCTGAAGCTGGAGAAAAAACTGGGAGCTGGGCAATTCGGAGAAGTCTGGATGGGTAAGAATGTCGGAACCGGCCTGTCAAATGATGAGGCTGAGGGTCTCCCTAGTCCTCTATGTTAGTTCCCTGTGATGGCCAGCCAGATGGGCTTCTGGGAAGCAGAGTTATACTGCCTCTGAACATGGAGGCCACATCTGGTAGCCATCTGTTGCAGCCAATTCCATATGTTATAATAATAATAATAATAATAATAATAATAATAATAATAATAATAATAATAATAATAATAATTTATTATTTATTATTTATACCCTGCCCATCTGGCTGGGTTTCCCCAGCCACTCTGGGCAGCTTCCAACAAAACACTAAAATACAATAACCTATTAAACATTAAAAGCTTCCCTAAACAGGGCTGCCTTCAGATGTCTTTTAAAAGTTTGGTAGTTGTTTTTCTCTTTGACATCTGGTGGGAGGGCGTTCCACAGGGCGGATGCCACCACCGAGAAGGCCCTCTGCCTGGTTCCCTGTAGCTTTACTTCTCGCAGCGAGGGAACCACCAGAAGGCCCTCGGAGCTGGCCCTCAGTGTCTGGGGAGAAGGATGGGGGTGGAGACGCTCCTTCAGGTTTACTGGACCGAGGCCGTTTAGGGCTTGAAAGGTCAGCACCAACACTTTGAATTGTGCTCAGAAACGTACTGGGAGCCAGTGTAGGTCTTTCAAGACCGGTGTTATATGGTCTCGGCGGCCGCTCCCAGTCACCAGTCTAGCTGCCGCATTCTGGATTAGTTGTAGCTTCTTCATATGTTCATGAAGAAACCCCAGGAGAGTCTGGAACCGTGCTGCCTGATGTGCTAGCTTTCTAGATGCAGGGTGCTTCTGACACTGGGTCTTGCCAAATAACGCCCGTAGGCTTTGGGGGCCTGTTGTTTTAGTCTAGAAACTGTTCTTAACAAAGCTAAAGAATTCCGTAGCCCATTCCACATTCTGCTTTTACACCGCACCCCGTTCTTGCCTGGAAATCACAGACTGCACAACATCCCTGGGCATGAGTTAGCATAGTGTTTGGGGTCTCGTATGGTCTCCTTGGGTATGGTGATGGAAAGCTCCATTTCCCATGATGGATAGCTCACTTGGTAAAGCATTGGACCCTTGACCTCAGGCTCATGGGTTTGAGCCCCATGTTGGGCCAAAGGATTCATGCATTGCAGGGCGTAGGAATGGACGATGCTCTGTGATTCTGCCGCTCTGAAACAGCCCCTTCTCTCCTCTCCAGCCACCTACAACATGCACACAAAAGTGGCCGTCAAAACCATGAAGCCAGGGAGCATGTCTGTGGAAGCCTTCCTGGAAGAAGCCAACATCATGAAGACCCTGCAGCACGACAAGCTGGTCAAACTGCATGCCGTTGTGACCAAGGAGGAGCCCATTTACATCATCACCGAATACATGGAGAAAGGTGAGACGCAGGAAGGAGCGGAAGGTTCAGCAGCAGCCTTTGCCAACCTGGTGCTCTCCAGAAGTTTGGGGCTACAGACTCAGCCGGCACATCTGGAGGGTACCAGGTTGGTGAAGCCTGTTCCATCCCCAAGCTTCTATCCCCAAAAGGAGGTTTTCGCAAAAGGCACCTGCCCAACAATACCTTTTTCACTCGTCCTTCTCTTTTTTTTTTCTTTTTTAAATAATTTGTTATTGGAAATTTTATTTACAACATAACATAAACCCCCACCCCCCAATACAGAAATCCACCCTTATTAAACATGAACATAACATACAATAAGCATAACATACAACAATACAAACAACCAAATAAAAGACTTCCTTTATCCTCTATCTGGCCTCCTTGTTTACTTCTTATAAGCTGTTTCCTTTATGAGTAATTATTAAGATTTTTCTAATTATAACTTGAATATCCACAAAGTCTCCTGCAGACATTAATTGAAACAAGTCCAGGTATGTATTTTAGGGCACTGTTTGGTGAAGTATTCTCTGCATTTCCCCCATGCTTTTTGAAACTCTTGTCTAGTGTGATCTCAAATTGCCTCTGTTAATCTAGCCAATTCAATATACTCTAACAGTTTATCTTGCCATTCCTTTTTTTTCACTCGTCCTTCTCTGTTTTCAGCCTTCTCATCACAAACAAGAAGGCTAGAAACTGGGAACATTTTTTTAAAAGAAACATGAAACCAGAGTTCCTTAAGAATCGGGGTTATTGCCTTGTTTTTGGCAGCAGGCAGCCAGCATCTACAGGGCTGGTACAATTTAGCAGCATTCTGCGGAGGTGCTGTCAGCTCCTAGCACACGAGTGCCACATGCCAATGAGGTTGCACAGGATGCAGCACGCAGCTGGGTGGAAGAGATAGCTGAGTGGGGAGCAGCATGAGAACGTGGAGGAAGAAGATACTAGAATTGCAGAGTTGGAAGGGACCCGAGGGTCATTTAGTCCAACCCCCTGCAATGCAGGAATCTCACCTAAAGCATCTCTGGCAGGTGGTCACCCAACCTCTGCATAGAAACCTCGAAGGAAGGAGAGTCCACCGCCTTCCAAGGGAGTCCGTTCCGCTGTCTGACGGCTCTTGCCATCAGAAAGTCCTTCCTGATGCGTAGCCAGAAACTCCTTTCTTGTAACTTGAATGCATTGGTTCAGGTGCTGCTCTCTGGGGCAGCAGAAAACAGGTTTCTCCATCTTTCATGCAACAGTCCTTAAGATAAGAATAAGAATAAGAATTTATACCCCGCCCTCCCCAGCCAAGACCAGGCTCAGGGCGGCTAACACCAGATATAAAACAATTGATTGAAATACAACTTTAAAAAACAAGATTAAAATACAACATTAAAATGCAGCCTCATTTCTGCAGAAACTCAAAAACTTTTTGGGGGATGAAAACGTCAAGTCTTCACCAAGGCTAACTATCCAGACTGGTCCTATGTGGACCAGAAAAAAGCCAGCAAAGTCCCCAAATAGGAGTTCCATCACAGGAGAAAGGAAAACGGAAAGAGGGGAAGGGGATCAAGTTGATTCCAAGCCAAAGGCCAGGCGGAACAACTCTGTCTTACAGGCCCTGCGGAAAGAAATCAGATCCCGCAGGGCCCTGGTCTCATGAGACAGAGCGTTCCACCAGGCTGGGGCCAGTGTTGAAAAGGCCATGCCTCTGGTTGAGGCTAGTCTGACTTCCTTAGGGCCCGGGACCTCTAAGGTGTTGCTATTTATGGACCTTAAGGTCCTCCGTGGGGCATACCGGGATATTTGAAGTCAGATATTATGAAAGTGCCTTTAACTCTAAGATGGGAGTAAGCCCCTCTGGAACAGAGGAGATTACTCCAGAGTCCAGATGCAGAAGACTCGGCTGCAGAATTGAGAGGCCACCTTACCAGATGTCCCTGGAAAACTCTTTGGTGCTAATTATGTTATAGGGCAGCTTTTCCCAACCTGGTGCCCTGCAGCCGTTTTGGATTACAACTCCCATCAGCCCCTGGGAAAGGCTGATTATAGGGAGACAGGGTGGGGTAAGCCCGTGTCTCTGAGCATCCAGACAGCCCATGTCTATGTGAGCCTGGGAACAAAGTATGTGCTGCCCCACTGAGCAATGGGTCCCTTCCTAATGGAAGATCTGGCCCCCTCTGAAGAACACAATGGACTGCGCCCTGATGGGTTTCTTTCCTCTCCGTAGGTAGTTTGCTGGATTTCCTGAAGAGTGATGAGGGTCACAAACAGCAGCTCCCTGTATTGATAGACTTCTGTGCCCAGGTGAGTGTGACCTGAAAAAGAGACCAGCTACTGGATCAGGCCAAGGGGAGCTCATCTAGTCTAGCATCCTTTTCTCTCTCTTTCTCTCTTTTTAAAAAAATGTATTCATTTTTCATTTTCATTCATTACATACATCTCAAATTCTTAACGTTTACTATATATTCCTCCCTCCCCTCCAAGACTTCCCCCAACTTGCGTTTCTGGTTTGTTTCTCTTTTCATCCACTTTGCTATCTCTCTACAGAAAAGGTTATTAATAACATAACATCAAACCTATAAACCTAAAAATAAAATTAACTACATCATCTTATTTCACCATCTTCTAAACATTTTCTGATGCTAATAATGTGAATGTTTATTTAAATCCTGCCATCAAGTCTATTGACTTTCTTTGTTTCTGCAAATATAATATGAATGGTTCCCAATCTTTTTCAAAGTCTCTGTTGTCTTTTTCTCTTAGTCTTTCTGTCATTTTTGCCAGTTCTGCGTAGTTCATCAACTTCTCTTCCCATTGTTCTTTAGTTGGTATTTCTCCAGGCTTCCAATTTTGTGCAGTCAACATTCTTGCTGCTGTAGTGGCATACATAAATAAAGTCCTCATTTCTTTTGGTATGTCTTGACCTAAAATACCTAGTATAGCATCCTTTTCTCACAGTGGCCAACCAATGCTTGTGACAAACGCACAAGTAGTACTTGGATCTCTCGCCTCCCGTGGTCTCCAGGATTTAGAAGCCTAGTAGCCATTGATAGCCCTCTTCTCAATGAATTTGTCTCATCCTCGTTTAAAGTTGCTGGCCATCCCTGCCTCCAGTGGCAGCAAGTTCTGTAGTTGTCAGGAGTGCGTGCAGGAGCCAGGCCCTGTGACCAATAGGACTTTGCAGGACCTGGGCCTTCCTGAGTTTGTTCTAGAGAGGCAAGGCGCGGCCACACAGGTGAGGCCACTTGGTAACTCACAGCACCTGGTGCCAAGAGCTGGGAAGGGATATAAGGTCAGCATTTCTTTGCCACAGCAACACGCTTCCTGCCTTGCTGTGTTTGGCTTCTTGCTTCCTGATCCTTGAACCTCAGCTTCTTGACTCCCTGCTTCTCGACCCTGGGACCCTTGACCTCGTGACTCCCTGCTTCCTGATCCTTGGACCCCTGACTTCGTGACTCCTTGCTTCTTGATCCTCGGACCCCTGACTTCGTGACTCCTTGCTTCTTGATCTTCAGACCCTTGACTTTGTGACTCCTTGCTTCCTGACCCTCGGAACCTTGGCTTCTTGATTCCCAGTTCTCTGACCCTTGGACTCTTGGCTTCCTGGCTTCTGGACCCCCGTTCCTGCTCCCACCCCGCCATCTTGCCCCCGGTCCTGACGTCCCCTGCCGGGCCTTCGATCGCCCGTGAACAGGACCGTGACAGTAGTTTTAACTATGCACTTTATGGGAAAGGGCTTCCTTTCTTTCCTCCCAAGTCTGTCCTCTCATAACTATAGACAAGAGACACTTTTTAAAGCCTGACCCAAGGTGACTCAACCCAGTGGAGTCTCTATTCCCTCTCTGCAGGGCAGGGTAATCCCAGCTAGAATTCCACACCTGTCCTCCATCCTGGGCAGCCAAGGAGCTCCTGCAAAACTGCGTAGAATCATAGAATTGCAGAGTTGGACCACAAGACTCGTCTAGTCCAGCAGTGCAGGAATGTTTCACCTGACATGTGGCTGAAACCCAAGACCCTGAGCTTAAGAGTCTCATGCTTTACAAACTGAGCTATTCCAGCTCTTGAATTTATTCAGTTGACGCTAAACTTGTCCAGCTACTAAAAAGTCCGCAGTGCTGCAGCCTTTCTTTATAGGGTGTCAATCATTTTGGGCACCCCTTTCTGAACCTTTTACAACTCTGCAATATCCTTCTGGACAGGGGCAATGCCACCCCACCTCTACCTGAGCCTCCCTTACCTGGTTTGTGTTGTGGCACTTGCAAAGTGAAAGTGGCAGTGGCAAGTTCTGGTGAGTTCTTGCCAGAAGCCGGTACTGCTACTGGCGCCAGCCTGGTGGTGTGGCGCTCTTGGGCTTCTGCCCTGCTTTTTAAGGCCAAGTGGCCAAAACTGTGCAGAGGATTCCAAATGCAGTCGTACCCTAGATTCGTACGACGGCAATATGTTTTGCTCACTGCCCAAAACAACTCTGCGAGCATTGTTCCACCTGTTCAGGGCCAAAGAAGCTGTCCAACGGGTCTTTAGGTGTGTGTGGGTCATTGGGCCATGCCAGCCGCAATGGCTGCTGGGAGCTGGAGTCCTGCAACATCTGAAGGGCCACAGGTTCCTTCCCCTGTCCCTGCATGAGCAACCCTGCAGATGTGAGAGTTCCTAGGCTTAGAGACCCTCCAGTGGGTTCCTAACACCAGGCACCACTTCGTTGGTGGAGTTTCATTGCATTTAATATCTAGGGATGTGAGAGCGTTGGGCCATGGTTGTGAGAACCCATTGTTCCCCGCAGTGATGCAGATCTGAATATGCAAATCTGCCTAGTGTGCTTTGTTTGTTTGCATTGACTCCTAAGGAAGTAGGAAACCTGGAACGGGTCCAAGGGCATTTCCTTCCTCTGGGTCTCCCTCCGCTGCTGCGGAACAAGGAGGCCTTTGTCACAACGATCTGTGCTCTCCCTCCCTCCACCAAAACCAGTCCATCAAAAGAGCAGGTGTGCCCAGGGTGCCATCCGTCTTGCTTAGGTTGGTGGGGCTGACAGTTAACCCCTTGGCTTCAGGTCTCTGCAGAGCCCCAGAGACATGTTGACCGATAATCGCTCAGCGCGAATCTCCAGACCAGGAAGTTTTGAGTCAAAATCTTGCCTCACCCTTAACATTACATGGTTTTCGACAGGGTGTAGAATTATAGAATTGTAGAGCTGGGACCCCGAGTGTCATCTAGTCCAACCCCCTGCAACGCAGGAATCTCAACTAAAGCATCCATGACAGATGGTCACCCAACCTCTGCTTAAAAACCTCCAAGGAAGGAAAGTCCACAACCTTCCAAGGGAGACTGTTCCACTGTTGATCACCTCTTAAGGCCAGAAAGTTCTTCCTGATGTTGAGTCAGAATCTCCTTTCTTGTGACTTGAAGCCATGGGTTCGAGTCCTACCCTCCAGAGCAGAAGAAAACAAGATTGCTCCTTCTTCCATGTGACAACCCTTAAGATATTCGAAGATGGCTCTCATATCGGCTCTTAAGTCTCCTCTTTTCCAGACTAAACATACCCAACTCTCTCAACTGTTCCTTATAAGGCTTGGTTTCCAAACCCTTGATCGTGGTCGCCGTCCTCTGCACTCGTTCAGCTTGTCAACATCCTTCTTAAATTGTGGTGCCCAGAATTGGACACAGTATTCCAGGTGTGGTCTGACCAAGGCAAAATACAGTGGTACTATTACTTCCCATGACCTGGACACTATACTTTTGTAAAACAGTGTTCGTGTTTTTTGCTGCTGCATCACACTGTTCACTCTTGCTAAGCTTGTGGTCTACTAAGATCCCTAAATCCTTTTCACATGTACTACTGGCATCTTCGGGTACAAGTAGTTATACTTTCAACTGGGTTTATAACGCTGTTTCTGGGTTTGGAGTTGCCTTATTTGACTCTCACCATAGTTGAGAATGAACATAGTTCTTTGGGGTTTGGACGGTACAGCAAGCTGCAGTTGACTGAAGTTTTGGACGTACTCATGACTGCACTGTGGAAGAGAAGGTGTGATTTATCAACCAGCCTATGATTCCTCAACCTCACCTTACAGGGTTGTTGTAACGGTAAAAGGGTGCAGTGGGGAGAACCATGTGCCCTTCCTTGTACGCCTCATAATAAGTGAAACATAATAAGTGAAAAGGAATCCTGCCTGCCGCAATGCTCATCAGCATCACAAATCTCTCTCCTTCACTTGCCCTTCTGTAAATTATTATTTATTTCATTTATTAACCGGCTTCCCACGAGGCATCCCAAAGCAATTTAATATAGCAACGTATATACAACTGTTGCGTACTAGAAGGGTCAGCCAGTGTCTTGATTTGCTGTTCTGTTGTGGAGACTGCATTGGAGGGGCGGGGCATGAGACTTGTACCATTAACATAGTCTGGAAGCAAATTCCTCCTCCCAAAGGGGGGGATTTCGTGCACCTGCAAGAAAACTTGTTTAAGGAAAGCTGCAGACATTGTAGGCCACCCTATATTTCATTTCACAGAACACACTTGCCAGAGACTGCTGCAAAGATTTACTGGTGCTGTGGAGGGATGTGAACCCGGTTCTAAGGGTGTGTCTAGTGAACCTCAGCACACCAGTCATTTATGTTGTCCCAACCTCCCCAGGCGCTGCACTATCGCTCCCCTTACAATAGATCTCTCTCTCTTTACTGCAGATTGCAGAAGGCATGGCTTTCATTGAGAAGCGAAACTATATCCACCGGGACTTGAGAGCTGCCAACATCTTGGTCTCGGCCATGCTGGTGTGCAAGATAGCCGATTTTGGCTTGGCTCGGGTGATTGACGACAACGAATACACAGCCCGGGAAGGTGCAAAGAGAGGCTTTTTTTATGCTTAGTTGCACAAGCCAGCCCCCCCCCCCCCCCGCTTTTGCCCTGTCAATCTTTCTGTGTACAGTATGCATTAGGGTTTAGACACTTAATAAGGATGGAGGGCAGAGAAATTTCAATCCAGTTTGCACTGAAAGGCAGACCTACCCAATTTGCACTTTCCAAAGCAACACGCGAACCAAAATTCACACTTCTCCGAATTTTGCAAGGCTGTTCTCCGGAGTACTCTGAACAATCACAGGCAACACGCGGCTAATAATGTTCTAACAAAACATTTGTAAGATGTATTCTTTCACAATTCTTAAACAGAAAAAATGTAGTAAGAGTCACAAATAATAGAAGTCAATCAATGTTGCATGAACAAAATTAGAAAATGTAGTCAATCAGTATCAAAGAGGCAAACAAGCCTTTCAGCAGTCACAATCCTATAACCGTGCAGTAATGGATGCTCCAAATGTAGCAATTCTTAAACAGAAAATATGTAATGGAGTCACAAATAATAGAAATCAATCAATGTTGCATGAACAAAATTAGAAAATGTAGTCAATCAGTATCAAAGAGGCAAACAAAGCCTTTCAACAGTCACAGTCCTGTAACCGTTCCAAACGTAGAACAGTTTTTCCGGATGATGAACTGTTTTGATAGTCACTCTTCATCAGCGAATAAATGGTCCTAACAGGTACAGTGGTACCTCAGGTTACATACGCTTCAGGTTACAGACTCCGCTAACCCAGAAATAGTGCTTCAGGTTAAGAACTTTGCTTCAGGATGAGAACAGAAATCGTGCTCTGGCGGCGCGGCAGCAGCAGGAGGCACCATAGCTAAAGTGGTGCTTCAGGTTAAGAACAGTTTCAGGTTAAGTACGGACCTCCGGAATGAATTAAGTACTTAACCTGAGGTACCACTGTACATCAAGTAGCCAAGGATCAGTACTCACTTAGAAGTGTATTAAGCTGATATTCTACGGAATAAACCCGCATAGCTTATTACTTCCTTTTTCTCTAACCTAAAAAGTCCTGAACACTGCATCCAGAGGAGAATCGCTTCATCCACTTTAGGATGCAGCTTCACGAACCTTTAGGAGCCAGATTTCCTTGACGTAAAAGACCAGTAGCACAGGCCCTTGCCTGTGTTCACAATGCAGTTTGGGAGGCAAACGTGTCATCTGCTGATAAGCCACTTCTTGCTGCGCATACCATGTCATCTTTCTGAGCTTCACCTTCTTTGTTTTGACCATCCTGGGCAGGTGCCAAGTTTCCCATCAAGTGGACTGCGCCCGAAGCCATAAACTACGGCTCCTTCACAATAAAGTCTGACATCTGGTCTTTCGGGATCCTCCTGATGGAGATCATTACCTATGGGCGGACCCCATACCCAGGTGCGTAATAACAAAAGTCTCTTTGCAGACACCCACACCAAACATTTAATGCATACGGCTTTTCCTTGGAACTGTACTTTGTTAAGAGTGAGTTTGAGGGGTAAAGCTGCAGTTCTCAAGATTCTTGGGGGGAAGCTGTGACAATTAAAGGGCTATCAATGTTCTTTAGATACAGTGGTACCTCTAGTTACGAAATTGATTCGTTCTGGAGGTCCGTTCTTAACCTGAAACTGTTCTTAACCAGAGGCATGCTTTCGCTAATGGGGCCTCCAGCTGCCGCTACGCCACCGGCACACAATTTCCGTTCTCATCTTGGGGCAAAGTTCTCAACTCAAGGTAACTCTTCCAGGTTAGCGGAGTTTGTAACCTGAAGCATTTGTAACCTGAGGTGTTTGTAACTCGAGGTATCACTGTATATGGTGTGGTTTTGATGTTCCAAGTCTCCAGATTTTTTTGGCTCGTGGCTGTGAAGAGTAGGGATTCTTGGTGGAAAGGAGGAGCAGGGGGTGGTGATGGTCGCAGAGAACCCCACGAGAACTTTAAGGGGCAGCTAGTTATCCACCCTTGGTAGAAACAAACGTCCAAATAGTTCCACCAAGAGATCTTAGTTTAATAAGAATAGCATCCTGGTCAACCTTCCAAGAGGAATTAGCTGGGAAATAAACTGCTTAGGTAAGAAAACGATTTAACCTCTTGGATGGGGCTGTTTTAAACTGCCCAATTAAATATGGGAGATTGTTTACCAAATACAACCGTGTGCCCTCAAAAATCTCTGTTTGGCAGCTTTGTATGTTCATATTTGCATGCAGTGCTCCAACTTTCCTGCTTTCAGAAGGGATGTTATTTGGTGAGCAGATGGGTCCAATTTTACTCCATTTTTTAGTGGGCGATATCCAATGTACTTGTTTCCATTAGCAGAAGGACTTCACTAGCACATCCAAAATTCTCCCCCCTCCACCCCCGAATGTGGGCTGTGCCCTCCTCAAATCTGCTCCAAAGGGTTGGGGGCAACTCCTAGAACAGATTTAGGAGGCACTTAGGGGAAGGAGAAGGGACGCAGATGGCACTGTGGGTTAAACCACAGAGCCTAGGACTTGCCGATCAGAAGGTCGGCGGTACGAATCCCCGCGTCGGGGTGGGCTCCCATTGCTCGGTCCCAGCTCCTGCCAACCTAGCAGTTCGAAAGCACATCAAAGTGCAAGTAGATAAATAGGTACCACTCCGGCGGGAAGGTAAACGGCGTTTCCATGCGCTGCTCTGGTTCGCCAGAAGCGGCTTAGTCATGCTGGCCACATGACCCGGAAGCTGTACGCCGGCTCCCTCGGCCAATGAAGTGAGATGAGCGCTGCAACCCCAGGGGAAGGAGAGGAGAAAGGTTCAAGTGCACAGGGAGAAATCTTTGTGCTGATGGAATGAGTCACATAGCTCTACTTTGGATGCAACCCATGGCTTCTACAAGTCCATAGGAACCTATGAATGCTGTCAGAGCATTGGTCTATCTACCTTAGCATTGCCTACAATGACTGGCAGCGTCTCTCCAATATTTCAGGGGTGGGATCTCTCTCAGCCCAACCTGGAGGTGCTGGGAACGGAACCTAGGACCCTCTGTGTGCAATGCAGGTACACAACCACTGAGCTATGGTTTCTCTCCCTTCCGTTTGAATTCAGGGATGTCGCACCAGGAAGTGATCCGTGCCCTGGAGCGCGGCTATCGGATGCCACGCACGGAGGGCTGCCCAGAGGAGCTCTATGAAGTGATGATGCAGTGCTGGAAACGCAAGCCTGAGGACCGCCCGACGTTCGAGTACAATCAGAGCATCCTGGAGGACTTCTTCACTGCCACCGAAAGCCAGTACCAGCAGCAGCCTTAAAGGAGACGGAGGACCAGACAGCAGAGTGGGACAGTCACTGCAGTACGATGCTTGAGAGAGAGCCAGTGTTTGATGTCAAGATCCGTCTGTGGCTTAGGCAAAAGTAGCTGCCTCCATCTTGGGAGCTTACAAGGAACATTTTATTGACTGCTGTTGGGAGACGGGACTGTACTTGATGGACCCTCAAGACAATCCAACATAAGCAATTGTTGTGCTCATAGCTAAAATGCCTTTTAAAAAACTGTATTCAGTAGATGCCATTTCTGCTGAAGCATGCCATGCACTTTTTGTTGCCTGCTGGAAAACCACTGGCTGTTGCTCTAGAAGTATCTGGTGTGTGTGTGTGTGTGTGTGTGTGTGTGTGAGAGAGAGAGAGAGAGAGAGAGAGATTGTCATTTGACGGGGGTGGGATGCGAGAGAATCTGACTAATTGACCAGGCAAATAATATTATAAATATACAGTACCATTACTTACAGGCATTCTAACTAAGCTTGCCACCTCTTTCTTAATGCAAGGGATGGTTGCTTATTTAGCAATATGAAATTTTAATTCTGGATAGAAAACTGTTCCCTGAAATAAACCACAGATGGTGAGCCTAATTGGCTTATATTGATCGCGGGAGCCCTAGTAGCAATGAGATTAAATCCTAAACTATTCTGATCAATGTATTATTTACAGGTTATAATATTATAGAAATATCAGTGTATGCCAACAATATTCAAGGGAACAAACTGTAATTCCTGGTTTTTACTTGGAGTGCCAGGGGAGGTCTGACTGTTACAGACAAAATGCACGCATAATGAGAAGCAGGTTTATTTTTTAATTATGGTTGCAGTTGTGTGTGTTTGTGAATCTAGATTCCTGAAGGTAGGAAGGAGTTGCTGAGAGTACTCTATCCTATCTTTCAACTTGAATAAAGCCATGATGGCATTAAAAGGGCACTGAAAAGCTATCCTTAGATTCATGGAATACCTGACTGCAGTCAAATATCGGGCAACTCTGCTGCCAGTCAGAGTAAGCAATATGCAGCTGGGTAGAGAAACAGTCTGCCCTGGTATAAGGTGACTTCCTACAACCATTACAGGTGGACTGGACATTTGTATGGTCTTTCTTGTGCTGAACCAGGAGTTTGCAAGACTCTTGTGGCTTAGGCACCCTTTGATCCTTCTGCAAGAGAAAGGGCACTAAGACCACATCTGTTCACAAGAGAAGGACTGCACTGTTTTCACAGTTGCATTTCAAGTTTGGGGCATATGTATTTTTATAGAAAATTCCCAAACCAGGTAACAATAAAACAACATAGAAAATAGAACTCCTGAAACATAAGATTGAAAGAATGAGATTTAAAAAAAAAAAAATATGGCAGAGAAGTAGCATAAGGAGCAATAATGGGATCAGTGCCAGCTCAGTGTATATTTGGAAAAGATGACCTCAGTAGATCTCTTCCCCAAGATGACCCACCTCCTTAGGGCTGTCCCCACTGCGCATTCCCTTGCCCCTCCCAGACCCAAAACAAACGAGTGGAATTCCTTCACTTGCCTCCTATTCTCTCTCTCTGGACCCAGAGGGAGAATGGAAAACCAGTCAAGGGCGCTGTCCCATCTACATGATCTTGCATGCTCAGAGGAGTGGCAGAGCCAGGAAGCTCTGGGGGTTGACAATGCTCCCCCCCCCAAAAGAAAAAGAGTGTGGATAATGAAAGTTGACCAACAATGCTGACCCCTACCGCCGACCCTGTATCAGATAAAACAGCATATTAAAGTAATTCGGAATAAAAATTAGCCAGTTAAATATCCATATTTCTAGGTTCTCTCATTTCAGATTCAAGGTAGGTAGATTTCATGCCAAACTATATATTTTCACAGTTGAGATTTAAAAGGGGGTGGGGAGCTGTCAAAGGGTTATTTCAGCAAAAGGGCTATATCAGTTTCCTCTTTACTCCACCCATCTTCTCTGCAATTTTGTTAAATTAAAACTTTAACCTCACACATGACGTGTAAATATACAGATATTTTATCTAGTGTAGAAGGGAGGAAGAGGAGAACTTTGCACTTTCACACATCCTTCGTGTCTGCCCATTTTGTTAGTGTCTTTGTGACGTCATCTGGTGAGCTGTCAACAGGCCGGACCCAGAGCAAGTGAAATCCAGAACCTCCACAACTTGGGATGTTTGCATTTTTAATGCCAGTGAAAGTTGAGGAAATACTTTCCGCAGATAAACAGAAGCACCCTTACAGCCGGCCTCTGCCTTGTCCTCATTTTCTGCCTGAGCTTAACAGCTCTACAAAACTAGGATGCTCCATAATAAATAAAATAGGATTTGTTTCAGGATATTTTGAAATGTTTGGATGTAAACTTTTTTGCATGTTTTGTAATGATAAAAATGTTAAGAAGTCAAACATTTGTGTGTGTGTGATTTGGACACGGGCTGTGATAATTTTGGAGCGGTGCATTTGGAAGCCAGTTTAAAACTATTTTGGCAGGATCTAATTAAAGTTGGATCCTATGTCCATATGATCAGAAGCAACTCACTGAGTTCAATGTGGGATACACCCCCATGTAAATGTGCCTACAATTTTCTTTAAGGAACTGCAGTCCTGACAATCCTAAGCGTCAATAGGACACCCTCTTACTTTTTCTAAATGTTTTCAGGCCTTAAAATACTATAGATTCCACACCACAACTACGAGCAATGTCCAGCATAACACTAAAAGAGAGCAAAGGATGTCATACATGTACTAGATCGGGTTGTCCTCCCCCTTAAAGAGCAGGTCAGCCGCTATGTATATACCCTATGCCCTTTTAAAATATGGGGATTGGGGGGGGGGGTTATTGGGTTGTTGTTTTTATTTTGAGTATATATTTTGTGGTTTTATATTTTGATATTGTTCTGTGAACTGCCCTGAGACCTCCAGGTATAGGGCGGTACCTAAATTCAATAAATAAAATAATAATGTGCTTAGGGAGCTAGATGCTTGGAGTTCTCTGATGCTTTCCCAGTGAACTGCTGTCACTCCTGTTAACGGAGAAATCTAAGGGCTCTCTTGGACAAAAAAACAAGGACACCAGCCAGGGATACCAGCGCAAAACAGCAGCCAGTAGGCTTGGTCTTTATTGAAGACTGTCGCGACAGGACTCCCACCTGCCACCAGGTGGAACAAGATGAAAGCCCCAAACAAAAGAGAACCCAAACTTTTATTAGCTGCTAATCCCCATGTTAAAGGGTAAAGGGACCCCTGACCATTAGGTCCAGTCGTGACCAACTCTGGGGTTGCGGTGCTCATCTCGCTTTATTGTCCGAGGGAGCCGGCATACAGCTTCCGGGTCATGTGGCCAGCATGACTAAGCCGCTTCTGGCGAACCAGAGCAATGCACAGAAATGCCGTTTACCTTCCTGCCGGAGCGGTACCTATTTATCTACTTGCACTTTGACGTGCTTTCGAACTGCTAGGTTGGCAGGAGAATCCCCATGTTACACCCCCCCAAACTACATCACTAATACATCATGAAAGGGGAGGTCTGGTGGCAGTAATCTGAGCATCCTGGACCCTGCCCCATGGTTCCCCTTGCCCTCCACCAAACACCCATCAAGTGTAACAAAAGATATATTTACATTTCCCTGTTTCCCAGCCACGTTAATGACACCCTTTTGTCTTCATCTGGGTTTGTTCTTTCTGGAATGGCTACCTGTCTGGCACTCAGGTATCAGGATGCCAGGGATTATCACTCAGGCAGAGGGGCTGCTGAGTAGCTGAGCTCACATCTATATGAATTTCTGAAGTTTTCCCTGTGAGCCAGTACATAGATGCATTTATCAGTGAATTCTTACATTTGGTACCGTGCAGCAAAGGCCCTTTGAATAGATAGGAAGAAACTGTGATGAAGTGTTTTGTGGGGACAAATCACAAAAGTGATTGTGTTGATTTTGGCAGTTGGCTGCACGTGCAGGATATCTGCTGGAGGGGCAACCCCCCCCCCAACCTATACATAAATTCCTGCAACAAATAATAATAATAATTGCACATGGCGTCTGAAGTGCCCAGGGAACGTGGCCTGAAGAGCAAGGAACTAATGTTCTTTCAACTGAGTCGAGCATCCTTCGGGAGAAACCGCGCCCCAAAGACACCTGCCCTTTGCAGCGCACACACCTGCCGCCCTTACCAAAGATGGCGACTATGCTTCGACGCGTAAGGTCACGGCGGGGTAAAACACCTTCAGCAGCCAATGACGCTCCACGCTCTGACAAGAGCGCGTTTGCCAGCACTAAAGATGACGTTCCGGTCAAACCGCCGCATCTTACCCACGAACAAGATGGCTGCCTCACTTATCCACCTCCATTGCCCCTAGTAAAGATGGCGAGGAGAGGGTAAGTAGCCGTTCTGCCAATACCCAAAATGGAGACGCGGAAAGGAGGCGCGCTTATTTCCTCCCCTCTCGGCAACAAAAAAAACACCCCACGGCTAAACTGTTCTCGCGAGCTGACGCTCCTTTCGCGGAGGCTTCCCGCCTTTTCCAGCGGGGCGAGCGGGCGGGAGAGAGCGACCCCGCCGGGCAGAAGCGGAAGGCGGCAGCCCCTTCCCCTCAGCGGCGACGGCCTGCTTCCGTCTCCATGGCGACGAGCCGCCTCGGCCAACCGCGAGCCGCTTCCGCTGACGTCGCCGCCGACACGTGGATCCAAGATGGCGGCGTCTGGGGTGCTGGTGAGTGGGGAGGCCGGGGAGCCTCCTTCCCCTCGCGCTGTCTCGCGGCCGCCGGGGGCTCCGAGGGCCCCTTTCCGGGGCGGGGGTCGCTTCGCCTCGCGGGCCCAGACCCCTCCCCGGCCCTTTTCGGTGGGGAGGGGGTGTGAGGGGTGGAGATGAGGGGGCCTTGTTGGCGCGCCTGGCGGGACCCTCCTGAGGTGACACGCGCACCCCAGAGAAACCCCTCACCAAACCCCCCAAGTCGCCGGCGAAGGCGCCGGGCGCTCCCTCCGAAGGTCTCCCCGGGAGACGCGAGGCCGTGAGGGAGCCCGGCAGAGGCGTCCCCGGCTGTTGCTGCTCTCGCTTTGGGCCACCCGACGAGCAGCAAGCCCTGAGGGCTCGCCTCGGTCTTTGCGCCCCTTCCTTGCAGGGGGTGGGCTGGATGACCCTCGGGGTCCCTCCCAGCCCCGCGGTTCAACGGCGCGTCCGCTTGTTGTTGCTCCGGAGTAAGATCCCGCGTGGCGGTCCTGCGACTTGATTGATTTGCGTTAGATGGTCTTGGTGAATTGAAAAAACCAACAAGACATTGCGATCTCTTTAACGTCGAACACGGTAGCGTACAAATGACGCCAGTGGCAATGAATTCATCCAAGCAATGCACAAAAAAGGCGTAGTAATTCGAAATGATCTTCTGTTGCAACTGTTTCAAAAATCAATGAGTAGCAATGCTTTGTCGCCTGTTTTGTGAGGTCTGCCTGAGAAGCGGTGTATAAATCAGTGCTGGTGGCACTAACAGACTCAAAAGCCGAAAAGGTGGAAACTGCAACCGGAACCAGATGTCAGCTACTGATGGGACATTATTTTTCCCATCCTTGCTAGCTGTATTTTGTAACATGCCTTGCTGGTTCACTGTGTTCCGTGTGCAACTGGATTCCAGTCTCAAATCTCACATTCTCCATAGAGCTCTTGTTTTACACAGCCAGATTGGGCCAGGAATGATGCTGTTGTCCATGGGTAGGCAAACTAAGGCCGGGGGGCTGGATCCGGCCCAATCGCCTTCTAAATCTGGCCCGCAGATGGTCTGGGAATGAGTGTGTTTTTACATGAGTAGAATGTGCCCTTTTATTTAAAATGCATCTCTGGGGTATTTGTTGGGCATAGGAATTCGTTCATATTTTTTTCCCTAAAAAATGTAGTCTGGCCCCCCACAAGGTCTGAGGGACAGTGCACCAGCCCCTTGCTGAAAAAGTTTGCTGACCCCTGCTGTAGTGCCTCTAAAGAGGTTGCCATTTTCAAGGACTCCTGCTGTGTTTAGACAGCTGTGGTCCAGCTTTCAGGAAGTTGTTGGGGGTGGGTGACCAACCTAAGATTGTGTTCCTGTCTCGAGGAAAATTACTGGTGAATTTGCTCTGAATCGAGATTGTGTTCTGGATCCCATGTTGCAGGGACTCCTTGCACAGCCTGAGACAAAGTTTGTGTCCTTTGTCAACCTTCTGTTTGCATTCAGAGCTTTCTTGCAACACACCTGGAGGCAGAGAGTAGCATCACTTCCTTTTCTGTATGCTAACAACCAGAAGCAGTGAGTTTCGGTGCACTGCACACCAAAGCTCTGCCATAAACTTGATAAGAATCACACAGGCTGGAGCAGCTTAACGGGCTCAGTCACGGCAGTGGAATTTTGTTGGGCAGGGCACCTTGTGGTCATTTGATGATCTCAAGGTTGAGTCCACATGTCTAAAGGCAAACAGTTTTGTGTCACAGTTTTTCTAGTGCTGATGCTTGTCTTCTGTACTCTTAACTTGCAGAACATGTTGTTTCTGCAAGGAGGATGATACTCAGCGATGATGTGAGAAGGTGTAGAGAGTTCTTATCTCATTCCCTTTCTGCAGAGGATTATCTCTGTGGGAAGGAGGAGAGGAGGCCTTATTCCTATTAATGCAAGGCCAGAAGCTCCAGCACCCTTTTCACCGCATAGGCTGGCCATATACTTTGGGAAAGACAGCAGCTCAGTGATATATTTGCTTGGAACATGGAGTTTCCTGATTGGTTGATCCGTCTGTCCATTTCCATGAACATGCCTAATTCACTTTTGAAGCCATCCAAATTATTCATTATTATTATTTACTGAATTTCTATACTGCCCTTCATCTGAAGATCATCAGGCGATTCACAACATAAAAATAAAAAATGAGAACACAAAATACATAATAAAGCAAACAAAAGTGACAACCCCACGCTCACAAACACATTTAAAAGGCCATAGAATGGTTAATCAGCCAAAGCCCTGGTTACAGAGAAACATTTCTACCTCATCTCTAAAGATATGGAATGATGGCACCAGGGAGAGCCACTGCAGAAAAGACCCATTCTTGTGTTGCCACCCTCCAGACCTCTTGTGGAAGAGGCACACAGAGAAGTGTCTCAGAAGATGAGCTCAGGGTCCAAGTTGGTTCATATTTTGAGAGGCATTCCATGAGGTATTGCTGTCCTGAGCCGTTTAAGGCTCTATAGGTCAAAACCAACACTTTTAGTTGGGCCTGGAAAATAATTGGCAGCCAGTCCAGTCCAGCCAGGATCTTGTGACCATCTCCTCACCTTGTGACAGCAGATGCTATAAATTAACTATGCATAGTGTGAAAGGGCACTCTTTTATCTGCCCTGAATCTCCTGCCAGTTTCATTAAGTTACCTCTGCCCACCTTCTCCGCACAATGCTTACTGGTGTCCAGCTTTTGTGAACTTGGTACGAGGAGGTGAGCACAAGGAGAAATTGCCAAGGGAGATTCTGTGCATCGGTTTTCGCAACAGTTTAGAAAGCCCCATTGGAACTTACGGTACATCTCAGTAAACTTGCCTAGGATTGCCTTTGCTTCAGAGAGCAGGACAATATGTGGAAACTGTGAGGGAGCAGATATAGGTTAAATGAAACAGTAAAAACTGTTTGGCAGTGGAACCTTTGGGTAGGTGTGGATCTCTTTTCCTGGAAATGTAAACAGGCTGGGCATCAGTCAGTGAGGCTGTAGATGCAATATTTTTTGTACTGGGCCAGGAGTTGGACTAGATGCTCTTTGAGGCTTCTCCCAACTCTGAAATTATATTATTCTTACTCTGTACTTTGAGACCTGAGTCTCATCTCTTCCTTCCCTACCACACCCTCAAATTTTCTTACCTAGTTACATTAGCCTCTTGAGTTGTGATGTTTGCATAGTTTTTAACTGTCCTGGTTTTGGAGAAGGGCGGGTTTATTTTATTTATAAAAATACACATAGCCTAAAAATGCTATATATGGTTGAGACTTTTAGGCTGTTATTCGTAAAACAAGTGACTGCTCTACAGCACCAACCTAAGGCTCACCTCTGTTGTCTTGCTTCCACTGCTGTTCCCCTGCCTCCCCTTTGTCTTCAATTTTTTATATATATATAGTTTTTGAACCCTGTTTTGGTTTTGAGCCCTGCATTTACGTTGGACACAATCAGTGAACAACTTTGCCTCACATTCTGTTGAATGAATGTGACTTAAGCAAGAGCTTACTTCTGCTTCAAATGCAGCTGTTTCTCACACTTGCTGAAGAGCTCCTTAATTCTGACACTTGCTCAACCACCCAAGTGTGGCCTAGAAAGGTTGCTGACCCTGGTAATAGATAGGCTGGTTCGTTAGGAACATAAGAAGAACACAGGAAACGGAGTCAGACTGGTGGTTCATCTAGCTCAGTATTTCCTACACTGACTGGCAGTAGTGGTTCTCCAGGGTTTCAGGCAGGGAACTATTCCCAGCCCTACCTGAAGATGCGGAGAATTGAACCAGGCATCTTCTGCATGCAAGGCCAGTGCTTTACCACTAAGCTCCTGCCCTTCTCAGTTACGGTTGTAGTTGATTTATAGAAGTGGCTGCCAGTGTGTTTTGTAAAAAGGGTATTTTGCGATTCTTGCTTGGTTTTGATTTCTAAAGTTTTGGGCAGGAGTTGCTGTCTATCCTCTGCTGCTTTTCAAGACTGTGTGTGTGTGTGTGTGTGTGCGCACGCACACACAGTGCACCACTTGATGTGTCAGTATGTCTTTAAGTACTTTTTTATTTAGTTTCATTCAGTTGCACATTTTTAACACTCCTTACAATACATTCAAATTATAACTGTTTTCAATACTGTGTGTGTGTATTCCTTTTTCTTATCCTTGTGACCTATCTCCACCACATTACAGCTTCTATTGTGTTGTGAATATTGTTTTTATTTTTATCCATAAAATATCTATCCATATTTTAGCTGTACGAAATGTAATCAATGCATATCAATGGTTTTGTTTCGGGGCAATGTTTTGTCATATATTCTTTCACACATTCCCATTCTTTCCTAAATTTCTGATTTGATTGATATCTAATAGCTGCTGTCATTCTGGCCAATTTTACGAATTCACATACCTTATTTTGCCAATCCGCTTTTGATGGGACTATGTCCCCTTTCCAATTTTTAGCTATTAGTATTCTGGCTGCAGCTGTGGCATATAAAAACACTTTTTTCTTGTCGTTAGGGATATCTATTGATAAGATACCTAATAGAAACGCTTCTGGGGTTTGTTTTTTTTCAAATGATGTTTTGAACATCTTTTTCAGTTCTTCATGTATAGTACTCCAGAATTTTTTTGTTTTTTCACATCCCCACCATACATGATACATCGTTCCTTCTACCATATTGCACCTCCAGCAAGTGTTAGATTTTAATTTATAGATCTTAGCTAGTTTAGTGGGAGTCATGTACCACCTGTACACCATCTTCATGAGATTTTCTCTTATTGTATAAGAGGCAGTGAATCTTATGTCTTGTTTCCACAGTTTCCCCCATTGTTCCATCTGGATGGGGTGGCCAATATCTGGGCTCACTTGTGTCCAGATCTGTGAGGGTAGCTGAGCGACCGTTCTCTAGTGCAATGTCTGAAGATGAGAGTCATGTTGTTTACGGATACATGTCAACTGTGCCTTCTTTGTACTAGAGGAATTAGTTACTAGATCAGTCATCTGGGTCTCTCCTCTCCTAGTCATCCTGGAGTTGAAATTGTGAAGAAATTGACTTTTGTAAGAATGGGTTGGTGGTGTGTCACTTAGAAGCAGGAGTTGGAAACAAAGGCCTTAGTGGACTTGTAGGCCACAAACCCTTTATTCGGATGAGACCCTTCAGTTGGACCTGTGATGATGCCTCTTACCCGTTGCAGGTGAGATGTTTGTGTGCCCAGAAGCTTTTAACTTTTGTGTGGCTGGAATCCAGCCAACTGTACAAAGGCAAGAGCCCACCCTGTCTCATAGCCCCTTGAAAGTTGCCCACAGGGGAATGTGGCCATTGGTTTCGTCTACCTTGCTTTAAAGTCTGTAGTTTGAGATGTTGATCTATGTGATGGATTTGTTGCTGTACTACAGGCTTCCTCAATCTCGGCCCTCCAGATGTTTTGAGACTACAATTCCCATCATCCCTGACCACTGGTCCTGCTAGCTAGGGATCATGGGAGTTGTAGGCCAAAAACATCTGGAGGGCCGAGGTTGAGGAAGCCTGCTGTACCATTTGAGCCTGCAAGTGGGTGAACAAAATGTTGGAAAGTGTGTGTGTGTGAAATGCTGTAGTCCAATGACACATAATCACATGGTTCTTTCTCTGCTTTAGCTCGCACTTATAAGTAATAGTCATTCCGCAAGTGTGTATGAGAGAGAAAGTACTCGGGGAAGGAGGTTTAAGGCAGCAGTGGGGAATCTCTACCCTAAAGGCCTGCTTAGGCCCACGAGGCCATTTCTCCCGAACCTCAGCTGGTTGCCCAACACATGAGATACGGGACTTGCTGTTGTCAGGGGAAGTTCAGCAAGTGGATCCTAGAGAGGAGGCCTTCTCAGTGGTGGCACCCCACTTATGGAATAGCCTACCCAGAGAGGCTCACCTGGTGCCCTCTGCATGGTCTTTTCAGCATCTTTTTATTGCCTAGGCATTTTAAAACAAACCCAGGGCTTCTTAAATTAACTGCGTTCTTGGTCCTCGAGTATGCTTTGCAGCTGAGCTGAAAATATGTTTTGTTCTAATTTTTTACTGATCTTTTTTCAGTTACTGCACTTTTAAATACTACTTGCTTTTTGTCTTGTAAACTAGAGAATTTTAGTGATTTTAATGATGGATGAATGTATAATTTGAATAAATAAAGGATGTTGAAATGGGTGGACTGGATTGCTGCCCCCCTAAACTCGAGAGTTGCATTCTTATTGGAAAGAAGGCAGAGAGAGTAGTGGTGGATGAGAGAGCTTCGCACTGACTTCAATACCCTGCATTTCTTAAGGGTTTCTCTTTCCTCGAGAATGGAAAGTTTTCTGTCTCCAGTAAGACAGGTTCCAGCTTCCTGACCTGGCCCTACACCTGATAGGCTTAGATTTGTTGCCTTCTGCGTGAGGCCTCATGATTGGTCTCTGTTTCTCAGCTAGAATTCCCTCTTTCTTTTAAAGAAACAAGTCTTTCGGGGTTTTAGTGGCAGCAAATAGATTAGGTATCACTCTTGGTTTCCCCTCTGTCTGCGACTTCTGCAGTTCTTGCGGATTTGCCCAAAATTACTGAGCCAGCTTTGTGGCTCAGTTTTGTGTTCAGACTTAAAAGCAAACAAACAGCCAACCAGTGCTGGGAATTGCTTGCATCTCCCTGAATGCCTTTGGCTATGGAGACAAAATCTCCTTTCTCGTTGCAGGAGAAGCTCACGTGTCCAGTGGTGCTACTGCTCTTGTGCCATGGGGTGAGCAGTTTCTACGTGCCGGGGGTGGCACCCATCAACTTCCACCAAAAGGATCCTGTAGAAATAAAGGTAGGTTGGTGATGTGGTTGACCATTTGAATACAGTGGACGCTCGGGTTGCAAACGTGATCCGTGCGGGATGCACATTCGCAACCTGCAGCGTTCGCAACCCGCGTCTGCACACGCGTGGGTTGCGATTCGGTGCTTCTGTGCATGCGCAAATTACGATTTAGCGCTTCTGTGCATGCGTGACCGCCGAAACCCAGAAGTAACCCGTTCCGGTACTTCCAGGTTTTGGCGGTCCACAACCCGAAAAAACGCAACCTGAAGCGGCTGTAACCCAAGGTATGACTGTACACACACCAAGTGTGTGTGTGTGTGAAATAATAATTAACAGTGGTACTTATGGCAGCCTGGAAAACCATTAGTTAGCTATATTTGCGAAACAGTAATAATGCCTTTTTAAAAAAGGATGATTTATTACGTTAAACATTTTGTACTTTCCTTCCCCCATAAGAGCTCAGAGTGGAATACATAGGTTTATTATTACTTATTATTTTATTTTTATTACATTTATATCCTGGCCTTCCTCCCAAAGTCGCCCAGTGTGGTGTGTCTCATAACATCCTCCTGCTCTCGCGTTGGGCTGAGTTTCTGTGAGACTGGCTTGATGCCATCTAATGAGTGAGGGTTGCCTTCCAGTTTGGAGATGCTTGTAGCTCTAGCCGGCAGGAGAAGTGTCTGCTGTGCATCTAAGTTGGCCCCAACTGCCGTAGGGCTAGCGAGCAAGCTGCCCTTAGGAAAGGGCTCGCTAATGGAATTGTAAGGAGAAAAGGTACCTATGACCACGATCAAACAATACATGATCAGCCAGCAATATTTGACAGTTCGGTTGGGCCATTTGTGAACCCTGGTGGGAGCCTTGAAGGAGCTGAGAGCGCTTTGCAAAGTAGTGACAGCATTGCCAAGGAATGTTTTCTTGAGCCGTGGCTTTCAGACACCCATGAGAGGAATACATCTCTCACGCCCTACAACATGAGCTGCTAACATGGCACCCACGGGTGCATGTGGGCCTTCAAAGTCTCTTCGTGGTGCTGCAAGGTCTGATCCCCCAAGCCTGTTTGTGGTGTGGGGATACAGCTGATCAGGGGAGAGTTGACTCCCATCATCCCTGACCATTCGCCATGGTGGTTGGGGCTGATGGGAATTGGAGTCCCACAACATCCAAAGGGCCACCACGCTGATTTCCCTTCCTCTAAAGTCTGTGTAGATATGCCTGGCAAAAGAGAGAGTGCAAGAGAAAGGGCAAAGGGACATTTACTTAAAAAAAAACAAAAACTGGGAATCATGTTGCAGTAAAACTGCATCCCAAACCTGAAAATGTTGAAGTCTGTTCTAAAGTGTTGTAGAAATGCTGAATGCCCTGTGAATCCTTTTAAAGAATTGTAGGTTCCATTCCCGTAATGTTTTCCTTGCAGCTATAACAAACTGAAAACCACAGTGGTTTCCTCTGTCTGTGCCTCAGCATTTTTGAGGGGTGTGGGTAGGGTCAAGTACTACAGGAAGTTAAGTTCTCCAAGAACATTAATACATGGTTCTGTGGTTGCTTGCAGCCTCTTGGGGGCGGGTCACACATAGGCTCAAACCTTCCGGGGCCTCTTTGTTTTTGTTTTTTTACTAAAGCTGTGGGCTTTATCTTGCCATGTAAGCTTCCACACCGATGCCAGCAAGGTTTGGCAAGTCCTGCAGAGCATAAAAACATTTTTACGCGGCCAAGCCCTGGTGTCTCGATGGCCATATCCTGTCTTGTATGTTTCCTCTGTGTTACATAATCTATCTCCGTGGAAGGGGTACAACTGGTCCAGTTGTAAAGGTGGAAACTAGGGAACTTCCTTCCCTCTTGGTAGTGCTGGAACAATGAATCTGATAATCCCCTTGTTTTTCCAGGCTGTGAAGCTCACCAGTTCACGAACACAGCTACCTTATGAATATTACTCCTTACCTTTCTGCCATCCTCAGACAGTCACATATAAAGCTGAAAATCTAGGTAAGGGCACAGAGTCCACCACATTTCTTTGCGTACTTTGGTGTCTGTGGTTGACTGCAGGATCCGTGCACTGTGTACATGAAGTGGGGGCACCCATTCCAGCCCTTTCCCCAAGGCCCTGGCTCCAGCATATTGCAGTCTCCCCTTGCTTTACTATTGCCTGTACTCTAGAATGCAGTGGGCAACCAGTTATTCATTTGGGCTGACGCTCTTTCACTCTCCTTGCGTGGAATGCTTTAATCATGCGGGGTGGATCTCTCTAGGGAAACTGGTAGTTTCTAAAGTGAGGGATGAGGTGCCAGTTCCACCCAGATTGCCTGGTAAAGAAGAATAAAGTAAGCACATGGTCCTCCCAATATCACGGATGGTATATTCCAGTGGTTCCCAAACTGTTTTGGGCCACCGCCCCTTGGTTCCATAAAGTGATCCCAGTGCCCTCTATCCTAGGAAAAGCATTATTCAGAATGGCCGTTTGCATGACCCGCTAAGGAAGATAATAACACTATAAAATTCAAAACAGTAACAATTAATTTCACATTTATTCCAAATCCAGTTGAAACTATTTAGCTGAGTTAATTCAACAATAGCAGTGAACTGGATTCGGTGATACCAGCTATTCAAAATACGATTGCCATTTACACCCCCAGCGCCCTCCTGCTACCCACTTGCCTCTTAGTGCCACCCCCAGGTAATCCCCCCCCCCCGCAGGGGTGGTCCCATCCCCTTTGGGAACCACTGGTGTGTTTGGATTATTTAACCTCTAAAGCTGCCTTGTCCTGAATCGGACCATTGGCCCATCTAGAAGAGCGATGGGGAACCTGTGTCTTTCCTGAAGTTGCTGGAGGGCAACTCCCATCATCCCTGACCATTAACCAAGGTGACTGTGGCTGATGGGAGTCATTGAAATCCAAAAACTTTTGGAAGGCCAGAGGCTCCTGGCTCCTAATCTTGCCCAGTAGAGTCTGTTCCAGCTGTCAGCTTGAGATGTTAACAGCAGGAGATGCCAAAGTTTGAAGGCTAGGGGTTTGTTCTGCCACTCACTGCTGTGAGCTCTCATTCCCATTCTCCCTGCCTGCCTTTCATTTGCAGGTGAGGTCCTTAGAGGGGACCGGATCGTCAACACGCCATTCCAGGTTTTCATGAACGTTGAGAAGAAGTGCGAGGTCTTGTGCGAATCCCCCAGCAAGCCTGTAACCTTGACCAAGGAAGCGAGCAAGCTGATCGCCGAACGGATCCAGGAGGAATACTATGTCCACCTGTGAGTCTCTGTCCTCTGAGCATGAGACAGAGCAACTCAGTGGGAGTCCTCCTTGCTTATGGCGAGTCAAGGAGGGGCCCTCTGGGTGGCAGCAGTGGGCAAGTAGCTCTGACTCGAGGGCTTATCTTTGCAGCATCGCCGACAACCTGCCTGTGGCCACGCGGCTGGAGTTCTACTCGAACCGCGAGGAGGAAGAGAAGAACAAGGAGAAAGACATACAGTTTGAGCATGGCTATCGGCTCGGGTTCATGGACAGCCGCAAGGTGAGGATTCTTCTTCTTCTTCTTCTTCTTCTTCTTCTTCTTCTTCTTATTATTTATTATTTAAACCCAGCCACTCTGGGCGGCTTCCAACAAAGTATTAAAATACAGTGGTCTGTTGAACATTAAAAGCTTCCCTAAACAGGGCTGCCTTCAGATGTCTTCTAAAAGTATGGTAGTTGTTCTTCTCTTTGACATCTGGTGGTAGGGCGTTCCACAGGGCGGGTGCCACCACCGAGAAGGCCCTCTGCCTGGTTCCCTGTAACTTGGCTTCTCGCAGCAAGGGAACCGCCAGAAGGCCCTCGGAGCTGGACCTCAGTGTCCAGGCAGAACGATGGGGGTGGAGACGCTCCTTCAGGTATACTGGACCGAGGCCGTTTAGGGCTTTAAAGGTCAGCACCAACACTTTGAATTGTGCTCGGAAACGTACTGGGAGCCAATGTAGATCTTTCAAGACCGGTGTTATGTGGTCTCATTGGCTACTCCCAATCACCAGTCTAGCTGCCACATTCTAGATTAGTTGTAGTTTCCGGGTCACCTTCAAAGGTAGCCCCACGTAGAGCGCATCGCAGTAATCCAAGCGGGAGTTAACTAGAGCTTGGGTCTCAGCCAGCGTGCCAGGTGGAGCTGGTAGACAGCTGCCCTGGACACAGAATTGACCTGCGCCTCCATGGACAGCTGTGAGTCCAAAATGACTCCCAGGCTGTGCACCTGGTCTTTCAGGGGCACAGTTACCCCATTCAGGACCAGGGAGTCCTCCACACCTGCCCACCTCCTGTCCCCCAAAAACAGCACTTCTGTCTTGTCAGGATTCAACCTCAATCTGTTAGCCGCCATCCATCCTCCAACCTGTGCTTTTGCCTGGAGAAGGGAGGGGATGGTTCAGGGGTGCCACAACAGCACGGACCCTCTGAATTTTACTTGTAGGCACCTGTTTCAGTTGTTGTGTAAAATAAAGCAGAGACCACAGCAGCTCCCTTTAAAGCACACTTTATTTTGCATTGTAATATTGAATGTACCAACCATAGGCCTTTGAACTTTGCTGTGAATGTTGTATGGAAATCTGAGTATGGAAATCTGCCAAAGTATTCGAGCTGCCTGGACACTAAGCCTGCCCTCTCCTTCCTGCCCTCTGGAGATCAGGTGACACATAGGCTGGTAAATGTGTGAGATCTGAGAATTACTGTTTATTTGTCAGGCACCTAAAGTTTTTCCTTCTGTGCTGTACAAAGATTTCCGTGCTGTACGGGGATTTTAAAAAGCCAAATGCTGACAGGCTTGCAGTCTGTTACGCCCCATACAAAAGAGGAAGCCTGGATTTTGAGAGCCAAATAAATATTAGCCCTATGGTTTGATATGGGCAATTTATTCTAATTTCCAAATTCTGAATTATCTTCTGCCGGGGGCAGCATCCTAAATGGGTTATTTAACTTGCACAATCACAGCTTAACACGCTGGGCGGCTAGCCAGCTGCGAATGCACAAATTAAATGCACACAAGATGGATTTTCCATGCTGGGTTTTCCTGCTGCGGAAAGCACTTTTAAGCTCTCTGGCTTGCTTTTGGGGCTCTGGGAGGCTCTTGCATGAGACCTAGCAGGCGCCTCCCAGAGCCTCATAAGCAAGTCAGAAAGCTTAAATGCTCTCCGCCTTGCATGGTGGGCAAGGCTCACTCAGTGTGTTGGCACTGGAACGGTAGGGGTGGTTCTGGCTATGTGTGATAACAGCTTTACACACAATCCCTGGAACCCACCCCCAGGGCAGGTTGTGAGTCTGTAGTTTGATGTACAGTGGTACCTCTGGATGTGAACGGGATCCGTTCCGGAGCCCCGTTCGCATCCTGAGCAGAACGCAACCTGCACGTGCACGGGTCGCAATTTGCTGCTTCTGCACATGCGTGTGACGTCATTTTGAGCATCTGCACATGTGCGAGAGGCAAAACCCGGAAGTAACCTGTTCCGTTACTTCCGGGTCACCACGGAACGCAACCTGAAAACGCTAAACCTGAAGCATATTTAACCCGAGGTATGACTGTAGCTTCTAATCTGTACTCCCTTATCATGAAGAGTTTGAGGAGAAGTGCAACACACGAAGGAGACCTCTGAGCCTGCAAACCACTTGGAGAGATAGTGCACATCACCCCAATTTGTATTTTCTTCCTCCAGGGCTTCTAACATCTCTCTTGATATCCCATCTGTTCTAGTTCTACCTGCACAACCACCTCTCCTTCATCCTTTACTACCACAGAGAGGATGTGGAAGAGAACCAAGAGCCCACCTACAGGGTGGTCCGCTTTGAGGTCGTTCCACAGAGCATTAAGCTTGCTGGTAAGAGAAGAGAGCAAGGGCTTTGTGTTGACAGGGAGGACCAAGCTCTGGACTTGAATTAAGAGGGACATTTTGGAGAAGAAAGTACATGTGGGAGAGGAGATCCCATTGTATGATGTGTTTGGGGTGAGGTATGGGAGGGAGGGAGCAGCTCTTGTTCAATATTGAGGGCATAGCTGTCAACTTTTCCCTTTTCTTGCAAGGCATCCTATTCAGAATAAGGGAATTTCCCTTTAAAAAAGGGAAAAGTTGACAGCTATGCTTGAGGGTTTCTTGCATGTTCTCTCTGGCTGGCTGTAGTCGTGGACCCACAAAGCAGGAAAAGTGCACTGAATGGGATCGGGAAACAGGAGCTGTTTGGGACACCAGGGATTCCTGTTGCCTGCTACTCAAAACAACTCTCTTATCAATCACAGCTCCGACTTCACTCATTGGCAAAAAAAACCCATGGGCAGGCAGGTGCAGCCAGCCTTGTTCATTTCACAGAAATCGCTTAGAAGGGGACCTGCACGTTTTGCAGAGTCACTGCCGGCCAGTGCAGGTGAAGGGTGGGGAACCATAAATTGTTGGGACTCCAGTTTCCCTCGCCCCTGGCCATTGGCTACACTGGGTGTGCAGCTGATGGGAGTCCTCTAGCACCATGGGAAGTGGGTGCATAGGCTTCCATCTCTGGTATGACGGGATCAAAGGTCTGACTCCATGAAAAACTGTTTCATGCGTTGCTTTTGTAGCAGGAACATGGTAGGGATACGTAGCTCAGGGCCATAGCTCAGTGGCAGAGCATCAATCCTCAGCATCTCTAGCAGGGTTGGGAGACAGTCTGTGTCTGAAATTCTGGAGAGCCACTGCCAGTAGACAATACTGAGCAAGATGGACCAATGGTCTTACTGTAAGGGCAGCTTCCTACATTCCTCTGTATGTGTTTGTGCAACCGGAGGAACATGCGGGGCAGCGCAGCCAGATGATTGCCACACGAGGCTAGTTGGGGGTGAGGGGACCCCAAGCTTGTATAGGGCCTGGGTCTTTGGAGTCAGGCTGCTTCTTCTGACGCGTGAGGTTTTTTTGCCCCCTAGATCTGAAAGCTGACGAAAAGGGTGCCTGTGTCCTGCCTGAAGCTGCCAACTCTGCTCCTCAAGAGATCGACCCCACGAAGGAGAACAAGCTGCTTTTCACCTACTCTGTGCATTGGGAGGTGAGGGCCGGCTTTTTTATTTGGGGAGGGGAGGAGGTGGAATTGGTGTAGGGGAAATGGTCACTGTGGGGAGAAGGTGTCCGAGGGCTGGGAAACCCTAATTAAAAGAAGAGTGGGAGCCAGTGTTGGAACATGGATTTGGAGGGCCTCAGCTGTCTTTAAGGGAACTCCTTTCATCTCCTGTACATTTCTTTAAAAACAAGTAGGTTTCCCACCACAGGTTAAGACTCAACAGGAGAAAGCTTGCTTCAGGTGCCACCTTCGAAGAAAAATCATGGAGTCACAAAAACACCCTCCCCCAGGTCCCAGCCAGCATGCGCTGATGGAAGCTGCAGTCCAAGGTGTCAGGAGGGCGCCATGTTGAAGAAGCAGAGCTTTTTAGGGGGTGGCACCCACCTTGTGAAAAGCCCTGCTCCATTTCAGCCTTTGGGGAACCAGTTAGGGCATTTCTGGCTGGTGTGCCTTTTTGTCCCCTAGTCTGCTGCTTTGGAATTTGGCGTGACTTGCCTTTTCGTGTCGTTTGTTTATTTATTTATGTACAAGATTTAAATCCCTGTTTCTGTCAAGTGAATTGTAGCATGAACTTAGCAGCCTTTAGACCTCTGGCTGATGCATGGGCCCAGAGTTTGCAGTCCCAGGGAATCTTGTTGGTTGGAGCTGAATGTACATGCTAACAGGGAAGTGAGCAGAGGAGATCCCAGGTCCCTGCAATTGCTCCTTCCCCGGTCAACAGATGGAGCCGAGCTGATCTTTTCTTGATCTTTAGGATTATTGTCTTGCTTTCTTCTTGGGCAGCGGGGTGTGTTTGTGTTTACATCCAGTGCCAGTCATGCTCTGAGTAGACCCACTGAAATCCATGGGCATGGCTAGCTTGGGGCCATTAATTTCTGAGTGGAACCTAGTTGAATACAACTCCTGTGAGTTATTTCTTTATTCATAAAGCACTGATTTGCAGAAAAGCAAATGCCCCACTTACCCCTTTGCCTCAACTTTCCATCTCCAGCGTGGGAATAATAGTGGACCAACTCAATTAACCTACTAACTAGCTAAACTTCTCCTATAGGAAAGCGACATCAAATGGGCTTCTCGCTGGGACACTTACCTCACAATGAGTGACGTGCAGATCCATTGGTTCTCCATCATTAACTCGGTCGTGGTCGTGTTCTTCCTTTCGGGTAAGAGAGAAGCCAGGGGTTTTTGTTGGGTGGAGAGGGGTGATCTTGCCACTATACGGTAGGAAAAGAGACTGGACACTGGTGGCGCTGTGGGCTAAACCACAGAGCCTAGGGCTTGCCAATCAGAAGGTCGGTGGTTTGAATCCCCGCAACAGGGTGAGCTCCCGTTGCTCAGTTCCAGCTCCTGCCAACTTAGCAGTTTGAAAGCACATCAAAGTGCAAGTAGATAAATAGGTACCGCTCCGGCGGGAAGGTAAACGGCGTTTCCTTGCGCTGCTCTGGTTTGCCAGAAGCGACTTAGTCATGCTGGCCACATGACCCAGAAGCTGTCTGCGGACAAGCGCTAGCTCCCTCGGCCAGTAAAGCGAGATGAGCGCCGCAACCCCAGAGTCGCCCGCGACTGGACCTAATGGTCAGGGGTCCCTTTACCTTTACCTTTACTTAAGTCGTGTAGACTCAGGTGGGCTATCATTTATGTATATGCTGAGCGAAAGAGTAAGAAATCAGAAATAGTCCAGTGGGCTTGGGTTCACATCCTACCCTCACCACCTGGCCCGATGATCCTGGCTGAGTCTACTACCCATGCAGAAGGACTTTGGAAAGACTGCCTCATAATAAAATAAAAGGGAAACCCTGCGCCAGTAGAAAACCCAACGCATAAGGGCTGCAGTTTCTAGCCCACCTTTTTTCACCCTGTTGGGGAGCCCTTGGTGTAGAAACACAGTCTCAGGCCTAGAAGGGCACGTTCCGCTCTGCCTCCTCTTTCTGCTTCATAGGTAGACTCTGAAACACTGTGAGGGTATTGCAAGGAGGATTGGAAGCTGGTTGTAAATATGTACTGAATGCTTCTGGCACCCGGTCTGGTCACAGTGGTTTTCTTCACCAGCAACTTGTGTGTCCGTCAGTGTCCTTAGCTGCTTGTCTTTGCTCAGTGCCTGGTGCCTGTGTCTCAGTTTTGCTGCCTGCAGATGGGGTTGAGCTACAGCAGGGCCGGTTTGTGCCTTGCTTTCCCTTCAGTTGTGGCCAAGCAGTGTAGGGTAAGGGCCACAGTCCATGCTGCACCCTGTATGTGCCACTTCCTCAGCATGCCTGTGTCTTTGGGCAACTCACCGGTCCTGCGCACTGGATGGAAACTGCTGCAAGCAATTTTGTGGTTCTGCATGAGGGCAGGCAGAGGCACAAGTCTTCCCTTTGACCCGTTTTGGAAGGGAGGAGCGCCCCCTGGTGCACAACGAGAGCATTGCAAGAAATAAGGGATGTAGTGGTTATTTTTTTTAAAAAAAAATAAGAATATGTTCAATAAGCATTATCTGCTTAGAATGGAATGGAATGGAATAGAATATAACCTTTAGAAGACATATGAACACAACCCTGTACAGTGGACGCTTGGGTTGCGAACGTGATCCATGCGGGATGCATGTTCGCAACCCGCAGCGTTCTCAACCCGCGTCTGTGCTGTTTACCTGGTTGAAAAGAGGTGTAAGGGTATTAACACTGGTGTGATCATAATAAAGTCCTAGGAGTTACAAGGGTTATAACTTAATCTTGAGTATATCCCAGAACAGGTATAGATCCCTCTGGCTTCCTTTACTTGGCTACCTTGCTTTTCTTCCCTCCTCCCCTTGGGCCCCACTGCCCAACATGGCAGCCCATGAAAGAGACACTTTTAAAATGCCTCTGAAGAGGAAAAGAATGGCTTGCACTGAAATCAACCCCCCTGCTCTCCAAGGTTCTGTCCATGTGGCGACTTCCTCTGCTTTTGCTGCGGCCCCATGTGTGTTAGCAGAAGGTGTGAGAAAATGTGAAAATGAATACTTGTAGGAGCAGCAGCACCTCCTTTGGTGCAGGGGACTCAAAAGTGCAATTCTTGCTGTGAGAACCCAACCTCGCCCCCCATTGCTACTGTCTGAGGACATGTGGGCAGATGTGGACTGTGGGGGACTCTGTGTCGACTGACGCATCACTCCTCATGACCCTCTTCTCCTGTATGCTGCTGGCTTGCAGATGCTTAGGTGCTCAATGGAATAAACTGCAGTTCATTCATTCCAGGTCTTATTCGTTTCAGGTATTCTCAGCATGATCATCATCCGGACGCTCCGGAAGGATATTGCCAACTACAACAAGGAAGATGACATTGTACGAGAAGCATGATGTGCTTGGGGCTGGCAGGTGGGGTGGGGTGGAGAGGGAGTGGGGACCCTTCCTTGCATCTTGAGAACGTTCCCAGACTCTCCTTTTGAGAAGGGTAGAGGGGAGGTAGCCAAGGAAATGGGTAGAGAATGTAAGAGGAGCTCAGCTGGATTAAATCCGACTTTATTCAGCACTGGGTTTCTCATAACACTGGTCTTGAAAGACCTACATCGGCTCCCAGTATGTTTCCGAGCACAATTCAAAGGGTTGGTGCTGACCTTTAAAGCCCTAAATGGCCTCGGCCCAGTATACCTGAAGGAGCGTCTCCACCCCCATCATTCTGCTTGGATACTGAGGTCCAGCGCCGAGGGCCTTCTGGCGGTTCCCTCACTGTGAGAAGCAAAGTTACAGGGAACCAGGCAGAGGGCCTTCTCAGTGGTGGCGCCCGCCCTGTGGAACACCCTCCCACCAGATGTCAAAGAGAACAACAACTACCAGACTTTTAGAAGGCATCTGAAGGCAGCCCTGTTTAGGGAAGCTTTTAATGTTTGATGCATTACTGTGTTTTGATATTTTGTTGGGGGCTGCCCAGAGTGGCTGGGGAGGCCCAGCCAGATGGGCAGGGTATAAATAATAAATTATTATTATTATTATTATTATTATTATTATTATTATTATTATTATGTCAGCCAGGCGGGTGCCTCTGGGAAGCCCATTGGAGCAAGGCTGAACCTGGAGGTAGCACATAGCTATATTGTCCAGTAGCCACCTGGTCACTTTCTGCTGTTCACCTGACCGATCCCTTTTTTAAAGCGCTGCTGTGTCTTGTGGCATCAAATTCCATAGCTAGTGATGTGGGTAGAGAGTCCCTTGCTAGTCCAGAGTTCATACTGGGGCTTAACCACTTAACGGCCTGCCTTCTCATTCCTTGCTGGGGTGAAACACTTTTCAGGTGCAGGCAGTAACCAGAAGGCCTTAAGGTTTTGTGAAATGTGGTGACTCACTGCAAGGAGGGGAGATCCTTTGGGGAGGGGAGGACATGCTCTGTACATCTCTGTGGCAGTGGGGAGGGGGGAGAGAAGGGGCAGTCCCTTTTGTGGGGCTTGATTTCAATCCCCCTGTGTGTCGATTTTCCCTGCAGGAAGACACCATGGAGGAATCTGGGTGGAAGCTGGTGCACGGTGATGTGTTCAGGCCGCCTCAATATCCCATGATCCTCAGCTCCCTCCTGGGCTCCGGAATCCAGCTCTTTTGCATGATCCTGATTGTTATTTGTGAGTATCCCACCCGGGGAGCCTGGGGGTGCTTCTTTGGGAAAAGGGGGCAGGGGAGAAGAGACTCTACAGGCTAAGGAGGAAACTACAACTAATCCAGAATGCGGCAACTAGACTGGTGACTGGGGGCGGCCACCGAGACCACATAACACCGGTCTTGAAAGACCTACACTGGCTCCCAGTACATTTCCGAGCACAATTCAAAGTGTTGGTGTTGACCTTTAAAGCCCTAAACGGCCTTGGTCCTGTATCCCTGAAGGAGCATCTCCAACCCCATCATTCAGCCCGGACACTGAGGTCCAGCGCCGAGGGCCTTCTGGCAGTTCCCTCGCTGCGAGAAGCAAAGCTGCAGGGAACCAGGCAGAGGGCCTTCTTGGTAGTGATGCCCACCCTGTGGAATGCCCTCCCACCAGATGTCAAAGAGATAAACAACTACCTGACATTTAGAAGACATCTGAAGGCAGCCTTATTCAGGGAAGTTTTTAATGTGTGACATTTTAATGTATTTTTCATCTTTGTTGGAAGCCGCCCAGAGTGGCTGGGGAGACCCAGCCAGATGGGCGGGGTACAAATAAATTATTATTATTATTATTATTATTATTATTATTTTCATGACTGCTCACTAACCCACTTCAAGCCTGTTTGAAAAAACAAGTGGGGATAGAAAAGTTGAAAAATAGTGCCGCGGTGAACAAATGTGCTTTGTGAATACTCAGCAAAGCACACACCCCTTCTCCGTGTGCAAGGGCTCTCTTTGAATTCTGGCAGGTTGGCTTTCTGCAGTGGAGTATTGGTTTGTGAGTGGTGGGTCTTAATCCTCCTTGCCTTGCCTTTCAGTTGTGGCCATGCTGGGGATGCTGTCTCCCTCCAGCCGAGGTGCCCTGATGACCACAGCCTGCTTCCTCTTCATGTTCATGGGGTAAGTGGTGTGGCTTGTCCTTTGCATCAGCCACCATCCCTCTGCCTGACCTGTGATGGGAGGTAACGGTTTCTCCTCTCTGTGTCCTCTGCACTAGGGTTTTTGGTGGTTTCTCTGCTGGCCGACTCTATCGGACACTGAAAGGCCACCGGTGGAAGAAAGGGGCTTTCTGCGTAAGTGATACTGATCTTCACAAACCCCAAGGGACTTGGGAAAGTGTGTGAGGGCAAACTGCAGAGCCTCATTTGTTTCTGATGATGAGATAACCACTGTGGCTGTTGGAAGGGGCCCTGGCATAACCTTGGGATAGAGTTGCTGGGGGTGTGATGCCTTGGAATCTGACTTTTGCATTACAACAAAAAACAGGCATAATAGAAGAAATCAGGCTTTGGACAGGGATAAGGGGCACAGCGAAAATGATTTCTTTCTGCCGCCGCCTGTTTTATTTATCGTTGGTGGGTTTTATGATATTGATTTATTTTGTTCTAGATTTTTATTGGGACGTGGGTGGCGCTGTGGGTTAAGCCACAGAGCCTAGGACTTGCTGATCAGAAGGTCGCGACGGGGTGAGCTCCCGTTGCTTGGTTCCTGCTCCTGCCAACCTAGCAGTTCAAAAGCACGTCAAAGTGCAAGTAGATAAATAGGTACCACTCTGGTGGGAAGGTAAACGGCGTCTCCATGAGCTGCTCTGGTTCGCCAGAAGCGGCTTAGTCATGCTGGCCACATGACCCAGAAGCTGTACGCCGGCTCCCTTGGCCAATAAAGCGAGATGAGCGCCGCAACCCCAGAGTCGATCACAACTGGACCTAATGGTCAGGGGTCCCTTTACCTTTAGATTTTTATTAGTATTTCTGATTATAATGTTGCTTGCCACCCTGGGGCTTCAGAGTCAAGAGAGGACTACAGATTTCTTAAATAAATAAGTTGTATTTGGCTGTTTGAATAACTCATGCAGCTTTGCAGGTCCCTGCTGCTTTTGCTTCTGACTGACTTGGCAAGGCCTGGCTGCTTCTCCACATCAAATCTTGTGTTTAGTCTCTGCTCTGGGACTTCACTGTTTGCTCCTGGGATGCTTTCAGGCTTTTACCCCACAGCATCAGGAATGCAAATTGAGATGAGGATGATTCCTAGCATTTTAGGTAGGTGGGTGGGTAGGTAGATAGGTAGCAATTTTATGTGTTTATTGCTGGAAGTCTCTTTTGATAAAACTGAAAGGAAGTACCTTTGAGCGTGCAGAGACTTTGCACTCCTTCTCCCGTTGCAATCTTTACAACAATCCCGTGTGGCTGGTCAATATTGTTATCACCGTGTTGCTGTTGGCATGCACCCAAGGAAACAGGGGCAATTGGCAGGCCCCCAGCTGGCTCCAGCCCACCGGCCGGTGTGCCGGGCGAACTCCAGTCCTTGGTGCAGCATAAATCTGCAACCCAGGCTTTAGAAGACGGAGCATGCTATTCAGCAGAGAAACGCTGCGCAAACAGAAGTGGCAGGAGAGACTGTGTGAGCATATTTACAAGCAGGTTTATTCAGCGTAGATCAGGACAAAAGGAAACATGTCTGATCTCCTTCGTGCCCAAAGCAAAACAGAAAGCTGTACACAAACGGAAGTTCCCAGCATGCAATGCTGGTGTGTGTTACAGACATGGGACACGCAACAGTCCCATGTCTGTTCCTTAAGATGGAATGGAACATCCCAACAGTTGCAGGTGCTGAAGCAGTGTGTGTTGAGGGGACTAATCTGTGGCAGATCTGGAATTTGAATGGGGGCTTTGTGAGTCATAGCTTGGTCTGTGGATCACCGGCTCTCGCAGGGGCTCTCAGGCTGCTGCCTTCTGCGCCTGGTGCTGTGAAGTGGCGTAGGAACTGCATTAGGTTCCTTGGATGAGCCTTGCTGACACCGTCTGCCACTGTCATCATCCAGTCCTTTCTTTTCTCCTTGCAGACAGCCACCCTGTACCCAGGAGTCGTCTTTGGGATATGCTTCATCCTGAACTGTTTCATCTGGGGCAAACACTCGTCGGGAGCGGTATGTATCTTCCCAGCTCTCTTTGCTCTCTCTGGAAACACTTGGCTCGGTCTACTCTTTTCTAACTCTTACATTCATAATTTGTGTGTGTTTATATGTTCTGAGACATAAGAAATGTTGGTTAGCTCCTTTTAAGCTCCTCATATCCTTTGCCTTCCCTAATATACACATAGGGACGCAGGTGGCGCTGTGGGTTAAACCACAGAGCCTAGGGCTTGCCGATCAGAAGGTCGGCGGTTCGAATCCCCATGACGGGGTGAGCTCCCATTGCTCCGTCCCAGCTCCTGCCAACCTAGCAGTTCGAAAGCACATCAAAGTGCATGTAGATAAATAGGTACCGCTCTGGCGGGAAGGTAAAGGGCGTTTCCGTGCGCTGCTCTGGTTCGCCAGAAGCGGCTTAGTCATGCTGGCCACATGACCCGGAAGCTGTACGCCGGCTCCCTCGGCCAGTAAAGAGAGATGAGCGCCTCATCCCCAGAGTGTTCTGCGATTGGACCTAATGGTCAGGGTCCCTTTACCTTTACCAATATACACATGCTGCTACTACTACTACTACTACTACTACTACTACTACTACTACTAATTTGTTTCTTGTATCCCCACCCATCTGACTGGGTTGCCCCAGCCATTCTGGGCAGCTTCCGACAGAATATAAAAGAACATAACAAAACACGAGACCTTAAAAGCTTCCTGATACATTCTGTGAAATTATCTCCCTCCCCTCAGGCCCCACCCCCAAGAGGATGCTGCCATTTCTGTAGCTATTAAAAAAGACATTTAAGAACAATTTTCTAAATCTTGATTTTTCCAAAATATTCTGTGAAATACGCAAGCAGGACACATTTTGAACATTAGGAATTAGGAAACCGCGTTAGCTGTCTGGTGTTGCATTCATTTCCCCCCCTGGCAGGCAGGTTCTCTTAGACTCACCTTCACCAATCTGGTGTCTTCCAGATCAGGGAGCCCTTTCTGGCTGGTGGACGAGATCCTTATCTCCTGGCTGCTCCTGGGCCAAATTTGGCAGATGTGCAGAGCCCGGGATCCAGTTGTGCCGGCCACACCAGTCTTTTCAAGTGCTTTTGCCCAGCAGGGCGTTTGTCTTTGAACTGTGACAATGCCTCTTGCCTGCCAGGTTGGGGAGAGGGGTGTGTGGCTGTAACCGTGCATGGAAACCCCTGGCTTTTATGTGGGCAACTGCTCCAAAAAAATAAAATAATCTCACCTGTTTCTCTAGCTTCACTGCCATTATTATGTGGTCCCCCAAAGGTTTCCCAGCAGGGAATGAGGTGCTTGGACTGCAAAAGGTTCCCCACTCCTTCTCTAAAGAAATGCTAGGCCATAGTATCCGTCTTGATGCTCTGGGGCAAAGGGGTGGCTCCAGGTACATCTTGCCTTGCCAGGTCCCGTTCAGCTATTGCCGTACCTTCTGCCAGCCACCCGTTCTAAGAGTTGGGTTGCCGTTTGCAGGTCCCTTTCCCCACCATGGTGGCTCTCCTTTGCATGTGGTTCGGCATCTCCTTGCCCCTAGTCTACCTGGGATACTACTTTGGATTTCGCAAGCAGCCTTACGACAATCCTGTGCGGACCAATCAGATTCCAAGGCAGATTCCGGAGCAGAGGTGGTACATGAATCGATTCGTCGGGTGAGTGACCCAGAAAACCCTTTCCTGCGCAGCTGGGCCAAATGACTGTTGGGTAGCTCTTTCTTTTCTTTTTTGGGGGGATCAGTGAGCAAGTTGCTGCAGAAAAGTTTGGAAAGATCCTTAGGCCCTTCCACTGCCAGCTCAGGCAGTAAAGCATGAGACTCTCTGGGTCATGGGTTCAAATTCCACAGGGCAGAAAGATTCCTGCTCCTCAGATGGATGAGCCAGATGACCCTTGGGGTCCCTTCCAACTCTACAATTTTAGGATTTGATGATTCTAAATAGGAGCTGGAGCACTGATGCTGCTGCTGGGTTTGGGATGACGTTCAGTTGAGATACCCAGAATTTGATGGCTCCGTCTAAGGGCTTATTTCTAAAAGGATGTGTTGTTCCGTTGCTGGAAGGGAAGGCTTTCTAGTGATGGCAAGCAGTTCTGCCTCTCGGACGGCTTGTCATGTATAATCATAGTTTAGAGGTACCGGGCCCTAAGGAAGTTAGACTATCCTTCACCAGGACCAGGGCCTTCTCAGTCATGGCTCCGACCTGGTGGAATGCTCTGTCCCATGAGACTGGGGCCCTGCAGGATTTAACTTCCTTCTGCAGTGACTGTAAGACAGAGCTATTTCGCCTGGCTTTCAATTTGAACTTAGCCTGATCTTTTATTCCCCTCCCTTCTTTCCCTCCCTCTCCCCTTTTTATGAAGATTACCTGCTCTGGGATCCCACAGCTAATTCTCCCCTGGTCTCCTCGCTGGCCCAAATAGGACTAATTTAGCCAGCTAGCCCTGGTGATCATCTAATGTTTATTGGATGGTTTTTCCCCCTAAATTGACTTTTGAATTCTGAATTTATTATTCACGTTTTATACTGTATTTTATGCTGTTTTTTGTTGCATCAATTAGGTGTTTTAAATTTGTTGTTAGCCGCCCTGAGCCCGGTTTTCTGAACCGGAAAGGGCGGGGTATAAAAAAAAAATTATTATTATATTATTATATTGCTGCCACCACCAGCACCCCAGTCAGCTGGATCATCTGCAGCCAACCAGGGTGGGGCTCAGGCACTTTGAGTGGCAGAAAATGAAAAGATGGTAACTGTAGCTCAGTGCCAGATCATATGTTTTGGAGCCAGGTGATGCCAGGTTCAGTCCGGGTCATGTCCTGTTGAAAGGGTCTTGGATTACAGAGTTCAGAAAGCTGCTGTCTGTCAGTTTTGTCACCAACTCTGTGCTGGATGGCTCAAAATGCTGATGGTACGAGGGAAGCTTCCTAACTTTCTTACAGCCCCAGAGCTGGAATAGATGGGAACATAGACTTACGGATGGCCACTCCCCATAGTAACCGAATGAAATACTAGTTTCTGGGGGAGGAAAAGCAGCCTAGAGCTGTTGCCTTCAGGCCCTGCTTGTGGGCTTCCTGGAAGCGGCTGGCTGGCTGTTGTCAGAAACTGTGCTTGACTAGATGGCCTTGGATCTTATCCAGCTGGCCTGCTCTTAGGTTTGCAATGTGTGCAGCCCTAACTAGCATTACTGGATCTACAGCTGCTCCTACAGTAACCAAATTCTGTCTCTCATCTTTAGGATCCTTATGGCTGGAATTCTGCCTTTCGGAGCCATGTTCATTGAACTTTTCTTCATCTTCAGCGTAAGCGCCATTGCTGCTCTCTTCTTTTCTAACATGGGCTTTCCAGAGAGATGCACCATATGCCTTTTAAAGAGTGGTGTTGGGATGGGGTCTGTCAGAACAAACAGGACTTTTATTCAGCTCAGATCTGGCACCTCTCAAGTGGTTGCCATTGCTATTCTAAGAGAACCAGGGAGAAGTTAATGGTGAGCTCCAGCCCCTCTTTTTCTAGAAAAATAGCACTGAGAACAAGAGTGTTTTTGGGTGGGTGTGCACAGGATGAAGAATGCTTGCTGTTCCTTGTCAAGTCTTCTGGGCTTTGCACTCTAGGTTGAGATGTGGCCCTGCAGAGCCTTCCAGTATCAGTCGTGGCAGCCCCAGATATTGAGCTGCAACATTTTGCTTCTTTAACTGTCTCCAATTGGGGAATGCCTTGCAAGAAGGGATGGGTGCAAGACAGAGATGCCTTTCATGAGCGTAGAATGGATCCAGGATCCCTTACAATTCTCCTGAGGAAATGGTCCAGCAGAACAGAAAATGCAACTTAGTTCTGGGAGACCTGTCTAGAGCCAACTCGGTTACACAAGCAATTGAAGAATCCCCCGATTCTTTGAGGAAAAGCCATGGTTAAAGTGGAGAGAATTGGCTAGAGGTTTGTGATGTAGGTTTGCTTCGCTGCCTTTTTCTGCGAAGCGATAAGCTTCTTGTGTATCAAGAGCTGTCCCACCATACTCATGTCTCCTCCTTTGTGCACATCTTCTTCTCTCGCATCCAGGCAATTTGGGAGAACCAGTTCTACTACCTCTTTGGCTTCCTCTTCTTGGTGTTCATCATCCTCGTGGTCTCTTGCTCCCAGATCAGCATCGTCATGGTGTACTTCCAGCTCTGTGCAGAGGTAATAGAACAGATTAATCCTGGGGTTGTCGTTGGGGGGTTGCAGGGAATGGAACCCAGTTCTGCAAGGTGCCTCAAAAGGAAACATGGATCAGATTTAGGCAGAGAGACAGAGCTCCTGTCCTCAAGTATACAAGCCAGTTAATATATTCATCTGAATTGATCAGTAATGCTTTTCCAGAACTGCACAAGAAAGCCAGCATATCCTGGAGGAAAGTCGGCTTTTCCCTGGCATGCTAATTTACTGTGTGCAAGGAAGGTTTTTGGCTTGTGTTTCTGCGAGGAAGAATTTACACTTTCACGTGTCTGGAGAGTCTGGCTTCAGCTTGCAGTCTTGCCTAGTTTGAAGAGAACCGCAAAACAGTGCAAAACAGTGGATGCCCAAACAAGACTGGGCACCTGCGAGGGTTGTTGAGAGTGCTGGCAGAATGATGCCGTATGTCTTTCCTTCATTTGGCAGGATTACCGATGGTGGTGGAGGACTTTCCTAGTGTCCGGAGGTTCTGCCTTCTATGTGTTGATTTACGCAGTCTTCTACTTTGTGAATAAGGTACCGCTGCTATTTTCACCAGATCTGAATCCTACACTCAGTAACTATTTATTAGGCTGCGATATCTGGTCAGGGAGGCTGTCGAGTGGCAAAACTTGCTGCTCTTGAGCACTTCGGGTGGGAGATAAATAATTTTTTTAAAATTTATACCCCGCCCTTCCCGGTTCAAAAACTGGGCTAAGGGCAGCTAACAACAAATTTAAAACAATTATAAAGACAGCATAAAATACAGTATAAAAACATGAATGGCAATAAAATTCAAAAATCAATTAGATAATCTGCAGGGCTAGCTGGCTGAATTGGTCCTACTTGGGCCAGCGAGGAGGCCAGGGGAGAATTAGCTGTGGGGTCCCAGAGCGGATGATCTTCATACAAGGGGAGGGGGAGGGAAGAGAAGGGAAGGGAAATAAAAGATCAGGCTGAATTCGAATTAAAGGCCAGGTGGAATAGCTCTGTCTTACAGGCCCGACGGAAGGAGATTAAATCCTGAAGGGCCCTAGTCTCATGGGACAGAGCATTCCACCAGGTCGGAGCCATCACTGAGAAGGCCCTGGCCCTGGTGGATTTTCCATGATACACAACATGGTTGAGGTGGGAGGCCAAGGGAGGTTCCCCCCCTGCTTTTCCTTGGGTTAGGAGGGCTACTGCAGAGGCTTTGGCGCACGCTTCCTCTGCCCTGACCTCCTCCTGGTTCTCTCTTGCAGCTGGACATTGTCGAGTTCATTCCTTCCTTGCTGTACTTCGGCTACACAGCTCTCATGGTGCTGTCCTTCTGGCTCTTGACGGGGACCATTGGCTTCTATGCAGCCTACATGTTTGTCCGCAAGATTTACGCTGCTGTGAAAATAGACTGAAGATGCTCTGGCGCCACGTGGCACAAAGCAGCTGGTCCCCTCTGTTTCCTCCTAGGAAGGAAGTGGGGAACTCTCTCTCTCTCTCCCTCTCTCCTGTTTCTCCCAAGGAAACAAAACCCGGCTGGAGTGGGGGACACAAGGAATAAAAATAGTTCAATTTTTTGGAATGTAACCTTTGGCACAGCGTCCGTGGAATCGGGTTTCTTGGTGGGGAGGGTGTGTAGATATTTTGCATTTTAACTTTTATCCTATTCTGGTTATAAGGGATTTATTTTCTCTCTTCTTTTTTAGCCGAGACGCATTCCCCTCAATGAGTAATCTCTCTCCCTCCTCCCTTTTCGTCTGATTCATTTTCTGTAACGACAATAATAGGAGATTGCAATGGTTACAAATTCACGAATGAGTTTGGGGAAGATTCATCCTTTGGTGATCGCACAGCGTAGCCTTTTGCTGTGCCTTTGCTTGGAGCAAGACGGTAGAAAGAAGGTCTGCTGCCGCCTCATCATGCTCCAGTTCCGGCAAGTGCAGTTTTCTCACGGAGGGCTCTCAGACTGCCTCCCCTGGGCTGCTTGATGCTGGGAGTGTCACAGTGCAGACGGTGGCAGACACCTTTTGTCTTAGGACACTCACTTGCTTTGAACCACGATAAACTGATGATGTGGAACCACTGCCTGCTGAAAAATGGAGCGGGCCTGCAAACTGGAGGAAGGCTACTTGGAAGTCCTGGGGGAACCCCAGGGGATTTCTCAACACTGGGATTTGGGTGAGGTTTAGAGACTGGAAAACGTGCTCTGTTTTTCATGTGCCAAGGAGTCCATGGCTCAGATGTTGGGAACTGCTGCTGTAATGTGCAAGAGAGGGGAGGGAACTGGGAGAGCTCTGTTCCCCTGACCCCAATGTCAAAAGAAAGGAATTGTTCTCCCTTCCTACCCCATTCCCCTGCACATTTGGCCGACCCGCTTTTCTCACTTGTTCAGTTCTGTCTCTCCCTCCAGAAATTGAAGCGCATTGGCAGCTTTACTCTCGTCTTCTATGTGAACTAGGTTACGTAGTCACAAGACCAAGGTTATACTATCAAATTATATTTTAGCCAAGCACAATGGATCTCAGTCTCCCTTCTCAGAGACAGGAGCACCCCGCTCTCTCTCCCGCTCGTAGTGCACTGCGCATCGCAAACGAGCCTGAATCAATTTACTGGGAGATGGTTCTAAACACTTCCTTTGATAAACAGAAACTTGCTTATTTGTAATCAGAATTACAATACTGGAATTATTATTATTTTTTCAATTGCTGAAAATTAGGTCTAATTGTGGAATGGTCTAGTTGCAGTTTTCTGCTTTATGAACGAGCTGTTCCGGCAAAAGTGGGTATGCCATGGGTGGGGTGGGGGAAGGGAGGCATGCACGGGGGGGGGGGGCATTTTTTCCATGGAAAATTAATCTCTTTGGGAACACCTATTTAAGATCGTTAAACATGTATTTGTCATCAATGATGATGCCTCTTATGTGTGTCTTAATTTACCTGCCCTGTGGTAACTGCAGGAAACTACTGGGGTGAGCCTGCAGACTAGCTTGCAGGCTCACAGGGAATGAGGGGCTTGCTTGTGCATTGCTCCTCTGCCCACCCATTGCTTCCTTGCCCCCCCATGCCAAAGCCACGCCAGCCACGAATCAAGGTCTGACAAAGGGGGAGCCATGGCACTTACTACTTTTGCTATGGATCCCTTGGTGAACTCTGATCTGAGCTACCATTAGGGTACTTGACTAGGGACTGGAGTCTACTAATTCTGTGCACCAGCAGAAGCCGAGGTATGGAAGAGTTCCAGCTAGTGCAACAGGCTCCACCACCCAATGCGCCCTTGCAATTCATTCTGATGAATTGGGAGAAACCCCAGAACAGCAGGGCAGGGAGGAGGGTGGATTGTTCCGTGTGGGAAGTAGGAAGTCTTGCGCTGACATAATGATCAGAAGAGTGCAATGTTGATTTATTCCCCAAGTCCTTTCTCCCCCTCCATGATTTTCTTTTTCCAACCTGAACTGCTCTATCCCTGGCCTTCCACTATGTTTCTTGTATTTTTTAATGTATTGTTTGAGCCCAACTGTAAATAAATATGCTGTTGTTGTCATTGTGTCTTTGATTGTGCAACTTTAGCCATGGGTGAGCTGTCTTAGGTTTCCAAGTTGCAGGTGACATAACTTGTATTTGCTCTGCTGTTAATCATTCTGATCACATCATTTGGCAAAAACTATGTTCTGTGAGAAGGGAAGCTTTGCCATGGACGTCTGAGCTGGCAAGAGGAAGAATGCCCATCTTCTCCCTGCAGGACAGCCATTCTAGAAGCTACCTGATGGCTTCATTCCATTTCCGGGTTGGGTGGGTCTCCTTCCCACCGGAGTCCCTACTGCTTCTATCCTTGAAGGGGTGAGGTTCTGAGTAGTCCCTGTCTCACTGAAACCATATATGGAGTGTTGGGTTTACCATTTAGTTTCTTAAATATTGCCTTTAAATGTATGGAATAAGTTTGACCCTGCCACAGCCGCCAGCACAAACTTGAAAAGGTCTTATGTCATTCAAGGTGGTATTTCAAAGCCCAAAAAGAGATCAAGACTTGGGGAAGATCTCTTATTCTTTGCAAGGGAGATAAGTCTTATCAACAGTAATTTTATTAGTCTGTTATATTCCATGTCACTGGCATTTAAATATAAACAAGTAGGACCAAAAACAAAATGTTGCTGTATGTCCCAACCCCTCTAAGCACTCATTTGTTCAGGGTTGAAGCAGCAAGTTACTTCCTCCACTCTTGTTCAATCAATCCCGCCCCTGCCCCCCCCAGTCTTATACTTTTCCAGCTAACTAAATATGTCCACTCTACATAGAAGTCTATCTAGGAACCACTATTCCATTTGCAGGTGTTTGTTTCATAGTAGCACACACACAGCTTGCTGTGGCTGGCATCCATCTCTTTCAAGAGAAATAAGAGTACACCTCGGGGGGGGGGGGCAAGTCAAACCGCTGGAGAATCACAGCACCTGCTGTGGCAGCCGAAAATGGTAACTCGGACCTGCTACCTCCCACATTATTTTTGTTGTGTTAGCAGCACTGAAGTGACGTCCCCAGGGTGCGAGCCTGGACAGTGTATGGAGGTCCTGGGCTGCCCGGACAACAGGACGCCCCCCCCATGGATGCTGGCTAGTGAAGGGACTAACGTGCAACAGTTGCCTCACCCCGGGCAGCGGCAACCCATGCTACACCCCTGGGATAGGTTTCTAGGGAAGAGCCAGAGGCTCCAGCAGGATGATATAGAATATGGATCCTGAGTATATACAACCTGCGTTGTTCATAGGTGTTCCCACTCCCACAAACAAACAGCATAGCTTATACTTCAAACATTTTTAATAAGCATTTTCATTTTTAAAAAAACAAAACACACCCTCTTTCATTTTGGACTTAATTCTGTAAGACAAAAGAAAAGCTAACTGAACAATGATGAACTGTACACTTCCTAATGGCACTTCAATCTTTAGTTTTAAAAACCTGGACTTGTAAGAAGTCCTACAATACTTTTCATCAGAGGAGGTTATTTGCTGTATTTAGAAAAAGTGCTAGATTTGTTTGAGAAGTCCCAGCTTCAGGCCTAGAGGGCCTTGGTGGCTCTTGCGGAGGGCAGGCAGGCGGGCAGGCTTGGGAGACGAGGCAGGTACGGCTCAGGTGAGCCAAAGAGGTCAGCTCCCTCTTGCAAGGTCAGAGAAATTCCAAATGAGCCCTTGAAAGTTCAGCTGTTAAGACCACAGCCCTGAGCAGGAGAGCAAAAACACAGTCACGGGACAGACACTTTCAGGCAGAGGGGCCACCTGTGAGTTCAAGCCATCAGTTCTTGTGCTGTTCAGAGGAACAGGAAACTTTCCCGTGAAAAATGACTAGGGATACAGCATTCCTAGATGCTGTCCCAAATCTCAAATTCCAAAGCAAGAATCGTGCCCCACTGCAGGCAGATTATGTTGTCCTCTGCCCATGTTCCCTGCCCCCCACCCTGCCCAGTACAAAGCACACCAGAGTCACAGTGTATGCTATTAAGGCTTTTGCAGGAGCAACCAGAGCTCAGCTGTCTGACCCAGGGCACGTGCCATGCCAAGTGCAGGCACCCACAGGCTTCAGTTCCTCTCTGGGGAGGTGCAGGCCACTAAGTCTTGTTTCCTTCCTGCAATGCCTCCATCACCCCCTTTTTCTCATGGGTGACAGCAGTTGCCCTGTTCCCTTACCATCCTTTATATGCACACAGAAGTACAATGAAATTATGAGAACATGGCCACCATCGCAAGCAGCAGCAGGTACATGGGAGTGATGGCCGGCGCCTTGAGGTGGCAGATCACAAAGTGTGTGTGTGTGTGTGTGTGTGTGTGTGTGTGTGTGTGGCGGGGGGTATAGCCCCACAGCCTGCTCTAAGGCAAAAGCATCCTGTTTAGCAGGTAGGGTAAAACCTTGGTTAAAACACATTACAAAGCATTCAATTTTAAAAACAAACAAAACAAACCACAGCTCTTAGTTATTAAGACTAAGCAAAAACCCAGAGTTTTAACGAGATGCTCGCTAGAGGTTGAGAACACACTAAAACTGGAAAGGCGAAGGCAGCCATTCCAGACTACCTAGATTTTTTTTGGAGGGGGGGTCAGTTTAAACAGCCATGGATAACAGCAGAGAGATACTTAGTTCATTGACACGACACATAACATTTCTTTCTTTGGGTGGATGGTGAGAGGAACCACTCTGAGATGTCCCAAGGAAACAGCTGTTGCAAAAAATGCAGAAAGACACAAACCAAGCCAGAATCACAGAGGGTTCAACAACATATGTACTCACTCTCTCGGCCACAAAACTCCCACTTTGTGATCACATACCATTTTCACCATTTTTGTTAAGATCTGGCAGTCGAGGGGACCTTTCTGCTAGGACCACCAAAGCAGAGGGGAGGGGAGCATGCAGTGCACATGTAGACAACACACTGTAGGTGTAACTCTTTGCACAGAGCTTGCACTTGCAGTCATTCATTTTATCTGGCATAACTATTTAAGCAAAGATTCCTACGTAACACTAATCCAAAAGATGTTAACTTTCCCTCTTCCTTTTAATCCCAGGAGGCTGCACAACTTTTCGCTTTCGCCCTTTCTAATGGGCAAGTCTAGAAATAGTGGTATTCTAAAATTTAATTCCACTGCTGTGAAGGACACATTCTTCTTGGGGACAGTCAATCCCACAAAACAAGGCAAGAAACAAAAGAACTTGCAAAGGCATCATCTGAACACAAAAGGACGGGAGAGCAAAGCGTTCTGGGACAGAAGAGCGTGTTAGAAAATAAAATGTCAGTCAGAAAATAAAATGGGTTATGAGTTTTAAGATGTGCCAGTGAAAGGAAGGGACGGTACAACCCTCCCTGCCCCTTGATGAGTTTACTATTTACAGAGAAGAGGTCAGTGCTGGTAAAATAAAGCCATTGGGCTTATTGCTAACTAAAAGGGAAATAAACAGCTTGGTCAATAGGAAAGAGTCCAACACAGAGAGCTGCGATGTTGTAGCATTCGGCGTAAGACAGGTGGCTAACTGCTACAGGAAGAAACCACAAAGCTAAATGTTTGGGGCGCTGTAACACGGGCATCACTAAAGCTAGAAAGGGTCTAAGTACCAGCTTCTTCAAGAGGGAGGCTAAAAAGGTAGACCAAGGGTGATCAAATGGCCAAGAGGATCCAACAAACTGCAGCCATTTTAGCCAATACCCCCTTTGACATGGTTGAAATCTTCAACAGGTGATCCTACCAGTCTTTGTGCCGCATGAACTGGCATCTGCCACACCGTAAAGGAAGAAAAACCTTTTGCCTTCAATGCTTCATGAAAGGGTGGTAAATATCAGATTGGACTACACAAGAATACAAGCGGCATTTAACAGAGCATGGCTGTGGCAAGATCACCTCATCATGACCTGAATCATTTGTAAGCTCTAGGAAAATAGGGGAGGGGGGAGATGAAGGAATGGTCTTGGTTAAAGCTGAATTCTCTCTGCGAGGAGGAATGAAACCTCTTTAACGCCAAGACCCAATTCTACTTCACAACGGGCATCACACTATGAAACAAGTCGTGTGAAATTAAGTCCCCTATAAATATGCCACATTTAGGATCAAAAGGAAGGAAACAACTGAAGTATTTTTTTTTTAAAAAAACACATGCCAGTTGGAAAGGGTGAATACAGACCAGTTGTTTAGCTTTCCAAATAATATGAGCCTCAATGAAATTCACTTACAGTAGCTTAACACAAAGAAAATATCCTTATTTCCACCGGCTACAAGTTTGTAGAACTAGTTGTCATTAAGTGTAATAATGGGATAAGGATAAACAACTACTAGGTAAGATAATCAGCTCATCTAACTTTTCAAGGTAACCTGAAAGTTGTCCTGACGAGCAGTGAGAATGATGGACCCTTTCCTTTTACTGTAGCACTATCTCTGGGCTAGGCACCAAGGGGAGGAACCTGCTAATTCCTATCTTAAGTGTTGCCTCCTTCCCACTGCCTAGTTGTGACAATGACCAGGCTACCTGCCAAGCAGATTCGGATTCAGACAATTTCACTCCTGAGTAAAGCTAAAAGGGGTGGAGGAAGTACCCCCCCCAAAAAAAAAACTTCAGAGAAAACTTAGTTCTGCACAGAGAGAATGCCCTGGTAGTGGGACAGAAGATTCTGCAACATTTCTCCTCCTCAGCCCAGTTTGAGCTGCTCTGTGCTTTTTCCTCCTGCAAAATGCATCCTGGCTGAAGAACACAGGGACATGATGGCAAATCTTACATATGTAACATGTGAACATGGCTTCAGTGGATGATTCTCCCTCAAGTTCTTGCCCCACCCCAAATTATTAGCAGAGAAATATTTTGGTATAAATGTGAATACTAAGCTTGGGGTCCAAGATGGCTCTGAATTACTGGGCGGGCTTGGGGGGCACAGAGATCTTACCTATATCTTCGGTTAGGCAATAAGAGCAAAGAAACACAAGTCATGGAGACATATTCAAAAGAACAAGGGCTATAGCCTGAAATATTCTCCCGAGTCAGACTTTTGTCAAAACTCAAGGCTGGAAGCAGTAAAGCAGGCAACAGACAAGGCAGGAATTGCCAAAAACTGGAAGAGTCACACAACAAAAAGGCAACTCAACCTGAGAAAATCGTGGATCAGTTACGTTCAAAAGTCTGAAGAAGGCAGAAGTGTGGAGATTTATCACAAGTGTCGAGGTAGGGATGTGGTGAGGATTGCATAAGAGACTGTGCAGCAATTTCTGGAAAAAGAGAGGAACAGGAAACACAACTGAGGTATTTAAAAATACTGAATGATAAGGAGAAGCCCAGACACTCTCCTATTTACCCAGCGCAAGGCACTCGCTGAAATTAGAAAGGCAACGTCTTAAAAACAGATCAAGAAGCATGGCTTGTGGAACTCACTTTCACATGCTATTGTTGAGGTAAGTATAATGCAAAATACTAAACTGATATGAAAAAAATCCAGCTAGAGAAGGGCTAGCTAAGCCTACAAAGCCTGTCCTTGCGACAGGACGGGGAATCCTGTACTGAAAGCATCTAAACACTGGAAGGCAATGGGAGAAAAACCCAGACCTTAAAAGCAAACTGGAACTAACTGGAACTAGTAGAAAACAAACTTGCTATGTATCTGCTGAAGCAGAAGGGGCTCCAGAGAGACCACTAACTACATCTTAGGATGAAGGCAGAGGTAGGCTTATACGCAGGCAAGCAAGAGAAACAGATCCTACTGTCTTAACCCCTACTCCACCCCATATATTTATTTATATATGTATGTATATATCTGAGGTATGAAGAAGTGAACATCTGGGGCTCGTGAAGATACCCTGAAGTGCCACACAGGCAGACTGACCCCAAACGAGGTTACCAAGTGCGAATTCATAAGGACAGGGAGGAAGGGAACCTACTTCATGAGGTATTTGCTGTGATACAGACAGAATAGCCCAGGAAAGCAGCTTGCTGAAATGGCAAGGGAAAAAGGAAGTGGAATCCAAGCAAGAGGGGGAAAGGAAGCAGCAAACCCAGGACGCAAATGCATGATGGAGAAGCAGAAACCCAGGAGCAACTGGGAAGCACCAATGGGCCCAGTTCATCAACTTGCCTTGGAAGACAAAGCACGCAAGGACCCTGAACTGTCGCAGAAGAAGCAGGCAGCAACCCGGACAGCCACTGCACTCTTTGCATGTCCCCACCCTTTGGTTTACTGTATGGGTGCAAGATCGCAGAAAACATTACAAAGCAGCCCTCATTTTAACTGGGGTAACACATTCCTGGAACACAGGGGAAACGCTAGGAACTGGCTGTGCAAGAGAGGTTGGGGGGGACAGAAAAGCCCAGGGGGTCTTACAAGGGAATGCAAGGTCCCAAGGAGACAAAAGAGCATAGGAAGTTGTGGGAAGCAGAGGCAAGTGGCACAAGTCTTGCTGAGCCACTGGGAGAACAAGACTGTGGCCCTGTTCCTTTGGGCAAAGGAACGGCTTGGGCAAGCCCACTCCAATGCCTATGAGGCTGAAATATTAAGCTCTATGGCTACTGCAAAGCACAGCCCAATGGCTTCCTCCAACAAGCACTGGGGTGAGGTAGAAGGAAGCTTCTTCTCAGGACTTGCTGCTGCTGGGCTGAAGCGTTGGCTTCTCTCAGCAAGCTCCTTTGTGCTTCAAAGCCAAGGACCAAGTGTCAATTGCAAGGAATTGTGGCAGACCTCAGTGCTGAACTTAAGCAAGCCACAGAAGTGGGGAGAAGCCCTCAAGCAACGAGCTTCCATTAACAGGTGAGGCCGTGGTCCACTCCCCTCCATCCCTGCGTATGCTTTGGGAAAGAGTGCTCACAAACACAGAAAAGCAAGCCGGGCTGTTTGGGCAGCAGGATCCTTCTGACCCACGCTGAGATTTAAGGGAACATGACCTACAGAGCAGTCAGCTAAATTGGCAAAAGCAATCCATAGTCAGTTTTGCTTTCCCCACAGGGGAAGAAATGGAAGTAGTGAAGTGAAATCAGGGCGACCCGATTCCATTGTGTAAACAGTGTGCGAGCTGCGCCAGAAACAAGGACGGTGTTCCTGGCACTTCCTGATTTGCAATGGTGGGGGTGAGGGGTGGGCGGGAAGACTTTTTACGGGCGCGTAAACACGATTCGGTTGGAATGAGTCTTAATGATGCGGCTCTGAAGAAAGGAAGTGTTGACTCCGCACACACTCAGTACTGTGTGGGCGCAACCAGGAGAGGTGATGTGGGAGGGGCAGCAGGCGACAACAGGCTCTTCCAGCCTTCCCCGTGGACTGAGGTGCTGAAATGCAGAAGAAATGTTGTGCCCTAACGTGAGGCAGACCCCCGATTCAATAAAGTGGAATGAGGACGGAAGCCCCAAGGAAGGTCAGTGTGATGCCTGATTTACCAAACAAACAAGGTTGGGGAAATACCTGAATTTCTATTTGCTGCAACCTACACACTGTCTGGGACTGAGGCGCACATCAAAGTCCGCGTGGCAGTTCCAGTCCATGCAGGCACTCCTCCCCTCAAGCCTTCCCAGACTACGGTAGGAAGGAAAACAAATCCGGGCACCTTTGCCGTACCCAATCCACACGCCGAAGGGAAGTCCCGTTCTTTCCCCAGCTGCCTCACTGGAACGCTTGGTGAAAACGTGGCAAGGTGGTTGCACCCAAGCCAGGAGAGAACATGGAGGGCAGCGAGTGAAGTGCTCCGAAGCCAAGGGAGGTCGCAGCTCCTGGCGCCTCTTGCGGTGGCAAAGTGGTGAGGAGTGACTGGGTCTCTCCCTGTGAATAGCCCATGACCAGACCCGCCGAGGACACGGGAGGGTTGATTGACGGGAGGTTCAAGGGAAGGAAGCCCAGGAGATGGGAGAAGTCCATGTTAGCAGCACAGAGAGCCTCAGAAAGCAGAGCGGGGCTCTTGGAGAGCAGAGTCTCCTCCAGGGTGATAGGCTGAGGAGAGGACGAGGATGGCTCACCAGGCACAAGGGACAGGCCTCCAGGGAGCTCTGCCAAACAGCTGTCCACCTCTGTTTTGGGGAGCTTGTCAGGCAAGTATGAGGTAGATCCAAGCTGGTACTTTGGGGGAGGTTGTGGTGGGGAGGACGACTCCAGGGGGTAGCTCATTCCCATTGGCAGAGGGTTAGGGACTAAAGAATGGGGCATTCCTGAGCTGGGCATGGTGGGGACATGTGCCCCATACATGCCCATTGGCAGCATCCCAGGGAAGCTCTTACTGTTCATCACATCCCGGGATGCCATGCACAAGACGGGGCTCAGTTCCTCTTTCACTGCCATGGCTGAGCTGCAGCTGAGGAGGCCTAGCATGTCCACTGGCTCCGTCTTGATCTTCAGCAGTTCTTGGGAGTGGCTCTTCTTCATGTGTCTGGTCAGGTGGTCTTTGCGGCCAAATCGCTGGGCGCAGTACTGGCACAGGAAGTCCTTCCGGCCCGTGTGCACGACCAGGTGCCTCCTCACATCTTTGCGAGTGTAGAAGCGGCGGTCGCAGTGGTCACACGGGTGCTTCTTCTCCTTCACGCTGCCCGAGGGCCTCCGGGAGTGGGCCTTGAGGTGCTCCAGCAGGACTTGGGTGCTCTCAAACATCTGCAAGCACACTTTGCAGCTGAGATCGCCACTGGCGGCAGCATGCATGGCCAGGTGGCGCCGGTAGCCAAGCTTGGTGTTGTAGTTCTTGCCGCACTCTGGGCAGTGGAGAGCTTCTTTGTTGGGGTCATGTGTCTGCAGGTGGTTGCGAAGGTGGTCCTTGCGGTGGAACATCTTCTCACAGTACATGCATTGGTGGGGCTTCTGGGCAGAATGGGTGGCCAAGTGCCTTGCGGGGAAAAGAAGCACAGGTTATAAGCAGCTTACTTGTGTCCCTGCCCCCGCCTCCACCACAAGCACCACAAAAGCTGGGCAGGTTAGCTTGGGCAAGGAGATTCTCCTCTTCCCAGTTTTAAGAGTTATAGGAGTGAAGGAGAGCGAAGAATTTGGCATTTGCCAAACCCATCCACACATCTTACACCATTCAGATCATAAATGGGACCTGGGGGGAGGATGTTATGGAGGCTTGTGTGGCGAGGTCTGTTGCCTTTCACCAGCAGCCCCAAACTTTTCACCTATGGCCACATAGTGTAAGTTATCCTTCTTATGCTTGGGAAACACTGCTCTAAAACAAACCTGTTCCATGGCCAAGTTTGAACCTGAGGCTGCTCCGTCCTAGCCCAACCCTCTAACCCAGGGGTGTCCAAACTTTTTTCAAAAAGGGCTAGATTTGATGAAGTGAACATGCAGGAGGGCTGACGAAAGTTGTTGACCTTTTAGGACTGAAGTTGTTGAGCTTTTTTTGGATTTCCCCCCCAAGGTTGTTGAGCTTTATTTAGGGGCCGAATTAAACTGACTGGCGGGCCGGATTAGGTCCCTGGGCCGGACTTTGAACATGCCTGCTCTAACCCATCCCCCCTACATACCTGTAGAGCTTGTACTTGGAAGCAAAGGCCTTGCCACAGTGCACTTGAGGGCAGCCGTACGGTCTCTGCTCTGGGTTTGCTCTCAGCTTATCCACACTGGGGAAGGAGGCTCCTGACGGTTCGTGCTGGCATTTCCCTTGGCTCTCGCTTTCTCGGCCCTTGGGGCGGGGGACTAGTTTCCAGCCCGTCTCCTCCTCCTCCTGCTTTGCATCTTGAATCCAGTTGGGGACGCTGGTGAAGAATGCGGTCATGGCAGGCCTAGCAGAGGAGGGCCAAATGAAGCAGAAGTCCTGCCCATGGGCATCTCACTGGTATAGCCACACCCACTGACAATTTTCAAAAGTTTCAGCAAGAAGAGGTTGCTACCTGGAATGATGAATTGCATGATTAAGGGAAGTGAATGGACACATGCACAGAGATGGTGGGACAAGACTCCACATTTTAAATCTACTTTTAGGCACCAGCCCTATTCTGAGTACAGGAAAAGATTTAGATCCCTAGATGTCAACATCAACCTTTAAAGAGCACTTGTGACTTGTTTTCAGTTTCAATATTTGAAGAAAAGATTATTACCACAATCTTAAATGCCAAAGCGAGTGTATAATTATTGCAGCAACAGTGGAAATCTGTCTGCATTTTTAAAAAAAAGGCTCAGGACACAGTCCAGCTCATCTTGAGGTTTCATTACTGACACAGTGTGTCTTGGATTCAGTGCATGACACTCCTTTTACTTTTGCAAATGCCTGATAAAGGAGATGGCATTTACCTTACCCAACACTTACCCACTGAACTAGTACATTGCTTTAATCAGGTGAGCTGCATGATGTAAGGGCAGGGGTGGGAACCTTTTCCAGTCTCAGGGACGCCGTGCCTTCTGGGCAACCTTCAGGAGGCAAAAGTGGAGAGAGCAACTCATGTAACTTTTACCTTTGTATAGTGGCCTAGCTGCTGCACATCCCGCCCCCCTTCTTTATATGCTCTACCCAGGCCAGCAAGAGACATAGCCAGCCAGGCAAAGCAGTGAGTGTGGGAGGAAACAGGACCAGTAAATTCCCACTCTGCTATAAGGCCTGGAATACTCCCACTTGGAGAAAATGTTGAAATATACATTTGTTAAGAAACCAGAAGCTTTTTTTCACTAGGCATTACAGGTAATGAGATAAATAAGAAAGAAAAGAAGTTATTTTTATATGCAGTGACAGCAGCAAGAATATTGATGGCCCAGAAATGGAAACAGGAGGAATTACCTACGATAGAAGAATGGAGAACTAAAATGATGGATTATGCAGAATTGGACAGAATGACAGGAAGGATCCGGAATCGACGAGACCAAAGATTTACAGAAGACTGGGAAAAGTTTATCCAATATATGCAAAAACTGAGTGATAATAAAATTATGTTTGTAAGTTTTAAGGAAACTCTGTGAGGCGAAATGGTTAAAAGGGCAGAAATATGTAAAAGGTAATAAAGGGAAGGAACGGCAGACAAATTGAGGGAAGTAAAAAAAGAGAAGTAAGATGTAATTAAGATGTATGGAATGCATAAATTTGTTTTTGTATTTGAAAATTTAATAAAAATATAATATTTTTTTAAAAAAAGGAATACTCCCACTTGGGCGATGGAAATTACATCGTTACAATCCAAATTCCAGAAGTGTTGGGGGTGACCTTTCATAACCTGAGAATAAAGTATCTTGCCTGCTCCACCCCATTCCTGTGTTGATCTTCTAAATACAGATGTCACTTTTAAAAATTGCTATTGGGAAAATGTATTTTGGGATGAGACGAGTGATCTGGGAGCACCAGCCCCATAGCAATGGAAGCCAAGGAGGTGGGGGAAAGATCTGGTAACTGTTCCGCTGCTAAGACCACATGAACACTTTCTACAGCAGCTCTGAGATTTCTGAAGTAACGACTGTATGTTAAGAACAAATAGTCACAGCACCTTAATGTCCTCATCTTGGCCTGCCAGGTACATAATTATTGTTTACATTTTACATCTGGGAAACTGAAGCATGCCCTTGTTTTTGTTTTGTCATTTACATTGTATTACATACCAACGGAAAGCCTTCTGCACATAGCCAAAGGCTCAAGCAAGACCTGAACGGCTAAAATGCTGTTTGTGTGGCTGAGGCACATGGCTTAGACTGCATCCAAGACTCAGGGAACCCTCTACGAACAAACAGGTGCAGAAAGTGCTTAACCTAGTTTTATGGAAGAAGTGAGGATTGAAGGGGGAGAACAGGGCAAGCAGAGTTCATAGCACTAAAATCCCATGCACTCCTCTACTACGGGAAGCTCCAAGTTTTTCACGTTTATCTTAAGGGGAGAGAAACGATGGAGTTCTCTGTGTATTTTCTCTCTTGGCAACGGAATATGGGAGTCAGCCCCATTCCAAGCCATGATTACTGTCTCAATCAGGCCCAAAATGGTCTGCTCCGATTGGCAGCGGCAGCAGCTTAGGGGCAGAAAAGGTCTTTCCCAACACCTCCCACCGGATCCTTTTCACGCCAGAGGTTGATCCTGGAGCCTCCTGCATGCCCAGTACCCGCAGCGACACCGCTGACCCTTCCCTCCAAAAGGCACAGAGGCTGGTGTCTTCCTAGCTACGACCCCCCTGCCCTCACTCTGCCCTGTTTCAGCCCCAGGGCTCCTTCCTCCAGTCCGGTCCCTGCTTCCACCTGCAACCAAGTAGAGCTGCACCTGCTCTTCCTGCCCGCCCGTTTCCCACCATAGGTCTGGAAGCTCCTCGGGGCAGGGGACTGACCTTTGTTGTTGTTGTTGTTCTGTAAACGCGTGCACGGCGCTACTGGAATATTATGGCCGCCCTCACCTATCTGGGGGGATGGGGGGTGTACCTAACGTTGGAGGGGGGGTCCCCAAACTCCATTAACCCCCCCGCCACCCCCGCGCATGCGTACTTTCGAGAAACCGTTCCCCCCCCCCGCCACTAATACACAACCCCTCAAGGCCGCTCGCTCGCTCGCTCACCCCCACCCCGCGAGTCGCTCCCCTCCGCTGGCTCGTCCCGGCTGGAGGAAAAGGCGAGGAAGAAGACGACGACGAAGGCGGGCCCAGCTCTTGTTGTGGTAACTGAGCGGGCGGCGGAGGCCCCATGTCCGGAGGCTTCGGAGAAGAGGAACCGCTCCGTGAGGAGGAGGAGGAGGTGGCGGCGGCTGAGGGGACTGAGGCGGCGGCGGTTCGTTCGCCTTTATTTTCCTCTCGCGGGCTCGCTCGCGCCCCTCAAGGCCTCCATGGCGCCACATCCGGCCCAGACCGGAAGCCGCCTCGGCTCGGCCGCTCTGCCCTCACGAGCGCCGCCGCCGCCGCGGGGAGTGCCGGGAAAAGGGGCCGGTCGCCATGGAGACGGGCGCGGCCTAGCCCGGCCTAGCGAGGCAACTTCTCTCCCGCTAAACTCTGCGAGCCGAAGCCGCTTCTTCCAAGCCGGAGGAAGAGACGGAGGGAGGCATGGCTGTTCCCGGGAAGGAGCCGGTCGGCGTCGCGGGCCTGCAGGTGCTGCTCGTCCTGTTCCACCTGGGCAGCGGAGGCGAAGGCGGCGGCGCCTGGGACCCGTCGGGATACTTACTCTACTGCCCCTGCATGGGTGAGGCGGCGGGGGGCGGGCGCCTCCTTTCCTCCCCTCCCGGGCGCCACTCGGGTCATCACAGTCCCCTCCCCCCCCCTTTTCTCCTTCCTCTCGCAGGCCGGGGCTCTGTAGGCCGGGGGCTCTGAGGGGCCTTCTCGGTGCCGATGGACTACAACTCCCGTCATCCCTCACTGCGGACCGCGCTGGCTGCTGGGAGTGGAAGTCCAGCCGTACCTGTTTTTTTCCCAGAACTTACTCAAAATCAAGCAAGTGTTTAAAGTGGAGATGGAGTAATAACCACACTTGCTGTCACTGAGAATATACGTTAAGGTTCACGTGGGGGGTTTGTTTGTTTGTTTGTTTGTTTGTTTTGCTGCATGCAGGGATGTAAAGGGGCAGCTGATGGATAATCATTTTGACAAATTCTGGAGGGTGTTAACTAGAGTTTAACTGAGAACAAAGCACAGCAATAGGGGCACATCTTGGACATATCTCATGCGGAGAGCGGGAAAACGGTTTTGGAAAACTGTATTAAATTGAGTTAATTTGGCAGTGATTTGTAATACAGTGGTACCTCGGGTTACATATGCTTCAGGTTACAGATGCTTCAGGTTACAGACTCCGCTAACCCAGAAATAGTACCTCAGGTTAAGAACTTTGCTTCAGGATGAAAACAGAAATCGTGCTCCAGCGGCGCGGCGGCAGCAGGAGGCCCCATTAGCTAAAGTGGTGCTTCAGGTTAAGAACGGACCTCCGGAACGAATTAAGTACTTACCACTGTACTGTAATTCAGAAAATCAATAAAAATAATTGGCAGTGAAGTCCAGTCATACCTAGAGGCTGCAGATTCACATATTTTTTCTCCTCTGTTCCTTTTACCTTTTTGTTAAAACAAAAACCAACATGTCGTTTCTTCTGCTGTGCTTTTTTGTAACTTGGGATGCTGCCTTGCTCTCAGGGTGGGTCGCGGTCCATCTAGCTCAGTGTTGCTTGCGGTGACTGGCAGCAGCTTCCTTGGACTGCAAACCAAGAGTCCTTCCCAGGCCTCTATGGCCTTTTAAATTGTATGTGTGGAAGGCTGTTATTGTTTTGCTTATTATATTATGTATTTTTGTGTTTTTAATACTGTAAACTGCCCTGTGGTCCTTGGATGAAGGGTGGCGTCAAAAATTAATTCATATTAATGATGAAGGGCCTAGAAAGGCTACAATGATGATACTGGGCATCAAACCTGGGGCCTTGCGCATGCAAAACAGGTGCTCTGCAGTTGAGTTATGTCCTTTTACAAGACTGTTTCCCCCTGTCTGTCAGATGATGGGTCAGAGGGACAAGTTCATTCCTGCTGGGTGCTGCTGCGCTAGTGTGTTTTCCACAGGGCAAAGCAGACCTGTGCTGCCAGCAGGCTTGAACCTTCTGCTCATCATTTGGCGAGCAGAGAGTTCCATCCTGCTGGGTGCTGCATCACCAGCATGTTCCTGGTGGGGCTGCTGCCCTGTAGGTTATTGTTATGTTGCTGCGTGCTACTATTGCATTGTAGGTTAGGGAGTGACCTGCTTGTGGTTCTTGATCAACCTGTGGAGTGCACCAATTAGAAGTTAAATGTTAAAAGTCAAGAAAATAATACAAAGTGTGTGGACTTAAAGTGTGTGTGAGAGAGAGAGATTTAAAGACTGCTAAACTATTATAAACTCCCTGGGCAAGCTTTCAATTAAGGTGACAGCAACTGTGATTTTCATTTCAGCTTTGTAAATAGCCACTTGATTATTCGCTATGGGTATAATTTGCCTCCAGGTTATCAGACGTCTCGTTGCCACCTTCCTTGATACAGTGGTACCTCGCAAGACGAATGCCTCGGAAGACGAAAAACTCGCAAGACGAAAAAGTTTTTCGTTTTTTGAGTTGCTTCGCAAGACGAATTTCCCTATGGGCTTGCTTCGCAAGACAAAAAACGAAAACGTCTTGCAAGTTTGTTTCCTTTTTCTTAAAACTGTTAATATCCAGGGTGCATTGCTTGAAGAGGTGCAGTTGCGACTTGACTTCGAGGAGCAACTCATAGCACGCGGTGTGGTAGCCTTTTTTGAGGTTTTTGAAGACTTTGGTGATTTGAAGACAGTGGTGCTTCGCAAGACAAAAAATTCGCAAGACAAAAAACTCGCAGAACGAATTAATTTCGTCTTGCGAGGCACCACTGTACCGCTTTCTGACTTGCCTTATGCTTAAGCTTTGTGAATAATTCAACATAATGAAGGAAGCATTTTGATTTTGGCAGCCATGTAGTTCTTCCATATGAAGTTGCCCTAGGCTTGTTGCTCTGCCCCAGCCTGGTGACTAAGAAACAGGTCTTTATGTTCTATTTCAAGGGAGATTTGGGAACCAAGCAGACCATTTTCTGGGCTCTTTGGCGTTTGCTAAAATGGTGAATCGGACCTTAGCTGTGCCCCCCTGGATTGAGTACCGGTATCACAGGCCTCCCTACACAAATGTAAGTAGTTCTGAAAACTTCTGATGTACCGTATTTTTCGCCCCATAGGGCGCACCGGCCCATAAGGCGCACCTAGTTTTTTGGGGAGGGGAATAAAGGGAAAAAAATTATTTCCCCCCCAGGCGCGGGGCTGGGGCGAGGGAAGCCCGAGCTTCCCCCGACCCCAGCCCCCAGAACAGGCAGCTTTCCGCAAGTCATGGGAGCCCAGCGCCAGGCTCCCACGGCTTGCAGAGAGCTGCGCGAAGTTTGAAGCCTGGGCGCGCTGAGCTCAGCACGCCCAGGTTTCGGCATGCAGGCAACTCTCCACAAGCCGTGGGAGCCCGGCTGCGCGAAGCCTGGAGAGTGAGAGGGGTTGGTGCGCACCGACCCCTCTCGCTCTCCAGGCTTCAGCGAAAGCCTGCATTCGCCCCATAGGACGCACACACATTTCCCCTTCATTTTTGGAGGGGGAAAAGTGCGTCCTATAGGGCGAAAAATACGGTATATTGGGTTCTGTGCTTTTGGAATGCTAAGTATTTTCCCAAAGCCACACATAAAGCAGGCTCAGTGAATAGGTCCTTGGAATAGATAACTCATCTATTCTGCTAGTGTTGGGTGCTACCTACATTTTGTATACCTTGTACAAGCAAAAAATAAAATAAAAATTGTTTTCAACCATTAAGCTCTGGTCCCCCTCTAGTCTTTAATTAGCCAACTGCAGATATTGAAAGCTCTCCTGGCCTCTGCTTCAAGCCGGAGTTTCATGGATAGTGAAGGAGTCAATAGTACATCAAACCTGCAAATCTGACAGACCAGGGTAGACTAGGAAATCCTTCAGCCCTTTAAGTTCTGCTGCTCGCTTTTCCTTCAGACGGTTGTGGATTCACTATTGCTGGAACAATTATGTGTGTGGACAGGCTCTTAAACTCTGTTTTCTTTGCGTTGCAGCAGCACGTTCCCTACAAAGAATACTTCAAGCTGGCGCCTCTCCTGGAGTATCACCGGGTCATCACTTTGGAGGAATTTATGGAAAAGTTGGCGCCCATCCACTGGCCTCCTGGCAAGCGAGTGGCATACTGCTTTGAAGCAGCGGCTCAGAGGAGTGCTGACAAAAGGACTTGTCCCATGAAGGTAAGAGTCCTTCTCATCCCTGAGGTGCCTTCTGTAACCCTGGGCTGTAGTAAAAGCTCCGCTGCTGCTGTTCTTCTAAATCAAGAAAAAAGCACACCAAGAACTCTGGCCAATATAAGTTTCAATAGTGGGAGTGGTCCCTACTCACGAGTCAATAGTCAATTGTAACAAAAACTAATCCATTCAAAAGTATGTATTCTGACAAGGATTACAAACTCAAATAGAGATTACGAACTCAAACAGAGATTACAAATTCAAACTCATAAAGATATGTATAACATAATAATTTGTTACAGTATTAGAGATAAGAGTTCGTGTTAGTCCATAGTCAGATTTGACGTGAAGATCTTAAGTTTCAATCATTGAGCAGAAGTCAATTATGGATCAGAAATTATGGATCAGAAACCAGGACAGGGCCCTGTTTCAATGTATTCACCTTCATCAGCTGGAAGTATCAAACATTGTATGAAAATAATTCTAAATTATCATAAATTATAAAACAGTATTATGCAACAGCTAGCTAGGAACCATGGGAGTTGTAGGCCCAAAACATCTGGAGGGCCGAGTTTGAGGAAGCTTGTTCTAGATAATGTTCTGTGGATCATTTCAGTGTGTTTGTATTTAACTTCCTTTCATCATCTCTATACTTGGAAAGCTCCCGGTAAACTTACACACAGGTTTCAGTGGGGGCGGGACTATGGAATATGGGCTGTGTCAGCTAGGAGCTTGCGGCTCCCGTAGCAACTGCAAAGCTGCCTGTTCCTCTGGCCTGCCTCACCTTTCGTCTGCCGCAGTGAACGAGCAGCTGCCTTTGCTTTTGCAGGATGGAAACCCCTTTGGCCCCTTTTGGGATCAGTTTGCTGTGGATTTCGATAGGTCGGAGCTGTTTGGAGGCCTCTCTTTCAGTGCCTCTTACAAGGACCACTGGATTCGAAGGTAGCAAGTGTCGCTTGGGGATGCCATTGGGTGAAGGGCATGGTTAGGCACTGGGCACATTCCTCCATTGCTGCTCTGGCTTGTAAAGGGTTCTTGGAAATAATACTCATCATCATCATCTTTTATTTGTATCCCGCCCTCCCCAGCCGAAACCAGGCTCAGGGCGGCTAACATCAGACATATAACTGTTGGGATGCTGCTAAGGAATCAGGAGCAATTGGGAAGCCCCCAGCTGGCTCCAGCCCACCGGCCAACGTGCCGGTCGAACTCCAGTCCTTGGTTCAGCATGAATCTGCGACCCAGAGCTTCAGAAGCTGGGCACGCAACTCAGCAGAGTAAACGCACAACAGAAGTGGCAGGGAGAGGCTGTGTAAAGCATATTTACAGGCAGTTTATTCAGCGTACATCAGGACAAAAGGAAAAACATGTATTCTCCCTTTCATGTCCAAGCAAGCAGCATAACAGAAGTTCCCAGCAAGCTGTGCTGGAGTGTAAACAGACATGTGACAACAATTCCACATATCTGTTGAGGTGGAACGTAATATCTTAACAATAACATTGGTGTAAAATCAAACAATAATTAAATTACCTCCTAAAAAAACAAGTCAGTATCAAATTAAAATCTAATTAGATGGCTTTCCGCAGGATTAGGGTTGGGAACATAGCTGTCAACTTCCAGATTTGAAAATAAGGGATCAGCAGCCTCGAAAATAAGGGATCAGCAGCCTCACCTGTCCCGGGGACAGTCTACGGGATATCTAACAATCCTGGATAGCAGCCGGAAGCAGCGGGAAATGGCGCTGGAATAAGGGAATTTCCCGCAAAAAAAGGGAAGGTTGACAGCTATGGTTGGGAACAGTAAATGCTTATCAGGCCCAACTGCTTACGCTGTTCTTATATGGGCCTGTGAGAATGCTGGGAGGCCTCTTTCATACTAGTTCTTATACAAAAAGAGAAGGGGATTCAGGCTGAGCCCTGACCAAAGGCCTGGCAGAACAACTCCATCTTGCAGGCCCTGCAGAAAGATGCCAAATCCCGCAGGGCCCTGATCTCTTGTGGCAGAGTGTTCCACCGGGCCGGGGCCCAGGCCAGCCTAATCTCCCTGAGGCCTGGAATCTCCAAGATGTTGTTATTTGCACACCGTAAGGAAAGAAGGACAAGCACGGATGGCAACCAAGGTGATTTAACAACAAGAAAACACAAAAGCAGACAAAATATAATAACAGACGAAAACTGAGCAGATAAAAATGCCTTGATAATAACATTACATTTTCCATTGAGGATGGGAGAAGAAGCAGTGGCATATAGCAAAATAGGGGTCTTTCTGGTTCCTATTTTTGGGAGATGACCATCTGGGTCCATTAGACTTTCCTCTAAATCATTTAGGAAAAAGCTAAACAATGTGGGGGCAAAAATACAGCCCAGTCTCACTCTCCTTGCCATCCCAGTACAATCTGAAAGTTGGCCCTGCAACCCACATCTAACCTGCAGTTTGCTATCACTGCACAGAGCTTTAATGAGGAAGAAGAGTCGCATAACGGTCTTTGGGTGGTATGTGTTTTATAAGAAGTTCAAGGATCTTGGGCAGTAGAACTAGGAAAGACATCTCCAGCTCTGAGACCGTAAGACACTGCTGCCAGTTGGCATGTGTGGGGCAAAGGTCTGTCACAGTATTAGGCAGATGCATGCATGCATAACTAAAGTCTGCTTGCTTAGTCTGTTGATTTTTCAGAGATTGCTGCCGTAGTTTAAAATACAGGGAGGTGCATTTTGCAATTTCTTTCCCCTAAGGAGGCCCGCCTAAGCTCCAGTATGCAAATATTTGGGAGGTGATGCAAGTGTCTGGGGAATTAGGAAGTTCTTATGAGCTGAAGAGCATGACAACAGAAATGCAAAATACAGATTAACTTTATTCGGGTTAGCATATTCTTCATAAATCTTGTTAGTAATTCATCTCTTTGTTGTAGGTGTGTTAAAAAAATTTTTTTTTTACTAAAAAAAAAAGCATTTGCAATAAAAGTTCCTAACAGTAAAAACTGAGCAGCACTGGTGCAAGCAAACATGGCAAGTTGTAGCTCCTGTTGATCTTTCCACTGTGTCTTTTACTAGGTTTCCCTCCTCTGAACATCCTGTTGTGGCTCTTCCGGGGGCCCCAGCCCAGTTTCCAGTTCTGGAAGAGTACCGCTCCCTGCATCAGTACATGGTATGGTCTGATGAGATGGTGAACAAAGGCGAGTCCTATATTAATTCGTTCCTGGTCAGACCCTACGTGGGAATCCATTTGCGTGTCGGTTCAGACTGGGTATGGTTCTTACATATACTTCCATGGGGACTGTAATGTGGGCAGGGCTGTAATAGAGTCTGACTGGCAGCTTCTAGCTCCATATGAATAAAAAAGGGAGAGGGCGGGGCTGTTAAGAACATATGCTGGTTCAGAACAAAATCCTACCTAGCTCAGCATCCTGTTGCTTACCTAGGGCCATCCTTTGTCAGCTGGGTGCCTCTGGGAAGCTCATAAGCAGGAGTTGAGATCAGGTACCCTCTCTCTGTTTTCTTCCCCAGCAGCTGGTGATATTCAGAGGCATGCTTTCTCTGATCCTGAAGGGGTGTACACATAGTGACTTGCAGTTATTGACAGCTTCTTGCATACTTGAACTAGACTGTTTGGGGATGGGAATATAACTGAAGCTAACAACAACAACAACAACAACAACAACAACAACAATACATTTTATTTATACCCCGCCCTCCCTGGCCAGAGCCGGGCTCAGGGTGGCTAACACCATTAAAAGCACAGTAAAAACATAATAGGGGGGGGGGAGAGAGAGAGAGAAAAAATATTTAAAATACATGTTAAAATGCAATTTAAAATGCAGCCTCATTTTAAAATAGCCGATAAATCAAGACCATAAGGGGAGGGGAACATAAGGGTCAGACCGAGTCCAAACCAAAGACCAGATGGAACAGCTTTGTCTTGCAGGCCCTGCAGAAAGATGTCAAGTCCCGCAGGGCCCTAGTCTCTTGTGACAGAGTGTTCCACAACGTTGGGGCCAGTATTGAAAAGGCCCTGGCCCTAGTTGAGACCAATCTAACCACCTTGCGAACTGGGACCTCCAAAATGTTGTCATTTGTGGACCTAAAGGTCCTCCGCGGGGCATACCAGGAGAGGCAGTCCCGTAGGTATGAGGGTCCTAGGCCGCATAGGGCTTTAAAGGTCAAGAGCTGATCCTGTACTCCACCAGGAGCCAGTGCAGCTGGTAAAGCACTGGATGAATGTGATCCCGTGGCAAGGACCCTCCATTAGCAATGTGGGTTTTTTGCCTGCTTTGGCTGGCTGTATGGAATTCTCCATTGCTATAAAGTCCTCCTACCTTTGTATGATGCTCTGTTTCTCACCACGTCTACCTGTGTGTGATGTTCTGTTTTTCTCCTCCCCCACCTTAGAAAAATGCATGCAATATGTTGAAAGATGGCACTGCTGGGTCTCATTTAATGGCGTCGCCACAGTGTGTGGGCTATGATCGGAACACTGCTGCACCCCTTACCATGGATATGTGTCTGCCAGGCCTGAAAGAGATAAAACGAGCGCTAAGACTCTGGGTGAAGAAGACAGATGCAAAAGCTGTGTACATCGCCAGTGACTCTGAACCTTATACGAAGGAAATACAGCAGCTTTTCAAACAAAAGGTAATGTCCTGCTGGAGCAATGAGTAGTTACTGGTGGTGCAAACTTCACTGCTTTTCTCTCTCTGGGTGTATGCACTGGAAATATTCATATCTTTCCTTTCTTCTCAGACGGAGGAATCAGGGGGGCTTACAGCAGGGATGGGCAGAAGAAAGTTTGGGCTCTACTGGGTCTTTGAGTGATTTGGCAACACAGTTCTTTTGCTCAGAATATATGGTGTGGTTGCATTAGATATAGGGTAGCTGAACACTAGGTCGGAAATCATTCAGGTGACTTTCCACATGGTAAACCTGAAGTGAGACATTGTGGTGGTTCTTGAACCAAGGACTGTAAGACAGAACAGCATTCAACAGACTCCGTCTGAAAGATACTCTGGGAACCCGAAGGCGTTATAGAAAGGTGGAGCTTGATGAAACAAGTTCAGCTGGAGGGATAGAGTGAGCAGGTAGACAGCTTGTGGCAAACGCCACGTCTGCTTGTGCGTGTTCCCTTTCAATCACTGGGCTCTTCTTGTTTTCCCCTTTTCAGATAAAAGTGGTGTACCTGCAGCCTGAAGTGCCCCAGGTAGACTTGTACATTCTCAGCAAGTCTGACCACTTCATTGGAAACTGTGTTTCTTCCTTTACTGCCTTTGTGAAAAGAGAACGCGATGTGCATGGGAGACCCTCGTCCTTTTTTGGCATGGACTATCCACCCACGTCAAGGGACGAATTGTAGCCCCTAGAGGAAGAGATGCCTTTTGACCCACTACTTGCATACAGTTCTCATAAATACAAGGTCTCCCTCAAAGCAAGCACTGGATATATCTGGATTCTGCAGGTTCATCCTCATGGCAATCCTTGAATATTACTAGAACGTGACCTGAAAGGAGAAGTGGATGACTTCCAGGAAACATTCCCTCCTCCCACAGTTGTGGTTCAGATAAGCAAACCCGCTCCCGTCCCTCTCTTCCCCTTTCTGTGCTGTCTTGCTACCTCTTCTGGAATTAATGACTCGCCTGGTGCTTCCTTAATGTACAGTATTCTCAAGACAGCTTGTTCACTGACAAGAAGTGTTCTGACATTAAGAACTGGGAACCAGCAGATACGTTCTCAGTTGTGCAACCGACTGACATTTGCCTTGTGTGCTTTTGTTTTCTGAGCTGCCAAATGGATTTAATTCCCATTCCCCCTTGCTGGGAATGGGCAGACTATAAGCAAATGATTTTGCTATCAGCTGTGACACGTTATGGGACTTTCAGAGGAGTTTTAGTCCTAATAACTCTGGTGCCCTGTGGACCAGTTCTGTTTGCGGCAATTCCCAGGTAGCATAGAGACACATTATTATTTTTTATCCTATTACACAAGAGCTTTTTAGAGCAGTTTTGTATTTTACAAAATTGGCAGTCTAAGCACTGTACACAGTACAAAATAGAAGTTAAGAAATAATCTCCTTTTTGAAACACCATAATAATTCGTAAATCAAATATTATGCACCTTTTATTCGGCCCATTTGCAACATCGCTGAGAGCTCAGTGCATCAGTTGCATTTTAATGGCTTTTGGTGGGTCAGCAATCATGTCTTTCTGAGCTCTCTATTCTGGAAACCCAGCCTGGCTGCCATCTTGAAACTATTTTGTTTCACTGAGCAGGGGGTTGGACTAGGAGACCTCCAAGATTCCTTCCAACTCTTGTACACTCATTTTTTGAGCATCCTTTTTATGTTTAGAAGCTGTGACCTTTGAAAAGTCTCTGAAAGGAATAACCACTTGATCCACTTTGAATTTCAGATATTTAATTTGAGTCTCTTGAAAAGAGGAGCCAACAGATAGTGGATCTTGATTTTTTTTGTTTTAAAGGTTTTATGCACTTTTCTCTGCATAATTGCTCTGAAATCATGATTCAGCTTTCTCGATGTACATCTGAACTATGCTCACTAATTTACCTGTAGAGTTTTCCCACAGAAAAATCCTCAGGCAGGAGATCAGCAAACTGTCAGGTTACCTAGTTCATGTTATGTTTCCTCATCACATCAGTAGTAACTTTCTGTGGTGACAGCACAGCATCTTACCCTCTGATAATTATCTGCTCCTGTGCATTCTGAACATCAGTTGACAAATTGTCCTGGCTGCTGACTGCATGCCTGAACTATCCATCTGCACTCCATATTAAGACAGAATATGTTGTGCTGGGGGAGATAACTTTCTGGAGCTTTCTATTTGCTTTTTTGGGCTTGAATTGCACAGACAGCATTGTTAGCCTCTGTATCTTCCTTTTAGGTGTTGATGAAACAATCTTGCAATAGCAGGATTGAATTGCAAATGAACTTTTCCTAGGTTTGGTTGCTTGTGGTAGCAGTATTGCCTCCAGTCTCTTTTCTGTCTTCCTTTGCCATCTTCTGAAAAGATTCTGGTTCATAAATGCTAACAGTTTCAGCTGACCAGTAAACACTTTTATAAGCAGCAACTTTGCAAGTTTATTAATTTAATCACTACCTTGCATCACTTATTGATAGTGAATTATCACTGGCAAGCTACAAATCTGAAAACCAGCATTGTATTTGCTGGAAACGTCTTTGCTCATCTTTATGAAGTACTGGAGAAGTTTGTTTAAAAGTTCAGTCTTAAAATGGTATAGAGAAGCACTAGGCTTGGAAGAGAAATGCTATTCCTGTGTACTAGTTTTGGTAGATTCTGCAGTGAAACCATGTGTTCCAAAGCTACCTGTAATATGGATGATAATAATGGTGATGATCGAATGAAAAAAAGACTCTCAATAGATTGTCCAGGAATGTTTATGAACAACAACAACAAAACCAAGGAAGGCTGAGGCTGTGACAGCACATGGAGATGATCTCTGACTTCATCTGTTAGGTGGGATCCTCTCTTCTGCTTGAGCTTCTGAAAGTATACAGTATTTTGATTCCAAAGATCAGTAAGTGCCACAATATTTCTGTCTGGAGCAGCAAGAACAAACAGTTACTCTTCTGCAATTCATCAATAAGCATAAGAATATAGCAATTTCCTTGATGGGTCAGGCAAAGGCCCATCTTAAACCAACCTTTTGTTCCCAACAGCAGCCATCTAGAAGACAATGGAAGGGCCTGAAGGCAGCAGTTCTCCTCACCAGCTTGCCTCCATCTTGTATATCAAGTTATATTGCCATATGGGAGTTGCCATATTAGCTGTTACGGCTAATGTCCGTTTGTAGATTTCACCTCCAAGAATCTGAAAAAAAGCTGTTTTACTGCCTGATAAACCCACGGATAGCTCCACATATTATCAAAGGAAGTTCCATAGATTCAGTTATGTCCTGTGACAAAACTTACTTTTTTTGTCCGCCTGGCAGTAGGTGGTTAAGTCTGTTTTGTTAGACGAACCTGGGTTTCCAGTATTATGAGAGGTAAGGGGAATCTCCCTTTTTGCTCTCCACGCTATTCATAGTTTTGTAAACTCTTTATCATGTATGCGAAGTTACTCTGCAATTCATATATTTATATATAAAGCCCATTGTCTCTTAACCAGCACTGAAGCATCAACATTCATATCTGGAGGCTTCCTCTGTGCTATACCTTCAATATATCTTGCCTCTTTGTGGAAGGAAATGCCAACCTCTGGTTGAAATACAACTAATGAAATTTTTTAAAGGTGGCAATCCCGTACACCAGGCTTCCTCAACCTCGGCCCTCCAGATGTTTTGAGACTACAGTTCCCATCATCCCTGACCACTGGTCCTGCTAGCTAGGGATCATGGGAATTGTAGGCCAAAAACATCTGGAGGGCCGAGGTTGATGTAACGCTGTACACCATTATCTGGAAGTAAGTCCCAGTGAACTCAGTGTGGATACTCCTAGGGCTGTGCTGTTAATGATGTTGACCATATGGAATTTGCAGGGGTGCAGCTACACCATGCCATGAGGAGACAATTCATCCATGGGGTGCAGCCTCGCCAACATTTGTGTACAGTGGTACCTCGGGTTACAGACTCCGCTAACCTGGAAGTAGTACCTCGGGTTAAGAACTTTACCTCAGGATGAGAACAGAAATCATGCAGGGGCGGCAGGAGGCCCCATTAGCTAAAGTGGTACCTCAGGTTAAGAACGGTTTCAGGTTAACGGATCTCCAGAACGAATTAAGTTCATAACCAGAGGTACCACTGTAAACTCCATTTATGTGGCTGGCTCAGAATGGAGGACATCTGGGGTATTTGTGTGCTATGCACAATATCAGAAGCCATGTTTTAACTTTTTAAAAAATTAACTAATGTACAGAGGATAACTTTGTGATTTTCATTTTCATAATAAAACATTAATCTTCCTCTTGAGTGTTTTTATGACTTGAAACATTCCTCCTAGCTTTGGCTATGGTTAACATCCACCTGGTGAAACCACGTGCCGATGTTTTCTCCTTTTAGAAAAAAGGAAGTTGTTGGCCCAGATGGCTGCCTTTCACTCTTCAATTTAGGGATCTCCAAACATAGAATCTCGCTGCCATGGACCTGATTAGGCTTATGCCATTGGCAGAAGGACCCAGCTTAGAAGTGAGGTCATGGGCTCTCTCTTTCCACGCAAGCTATGCACACTTCCAAGCATCTGTTTTTAAAAGCAACAGATTCTTGTGCAGAGTGGATTAACCAAGAGCTTCTTTGCACAGTTGAAGATTTTATCTGACTGCCCAAGAACTGCTTTTCTTTCATTGCATTTAGTCGTAGTAATAATAATAATTGCTTCGAACAATTTGATTTTTTCCTTTTTTTTTTAAAGTAATGTTTATTAAGAGTTTAAAAGTTACAAAAAGGAAAAAAAAGTTAAACAAAGCAAAACAATACAATACAATACATAAAAAAACAAAAAACACTGCTTAACAAAACAAAAACAAAAACAGGATCAATTAAAAACACATCCAATATTTCCATATCTTGTCTTTCATTTACTTGTTTCAACGACCTCCTCACACCTCCCTTTTTTGTATTCTAGTTCAGTTAGCTATTTCAGCAAATCCTTTCCATCTTTCTCAGTTTTTGTCCTATAATTTATCTTAACACAATCTAACCTTGTTTTTTTTCCCCTTTAGCCCATTAACAGTCTATTTTTACTTAATTCTTTATAACATTTCTGCTACAGCCATATAACTTCATTCCAGCATCCTTCTAACATTCATTAATTTTACAGTGTTTCTGTAAATAGTCTTTAAATTTTTTCAATCTTCTTCCACCGACTCTTCTCCCTGGTCTCGGATTCTGCCAGTCATTTCCGCCAGTTCCATGTAGTCCATCAGCTTCATCTGCCATTCTTCCTGGGTGGGTAAATCTTGTGTCTTCCAATACTTTGCGATAAGTATTCTTGCTGCTGTTGTAGCATACATAAAGAAAGTTCTATCCTTCTTCATCACCAATTGGCCGACCATGCCCAGGAGAAAGGCCTCTGGTTTCTTCAGGAAGGTATATTTAAATACCTTTTTCATTTCATTATAGATCATCTCCCAGAATGTCTTAATCCTTGGGCACGTCCACCAAAGGTGAAAGAATGTACCTTCAGTCTCATTACATTTCCAACATTTATTATCAGGCAGATGGTAAATTTTTGCAAGCTTGACTGGTGTCACGTACCACCTATAAATCAATTTCATTAAATTCTCTCTTAAGGCATTACATGCTGTAAACTTCATACCTGTGCAATTTGATTTTTTCCAGACAGATGATCAAATTCTAAATGGAATGAAGTTCTATTGATTTCTGTTACTTGCAAGTCAGCAGCTTGAGCAGTGTTGACTTAAGATTGGCACATGGGGCAATTCACCTGTTAAATAGTGTCAGTTGACCACCTACTATTTGAGTGTAGTTCTTAGAATGTCATCCTGTAAAGGGCAGCACACCACCTTACTTCATTCAAGTGTAAATTTGTTAGCTGGGGCAGAAAGGCATCCTGACCCCTTGGCCAGGAAGTGGTGAGTGTAAACCTTGCAGAGAACCAAAGCTTCCCTCCTTGAACACCTCTTATATGGGGGCATTTCTATACAGGAACGCAATACTCTGAAGAGATGGAGTCTCTGTTGGGCTTTCTTAACCACCTGGGTTGTATTTATTTTCCAAGTAAGGTCTTCACAGGGACGCGGGTGGCGCTGTGAGTTAAACCACAGAGCCTAGGACTTGTCGATCAGAAGGTCAGCGGTTCAAATCCCCACGACGGAGCAAGCTCCCGTTGCTCGGTCCCTGCTCCTGCCAACCTAGCAGTTCAAAAGCACATCAAAGTGCAAGTAGATAAATAGGTACTGCTCTGGTGGGAAGGTAAATGGCATTTCTGTGCGCTGCTCTAGTTCACCAGAAGCGGCTTAGTCATGCTGGCCACATGACCCGGAAGCTGTACGCCGGCTCCCTCGGCCGATAAAACGAGATAAGCGCCGCAACCCCAGAGTCGGCCACGACTGGACCTAATGGTCAGGGGTCCCTTTACCTTTACCTTTAAGGTCTTCACTGAGATAAACTCCTAGGAATTTAAAGGAAGAGACTCTCTCCACACAGCCCTCCCCGATGTACAGCGGGGCTAGTTCTCCTCTCTTCCTCCGAAAGTTCAACACCATCTCCTTTGTCTTGCTGATATTAAGGTGCAAGTTGTTCCCTAGGCACCATGCAGATATTTTTTGGACCTCCCCTCTGAGCCCTCTGCCCACCTGTGATTCCCAGCAGCTAAGCATTCAGAGGCATACTGCACAGAGGCGAAGTTCAAATAGTGTTGTTTCCAAGCCCCAGGCAAGGTGTAAAGTTCTGTGCAGCTCCTGTCTTGAGTTGAGGTCAGCGGCATCTGGGGAGAGGTGTGCACGCCTCTTTTAAATGCTGTTCTTTGTTTATACTGTATGGTTTTCTATCCCTTTTTTTAACCATGCTGCAAAGTGAAGTTGAAGGGAAGTATATAAATTAACAACGTTGTGATAGCTTAACCAAAAAGCATCTCTGCTTCTCTTTCTTTTTTCACTTGTCTCCCCTTCCCTAATGGGGCTTCACACACTCTCTTTAATGAATCGGGGACAGAGAAATTGTGCACAGCAAGATACCAAAGTGATGGAGAAATTGCATCCAGCAAGCATAAGGCTTTGGGCAACAGGCCAAGATCTGGAACACTGAAGGCTTTATAGCCTCAGATGCAATTTCCCTGGTCTCTTCCAGAAAGTCCCATAAAACACATTAATCACAATTAATTTTTTTTTTTATCAATACACTCCTCCAGTGGGCACTTGTGCTTCCATTCACTTGATGTTTTCTCTGCCAGAACTCCCATAAATTATGTTCCTTCCCCTACTTCCATTCTACCAGAATTGCTTCACTGGGCGCCAGTGCCAAATTTGAATTCCTAGAAGTCCTTTTGCCCTTAGGACTGAGATCAGATGGCATTTCTAGCTGTAAAACAAATAACAAAGATCATCTGCTGTGCAGAGAAGATGAATTAGGATCGTAAAGCTTTTAAGATAGTTTTAAGAACAAAAATTATATAGTAGATTTATTGAGGAAGGGGCTTTGATGAGCCTAAACAAAAATTACTTGCATTGGACCTTAATACAGATTGAATTCTGATGGACACAACACATGTTTCTGTGTGTAGATGGCAAGCTAGTAGTGTATCCTGAGGCGCAGAGGGACCCCATTTTCACCAGCTCATTTCAGATAGTCATTCAAATCACATAACTCCTCTCACTTCTTCAATCCCATGTGAACCAGTGGTTTGGAGGTAGCACTAACCATAGTTTCCTGGTGTGGAATGGCATGGGAAGCAGACAATCACAACTCAAAAATGGAGTAGGGCATCTAGTAACGCAAGGGTGAGGAGAAAGCAACACCTTCCTGATTCTACAAACCATGGCTGGATAATGGTACAAATGGAAATTTCTGGTTTGGACTGGTTTGGTTAATATAATGTACAAACCATCAATAGGTTAACCTAAAGAGACTCAACATATTTTCAAGAAAAACATTTAAATGCGGTTTACCACACATCAAAGCATCAAATCAAACAATCCAGAGCAAAACATTACTGACAAAAGTCAAATATAAAATATACGTTCATAGCAACATAATTGGCAGGAAACTAAAATATTAAAATATTTCAAAAGAAAACATTACAAAAGTGGTGAACTACAGAATGAACATTGAACGCAGCAAAGTTAACCTAAAAATCCAAACCGTTATTTTGATAGAAAACATTATTAAATATCCAAAAAATCCAAACTGTTATTTCGATAGAAAACATTACTAAAGGAAGTCAGATATAAAACGATCATTTGAAACAGCATAATTAGCAAGAGGAGAGGGGCTGCTCTTTTGGGGAGGGAGGAAGCCCCTTGACGCCACCCGAATCCTTGTCTGCCACAGGGAGCTGCCCCATTGCTGTGGGGTTTTGGGGAGAGACTTCGCCTGTCCCAAGCTGCAGGAGCTGACCCAAAGCCCAGGCTTGCCTCCGGAGAGTCGGGGCAATTTCCTGCTAAGGTGCCACCTCACTGCACTTATACAAATTGCATCCCATCTGCCATTTTCTTGCCCAGTCACCTGTTTTCCCAAGATGATTTGGCAGCTCTTCCATCCTTGCTCCTGGCTGGACCACTCTGAATATATTTGCATTGCCTACAGGTTTTTTATCACTTCACCACCCACTCTTCCTTTATGCCCACATCTTGCCACAGCTCCCTTCCTACTCCTGGCAGTGAAGCTGTCCAGTTTTTGAGGGGTCTCCTATTGCCTCTCCCGCTGCCCCCCAGCGGCTGCTCTACTCTCATTCCGCTTCTTTTCCTCCTTGCCCTTATGGGATGGTTTTTAACAGGTTGTTGTTGTTCTTTAGTTGTGTCCACCTCTTCGTGACCCCCTGGATTAGAGCACACCAGGCACTCCTGTCTTCCACTGCCTCCCGCAGTTTGGTCAAACTCATGTTTGTAGCTTCGAGAACACTGTCCCACCATCTCGTCCTCTGTCGTCCCCTTCTCCTTGTGCCCTCCATCTTTCCCAACATCAGGGTCTTCTCATGAGGTGGCCAAAGTCTTGGAGCCTCAGCTTCAGGATCTGTCCTTCCAGTGAGCACTCAGGGCTAATTTCCATCAGAATGGAGAGGTTTGATCTTCTTGCAGTCCATGGGACTCTCAAGAGTCTCCTCCAGCACCATAACTCAAAAGCATCAATTCTTCGGCAATCAGCCTTCTTTATGGTCCAGCTCTCACTTCCATACATCACTACTGGGAAAACCATAGCTTTAACTATACGGAGCTTTGTTGGCAAGGTGATGTCTCTGCTTTTTAAGATGCTGTCTAGGTTTGTCATCGCTTTTCTCCCAAGAAGCAGGTGTCTCTTAATTTCATGAGTGCTATAGGAGGGTATATTAATTGCAATTTATCCTTCCAGGCCCTCCCCCCTACGTGTGACTGTTAAACAGAGTTTTAAAATCGCATCCTTGGCAGCAAAATTGAAAGCATAGGAATTATGGTAGGCTGCAAAGCCTTTGACCAAGTCCAACAAAGAAAGGAAGCTGACTTCCTTCCCTCTTTGGAAAAAATCAGGCAACAGCTTGTAAAGTAAGTTTAAAAATAAGATTTACTTACTTTATAATCCAGCATTGGTTCACAGCAAAGGCAGCACTAAAAACTATGCACTATTTTTTTTTAAAAAAATACACAATAACCAGTCTTAGCACCAGCCAGGGACTAGAGCAAACAGAGCACCAATAAACACTGTTAACGAAGCAGCAACTAAAAGATGCGCTAAACATCCCAATTACAATGAGAGAGAAGCTATTGGTTTGTTTTTGCTTTATTATGTATTTTTTATATTGCACTTTTATGTTGTGGACAGCCCTGAGATCTATGGATATATGGATTCATATTAATGTCATATATATATATAAGTTTATTTATATAAAAAATCGTTTATCAATGATAAAAGTAAAAGAAATACAGCAAAAGCCATATGATTAGCAGCATTAACAAAACCTTAAAAAAGAAAGCTCAAGCTGAGCTCATAGAAACTCTGGATCTCCTGCTTTCTCCAGTGGATTAAAACACACCTAAGCCATACAACTGAAAACGCCGGCAGCATTAAGATAAATTCAAATTGTATAGTTTTTGTAAAATATGCAGGGATTTAGGAGATGTAAAATGAACCATGGAAAGAGAAGGAGGGAAGTCATTGATATATCTTAAGGATGTAGAAACGAGAATTTTAAATTGTAAAAACGGAAAATTTAATAAAAATTATATTAAAACAAAAAGCACCGCGCACGGCGCACGTGGCTGGGGCGCCTCGAGGGCCCGAGGGGCGTGTCCCGTTGCCAGGGGCGTGTCCCGTTGCCAGGGCCGAGGGCGCGGAGGAGGCGGGGCCCGTTGCTAGGGCCGGGGCGTCGCCAAGGAAGTGAGGGCTTCGGGGCGGGCGGCCGCGTTGCCAAGGAAGTGAGCGGCGGCCGCGGCGGGGCCCGACTCCCCTGCCGTATCCGGTGCTGCCGCCGCCGCCGTCCCTGCCGCAGCGGCGGGAGGAGGAGGGGGTCTCCATGGTGACGGCGCAGGTGAGTGAGGGGCCTCGCCCTCGCCTTCTCCCCCCCCACCGTGCGCGCGCCTGGGGCGGCGAGGGGGTGCGCGCGCGCGCGGCGGGAGGAGGAGGAGGAGGAAGAACCGCATCTGTGGGGCGGGGGCCTCGGGCGGCCCCACGCCTCTCGCTCTCTCTCCCCCCCTTCCTCACGCTCAGGGGCACACGCGTGTCTGGGTGCGGTAACGTGGGAATGCGTGCGCGCGCGCCGGGGTGCTCCCTCCTCCTCCTCCTCCTTCTGCACTCTCAAGGCACACGCGTGTCTGGGCGTGGAACCGTGGGAATGCGTGCACGCGCACCCGGATGCTCCCTTCCCCTCCTCTCGCCTTCTCCATCTGCACTCTCAAGGCACACGCGTGTCTGGGCGTGGAACCGTGGGAATGCGTGCACGCGCACCCGGATGCTCCCTCCCTAACCCCCCCTCCTTCTGCACTCTCAAGGCACACGTGTATCTGGGCGTGGGTGTGGATGGTGGATGCGTGCACGCACCCGGATGCTCCCCTCCCCTCCTCCTCTCTGTCTGCTCCATACACACGAGGCCATGCCCTGCTGCGACCCCTCCAGGTGAATTGACCCTGCAGGAGGAGGCAGGGAGGGCCATGGAGACAAATCCCTGGAGGAGGAGGGGGCTATGGGGGGCTCCTAGCCAGGAGGGCCGTGCTCTTGCCCTCCCCAGTTGAGGCAGCGATGCTTCTGAATCCCACTTTCTGGAAAACCACAGCAGGAAGGGAGAGGGATCTTGCCTTTGAGTCCTGCTTGGGGCACCTGGTGGGCCGCCGTGAGGAGACGATGCTGGACGACATGGGCGTGGGCCTGATCCAGCAGCCGGCTCTTCTGTTCTTCCGCATGTTATTAATTCCCGTCCGTCCCCTGCAGTTCTTTGAATGTGGGTGTCTTCAAACCCAAGAGGCAGCCACCAGCAAGAATGGCTTTTGCAAGAGGATTAGACAAGACGCGGCTGTCCGTGGTCGCTAGCCGTGATGGCTGTGGTCTGCCTCAGCCGCCGGAGGCATTATGCCTCTCAGCACCATATCATTGTAGAACTGTAGCGTTGGAAGGGGCTCCATGGGTCATCTAGTCCAACCCCCTGCAATGCAGGAATGTCAACTAGATCATACGTGACAGGTGGCCATGTAACCTGTGCTGAAGCCGCCTTGCGCTTCCCATTGCCATAGGGTTACCCACTGTGAGAGCAAGATGCCGGACCAGATGGGTCCCCTTTGACGTGATCCAGCAGGGCTCCTCTTATGGACCAGAACTCACCCCTGGTTGTGGCTGAGCTTCCTTTCTGGTGGGAACACCTGCCCTCTTGCCAGGCTTTAAGTGTCTTATGTGAGAATGCTCCTACCTGTGTTCAAGAGGCAGCTTGCACATCAAGGCTGCTCATCAAAACATTTAGGGAGATGGAAGGAGTGTACCTCAGCAGTGGGGCATATCTTTCACAAGTCAAGGCTGAATTACTTAGCATTTATATGTGGATTTTTTAAAATAAAAAAAGGCTACAAATTAAATAATAGGAAAGATCCTGGAGAGTTTCTGCCAGTATTAGAAACTCAGATTTATAAGCTAATTGCTAAATAGCACCCTGAACCTACAGAATGTCCATTTTTCCACCCAGTGAGATTTCTTTATTGTTATTAATATTTTTCATTTCATTTCTATACCGCTTTATATTTTAAAGGGAAAAAATTCGAAGCGCTTTACAACACATTAAAACATAAAATTAAGCAATCCAGAATAAAAAAAAATTCAAGCTTCAAGGAAAATATTTCAGATCCTTCTCTAAGTGACATTTTGCTTTCCCCGTATTTATTTACCTACTTAACTTATATAGCGCCCCCACAGCAGAAGTATTCTAGGAAGCCAGTGTGGTGAAGTGGTTTGAGTGTCAGACTAGGACCTGGGAGATCAGGGTTCAAATCCCCACTCAGTCCTGAAGCTCACTGGGTGACCTTTGAGTCAGTCACAGCCTCTTAACCTACCTTACAGGGTTGTTGCGGGGATTAACTCAGAGGGGGGTGAACCATGTGCTCCACTCCCTGGAGAAAAAGGTGGGATATAAGTGCAATAAATGAGTTATTCTGCTTGCCTGCTTAAGAAATCTGGAGAGGCCAGCCAGATGGAGATGTCAGTCGCCAGCCTGGCATCCAGGGATCTCCACGTGGTTGCAATTGCACCCCTGCCAGTAGCAAAATGTGCCCAGCGCTTGGCTGATTTCTAACACTGCTTCCTAGACTCTGCCTTCTGGGTACCAGTTGTGCTGTCTCCATCCTGTGGTTGTTGAATCTCCTTGGCTTGTAGGCGTGAACACATAACCGTGCACCTAAGTTTGTAATCCTGCACACACAACTTGGAAGCAAGTTCTGCTGCATTCAGTAGGGCTTGCTTCTGAGTAAGCACGCATAGGATCAGGCTTCATATAGGCAATGAAGACCAGGCACCACCAAAGTAGCTGAATTAGAGGGAGCCATACTATTGCCAGCTAAGAAGATCAGGAGGAAAGAACTAGATAAAATAGCGGTCAACTGCAGAGGGGATTCGGATATTTAATTTGGCACATTTTACTAGAGAATCTTACACTATTCTATTTTGTGCAACATAATATTTCTGGTGCAATATAAAGGCAGCATTATGTTCATTGCTCATCTGTGCAAGGGACAGTTGGCTGTGGTAGTCTTGCTTATGTAGCAATTCGTTGCTGCAAAAAATGATTTCATCAAAGCAAGAAGGGTGCTTATTTCCTCTCCTTAGAAGGAACCCAATTCTGCAAATGAATAGTTTATTCTGTCTTTGTTCTCAGGATGGTGTGTTTTAACAGAGCCTGTGGTATGTTTCTCTAAATTGCCATAGATTCTCTAAATTGCCATAGACTGTCATGGTTTTGACAGTTGCTCTATTGCTTGACTGTATTGGTTGTCACTGAATGCCTAGCAGTGTGGGGTCATATAAGGGCGATTGTCATGCAATTTTCAGTCAATATGAAACACAGAATAGACTGAATTGATATATTTTATTAGACCATCTTTTAATGAAGGAACATGCAAGATTTTGTGGACCGATAAAATTGTTTACATATGCAATCAACCTTGTCTTGTAAAAAAATACTTTAGATTTAGCTATTTTTGTGTTCCAACTGATGGAGAGCATTGTGCGATTATGCACCTACCCAGCAGATGTTGTCCCTGATCAAAGGCCTTGCTTGACTCTTTTGTATTTCATGGGGATGAAATAAGAGCGTCAATTAGTATATATGGGGCGGGGGTTGTACATGACTGTGATGTCTATATGAGAGGGAGACATCTGGGAAAGGCAGGATGAGGATAGATTTCGAGGTGGGTGATTGTCTCTCGCCTATTAAAGCTGAAAGATAGCAAAGCTTGGCTTTTTCAAGAGAAGCCAAACAGCCATTGATTGCTCTGCTTTTCTGAAGGGTGTTCAATTTCAATTTTCAACTCCTTAAAAATAAAATCACGAAAAGAAATATATCTTACCTAAGTCATGTCTGTGTTTCCAGTTTCTTTGAGCCCATAGATCAGGGAACATAAACACTATTTTTTTTAAAAAAAAAATTACTAATACTACTATTTTTTAGCTGGAGGTTAAGTTGTGGTTAACTCAGTAGAATTAGTTCAGCTGAGAAAAATACCCCATCATAATGCTCCACAGTTCACACCTAGAATATTCTGTCTGATTTGAGACACCTCTTTACCACAAAGAGGAAAAATTGCTGAAAGAGAGGAAAATCACAAATTGCCCATTTATTAGATGGAATAATGGAAGGAGCCAAATGATGCTAAGAAGGAACATAATTACAGATACTTGACAGGTTCAAGTAGCAAAAATGGAAAATAATTGTTCTTAGAATCTCTTTAAATCTCATCCTCCACCTTCCAGGTCTAGTGTGGAATCTTGTGTTTGCACTACTAAAATAAAATTAAAGGCAATCCTGGAATATATCCAGTATATAGAAATCTTGTCCTAGCTTGTTGGTTCTCATGGTGCAGTCTGTTTGAATTAACTAGTCTCCTTAATTTCTGATTTCTTCTAAAATTCTCTGATGATTGAACTGCCACACCAATTTAATTTCAAATAGTACCAGGACTTAATTTTCAAGCATGACTTCATCCTACGCTCCAAGAAAACAGGCTTTGAATTGCTTCCCGTATTCTGTACAATTGGAAATGCAATCTGAAGCTCTGGGTGAGTGTAGTGGATTAGAGTCAATTTGGGATCTGGCCAGATTGCTTTTGGATTTCAGAAGAGTGAGAGGGCTCTTTCCGGAGAGCGCCGTGTCCTAAAGGCTTGTCTAAAATAGGATGTTGGGCCGTGCATTCAGCAGGGATGGAGTGCGTTGCCTCATGAAATGTTTGGTTACAAATAATTGATGTATTTGGGTGCAAGCAATTAAGGCACAGTGGCGCATGGCAGAAGCTGCTTGACGGACGTTTGCTGGTGTATTCTGCTTTTGGCAAAATAAACAAGGGCACACTGTTGGGAACCATGCCTTTCCTTCCATCATGTGGTTCCCAGAACTTCTCCTCGACCCCCCAAATTCTTCAGCTGCCATCCGTGCTAGTTTCAAAGAACCTCATTGCATGCTCCAGGATGAATACCACCCCTTTGTCCTCACAATGTCAAAATCAGGCTTGAAATCCCAATTTAGTGGAAGGTAAGGAGCTGCCTTAAAACTCAGACAAACCTCTTCCTCATCTAGTTCAATAGCCTTTGCTGTGGCTGGCAGAGCCTCCCCAGGGCTTAACAGTGAGGTCTCTCAGCCCTCCTGCCAAAGGTCCTTTCACGGGAGCTCCTTGTGGCAGAAACGGGAGCATTCAGCATGCACATCATGCGCTCTGCCACTGAGCAGCAGCCTCTCCCCTTGACTTCACCCACTTTGTATAAATTGTTAATTGAAAGGGGGAAGAAAATCCACCCTCATTATCTCTCCTTAGCCAGCCATACAGTTAATAAGACGAGGCAATTCACCTGTGCTGAGTATACTTCAGTACGTGCCTTAAACATAAACAGGGCCCACCGGATCTTCAACTTCAGCTCTCATCCTAACTTTCTGGTGCTTGTGTGTTCCTTCGGCGTGCAAATAGAGAACCTGCGTCACCAATTTTCATAAAGTAGCACCTTTTGCGTGATTTGGACTACGTCACATCAGTTGTGCTGCTTGGGGCTGATGGGAGTTGTAGTCCAAAACATCTGCAGAGCACAAATAGTTGTTGTTTTTTGGGGGGAGGTTGTAAAATGGGTTATGGAAGATGCACCAGGTCTCAGTGGTGTCCTAATCTCTGGCATGGCGCAGTTGCAGCGTTCTGAATCTTGTATCTTGCACCAAGTTGAATGGGCTGCTTTATACCCGACAGCTCTAAAATAAAAAATGTTCCGGTCATGCCAATACAGAATTAGGCCTGCATTCAGGCCATGGCATGTTGTGCTTGAAGGTTGGATGGGCAGGAATCGTTTTCCTATTGAAGCTGCAGGCAGCCTGAACGAACTTGTTTATTTGATGCTCTTAGATCGTGGCTGCCTGTCAGGTTCTGTCCCTGGCAGGGCTGCTTGAACGTTTATTTCCTTTGGCTTCTTGGCTCTTCCACTGGTTTGGTTATAGCAGGGGTGGGGATCTCCAGCCTCCAACCCGGACTAATTAGGCCTGCCAGGCCTCTGCCTTCGTCCCACAATGCCCTTTTGGCAAAGCCATGGCCAGCTGCCCTGCATGTGAAGTCATATATGACGTCTGTTGTGTGGCAGGTAAGATCCTAGGGGATTGTAGGCACTGCCTGCTAGCTGATTGGTACAAAGCACATTGAAAGGGGCTTTTGAAGACCTGACAACTGGTCAGATCTTCAGAAGCCCCTTTCAAAATGCTATTTTCTGCAGCACTTTAAAAGAGGCTTCTGAAGATCCCTGTGGGCAAAAAAGGTCACCTGTCATCATTGTGACATTAGGTGATTGACAGCTGGGCTGCTCCACTGACCTGTCCTACTTGGCCTGCTAGGGGTGGAAGAGCTAAGGCTCTGGCCCCCTCGCCAGAGCCAGTTCTCAGCCTTGGTTTGCAGTGACTTTCCAAGCACAGAGATGGAAGCAAAATCAGATTAGTCAAAATTACTCCGTTACTGCAGCCATACAGGCAGTATTTGATTTCCAGGAAAGGATGCCGGGTCTGTCTGGAAACCTCTCAAAGTCTGCTGTATGGCAGTTCTCTGTCATTGCTCAGTTGTGGGGGGAAAGTGCTCAATACCTGCTCCAATCTTAATGAGATGCTCCAGGGTAAAGCTTTGCACTGAAAAAAGTGCCACATGTAGTCAGACCGAGGCAGAATAGAACTGTACTATGACTTCCCTTGATCGGAATACTGTCCTTCTGTTGATGCAGCCTAGAATAAAGGTAAAGGGACCCCTGACCATTAGGTCCAGTCGTGACTGACTCTGGGGTTGCGGCGCTCATCTTGTTTCATTGGCCGAGGTAGCCAGCGTACAGCTTCCGGGTCATGTGGCCAGCATGACTAAGCCACTTCTGGCGAATCAGAGCAGCGCACAGAAACGCCATTTGCCTTCCCGCTGGAGCGGTACCTATTTATCTACTTGCACTTTGACGTGCTTTCGAACTGCTAGGTTGGCAGGAGCAGGGACCGAGCAACAGGAGCTCACCCCGTCCGGGGATTCGAACCTCTGACCTGATCGGCAAGTCCTAGGCTCTGTGGTTTAACTCATAGTACCACCCGTGTCCCTCAGGACACAGTAAAGGTAAAGGGACCCCTGACCGTTAGGTCCTGTTGTGGACAACTCTGGGGTTGCGGCGCTCATCTCCCTTTATTGGCAGAGGGAGCTGGCGTACAGCTTCCGGGTCATGTGGCCAGCATGACTAAGCCGCTTCTGGCGAACCAGAGCAGTGCACGGAAATGCCATTTACCTTCCCGCCAGCGCAGTACCTATTTATCTACTTGCACTTTGACGTGCTTTTGAACTGCTAGGTTGGCAGGAGCTGGGACCGAGCAACGGGAGCTCACTCCGTTGCGGGGATTCGAACCGCCGACCTTCTGATCAGCAAGTCCTAGGCTCAGGGGTTAACCCACAGCGCCACCCACGTCCCTGCAGCCTAGAATAGCATTAGCCTTTTTTGCTGCTGCGTCACACTGTGGACTCATGTTCAGCTTGTGGGCCAACTGAGATCCCTAGATCCTAGACCCCAAGGAAGTGGAAGAGGGAAGTGCGAGGATGTCGTGCCGTGCATTTTATAGCAATCATACATTGCGGGGGCAAGAGGGTGAGAAGGAGGCAAGAAGTCGCTGTTTTCAGTGCCAGCCATGCATTTTCTGGTACATTATCATTCTGGCCGGAACGTGTGGTTTCCTAGCAATGATGAGCCCCTTTGAGAGTTTTATTACGTTTTTAATTAAGGCTAATGAAGGTGACTTGGAAGCATTTTAAGTAGGAAGAAAGCAAAAGCTTTAGGGCAGTTTTCTAGGATCTAAAAATTGAGAGTTCCTGGATAGCGTGTGCAATTGCTGCATCAGGAAAATCTTAGAATTGTAGAGTCCAAACTCTTGCAATGCAGGAATCTCAGCTAAACCATCAATGTTTGATGGCCATCCAACCTCTGCTTAAAAACCTCCAAGGAAGGAGAGTCCACGGTGTACAGAGTTATACAGTGTAGGACTGTAGCTCAGCAGTAGAAGATCCTGGGTTCAGTCCTTGGTATCTCCAAGGAAGACTGGGAGAGGACCATGTCTGGAAACCTGGAGAACTGCAGCTACTCAGTGTAGACCATATTAAGCTGGGTGGTCCACCGGCCTGACTCATCAGTGTACGGCCACTTCCTGTGTTCTACTTTCTTATCAGGAAAAGCTTCTCCTTGGGCCAACCCCTGGCAAGAAATCCCAGTTTTGAATAATAGTGTTGTTGGTTTTTTTTTAATCGAGCAGATCATTACCGTATAACTCAGCTTGCACTATGACTGCGTTCTGAGTTGCTTGGTGCGGTCAGCAGCTGCCGAGGTAGAAAGGAAAGGCATGCATTCTAGAACATGGTTGGAGGGCAACAGGGTTGCGACAAAATCTGGGCCCGTGAGGGGAGGAAAGAGGAGCAAAAGGAGTCCTGTAGCATGTGGACAACGTCCCTGAACGTACAAGAGACTCTTAACTTGGAAGCCAGCTGAAAATAATAGTAATAATAATAATTTATTTATATCCCGCCCTTCCCGGTTCAAAAACCAGGCTCAGGGCGGCTAACAACAAATTTAAAACACTTAATTATAAAAGCAGCATAAAATACAGTATAAAAACATGAATGACAATAAAATTCAAAAATCAATTAGATAATCCCCAGGGCTAGCTGGCTGAATTGGTCCTACTTGGGCCAGCGAGGGGAGAATTAGCTGTGGGGTCTCAGAGCAGGTGATCTTCATAAAAGGGGAGGGGGAGGGAAGAGAAGGGAAGGGAAGGGAAATAAAAGAGCTAGTATCACCCTTTTGCACATTTTCCTTGAAAGGATGAACCCTTTTGCACATTTTCCTTGAAAGGATGAAAGTTGAGAATTTCAGAATGGCTAGACCTCTCTGAACATCCTGCCACACAGGACTTAAGATTTTGAATGAAGCTGTAGGAGCCACTACAGATAATCCTCTGAGGCCCTTCTTCATGTGCCCCCTCCACGAGAGGTCTGGAGGGTGGCAACATGAGACCAGGCCTTTTCTGCAGTGGCTCCCCTTTTGTGGAATTCTCTCCCCAGGAAGGCTCGCCTGGCTTCTCCATTACTTATCTTTAGATGCCAGGCGAAAATGTTTCTCTGTAACCAGGCTTTTGGCTGATAAACATTCTATGGCCTTTTAAATGTGTTTGTGGGAAGGTTGGTTTGTTGTTTGTTTTATTACATATCATGTGTTTTGATTTTGTATTTTTATGTTGTGAACTGCCCTGTGATCTACGGATGAAGGGTGGTATACAAATTTAATATATTATCATTACTACTACTACTACTACTGTTATTTCTGTTATTATTATCATCATCCAAAGTGATATTTCTCATTTTTAACAAAACTTGAGTTAAAAGCCATTTGCTTCTGCACTAATACTGATCAAATGGGAATAGGAAGCACTTATTTCCTGTCATTTAGAAAGGGGAAAAACATTTTACATTGTTATTTCTTCTTGTTGTTCTGCCTCACAGTAACTCCGAGAGGGATGTTTTTTTGCTTGTTTTTATCTTACAGTTGGGAAATTGAGATTTTGAGATGGTGGTTTGGCCTGTCCACTCTAGTGTTAAAAGCCAGACTGGGGGTGGAGGGGGGGCTGGTTTGTACTCACTGCTTTTGTGCCTTACCTCTGTGCTCAATTCTGGCCTTTGATTCTTTCCAGGTCTGGAAAAACCCCTGGCCTTCCTGGTCCTGCCGTCTGCTGAGTTTGCCCTAGCGCCAGCCCGTTGTCATGTCGAAGCTAAAGTGCTCAGAGTCGGTCAGAGTGGTGGTGCGATGCCGGCCGATGAACAGCAAAGAGAAAGTAGCCTCCTACGAGCAAGTGGTCCAGGTGGACGTCAAGTTGGGGCAGGTGTCAGTGAAGAACCCCAAGGGGACTTCTCACGAGCTGCCAAAGACTTTCACCTTTGATGCCGTTTACGACTGGAATTCCAAGCAGTTTGAGCTCTACGATGAGACCTTCCGGCCCCTGGTGGACTCGGTGCTGCAGGGATTCAACGGGACCATCTTTGCCTACGGGCAAACCGGCACGGGGAAGACCTACACGATGGAAGGTGTGCGTGGCGACCCCGAGAAAAGGGGCGTCATCCCCAATTCCTTCGACCACATCTTCACGCACATCTCCCGGTCTCAGAACCAGCAGTACCTGGTGAGGGCTTCTTACCTGGAGATCTACCAGGAGGAAATCCGGGACTTGTTGTCAAAGGATCAGTCCAAGAGGCTGGAGCTGAAGGAGCGGCCAGACACGGGAGTGTACGTGAAGGACTTGTCGTCCTTCGTCACAAAGAGCGTCAAGGAAATAGAGCACGTCATGAATGTGGGGAACCAGAACCGCTCAGTCGGGGCCACCAACATGAACGAGCACAGCTCCCGTTCGCACGCCATCTTTGTGATCACCATCGAGTGCAGCGAAGTGGGGCTCGATGGGGAGAACCACATACGCGTCGGGAAGCTCAACCTCGTGGACCTGGCCGGCAGTGAGCGCCAGTCTAAGACCGGAGCCCAGGGGGAGAGGTTGAAGGAAGCGACAAAGATCAACCTCTCTCTCTCTGCCTTGGGCAACGTCATATCTGCCCTGGTGGACGGCAAAAGCACTCACATTCCCTATCGGGATTCCAAGCTCACCAGGCTGCTCCAGGATTCGTTAGGGGGCAATGCCAAGACGGTGATGGTGGCCAACATCGGCCCCGCCTCGTACAACGTCGACGAGACCCTGACGACGCTTCGGTATGCCAACCGGGCCAAGAACATAAAGAACAAGCCGAGAGTGAACGAAGACCCCAAGGATGCGCTGCTGCGGGAATTCCAGGAGGAGATCGCGAGGCTCAAGGCGCAGCTAGAAAAGCGGTCCGTTGTCAAGAGGAAGAAGAAAGACAGGAGGAGAGACGGAAGCTTCAGCGCCGGCGGGGAGGACGAGGACGAGGAGGAAGATGGCGAAGAAGGGGAGGAGGAAGGAGGAGGTAACAAAGGTGACTACTGGAAAGAGCAGCAGGAGAAGCTGGAGATCGAGAAGAGGGCTATCCTGGAGGACCACAGTTTGGTGGCTGAGGACAAGATGAGGCTCCTGAAGGAGAAGGAGAAGAAGATGGAAGACCTGAAGCGAGAGAAGGAGGCAGCTGAAAGGCTGGGCGCCAAAATCAAGGTAGGAGGCTCTTTGCCGAGTTCTGTGGATTCAGAAAAGTGGCCTGGGAGGAACCTCTCTGGGGGAGGTTCAGTGTTGAAGACTAAAAACAGAAGCATAGGGATTAGGAATTGTTCCTGAAACGCTTCTCTGATGTTCAGAGTGGTTCTGACATTCTGAATTCAAAGGTTTCCTTTCCAAATTATTCCCAGCTAGAGAACTGCTGCCAGCAGTTGGAGAGGTGTAGGTGATTTAAGACCTGGTTTGGACAATCAAATTCTGGCTTCAGAGGCAAGGACGGATGCATGAGATCTGTGCACTCACAGACTGCCTCTTTGTGCAAGCAGGGAAGCGAGCCAAGACCTTGCAGCTAGCCATAGTTTTCTGTTGTGTGCTAAGCGGGGAGCGATGGACAGTGGCTTCCAGGCATTGGCAGGCCAGCTTTATTTTATTTATTTCATACAATTTATAAAACACTGTAAAAAAAAAACAAAAAAAAACACCTTGCAGCTGTTTGCTTTATCCTATCTTATCCTGGCCAGTTCAGAAGCTATTGCCCATAGCTTCCTAGTCCAGTTCACATGTAATAGAAAGCTATAGTTTATTGTGACTTCTTGGCTTGTTTCCTTGCTTTCATGAAGGGAAGAGTGAAGGGGTGGCATGCATGTGAAGAGCTTGTGCACATTTAATCAAGTGTTGCCCACAGCTGCCAATGAACCATCTTCATCCTTCCCCTGTCAGCTGCTCGTAGAGTCGAGGATGGTCACCTCACCTTAATGAGCCAAAGGTGAAACAGCTTCCCATCTTGGTAAGTTTTCACAAGATCTGAAGGCTGGTCAAAAATCAGTGTTTTCTTCTAACTGTGATTAGTAAAAGAAATGCTTGATGGGGAAAAAAAGGAATGGGACTTGAGCAGGTATTCTCAACCCAACCCAATTCATTTCCTTTCATTATTTATTTGCATTTTTACTAATCTTAATGAACATGTAACAATCAACTGAGACCTGAAAACAGTGATAAGGCAAAGGAAGCCAGTGACCAAATCTTCCATTGAGATGTGAGGAAAGTGTGGAAAGAATAAGAAAAACAGAGGCAGGGACATGGGTCACAAGCGGTTGCCATGTGATTCAAATGAAGACCCAGAGACACAGCAGGTTTTTATACACCGAGACCTATGCAGATGCCATGAATAGTCCCATGCAAAGTCATATTTGGCAGGTTCAGATGGGAACGATTATTCGCATATGTCATGAAAGCCCACCAAACAGCTGGAAAGCCACCTTGAGTCCCTGTCAGGGGAAAAGGCGGGATATAAATAAATATGATGATGATGATATAATCGAGTCTGATCCCTCTTAATTTCTCAATGATCTGTTGGTGTGAAAGGACCGTAATAAGTCACTCAGAGAGGAGAACCCCAAATTTATGAGTGTACTAGAAAAGGCCATCTTGTCTTCTGATTTGCATAGGGCAGGCATGGCCAAACTTGGCCCACCAGCTGTTTTGGGACTACAACTCCCATCATCCCTAGCTAACAGGACCATTGGTCAGGGATGATGGGAATTGTAGTCCCAAAACAGCTGGAGGGCCAAGTTTGGCTATGCCTGGCATAGGGGATGTCCTCCATCTTTACCGAAAGTGTAGAGTCATTATAATGGACTGAGGGTATCAGCTGCCTTGGATGACAAGGCAGGCAAGCATGGGAAATGTATGGGGAAAGCACATCTTAAGATTCTAGGCTCACTCCCTGGTATCTCCAGGGTTGGGGCAGTTCTCCTCTGCTGGAGTCCTTTGAGAGATGCTGTGAGGCCAAACAGTTGCTTCTGGGCAGCACGAGCCAAAAGCCAAACTTTGGTCTAAGGAGGCACGGTTTATGAGACAACTGTGTGAGATCTCCACCCATTTTATTTTATTTTAAAGAAAGTAGCAATTGCGAGGCTCTGCAAGATGCCGATTTCGGTTATTGGAATCCTCCACCCCTCCCATTCTGCTTTTCAGGCAATGGAAAGCAAGCTTCTTGTTGGAGGGAAAAATATTGTGGATCACACAAACGAGCAGCAAAAAATTCTGGAGCAGAAGCGGCAGGAGATTGCTGAACAGGTGAGAGGAAGAGGGAGAAGTGCATGCGTTGAGATGGGTTGCAGGGGTCCCAGAGTGTGCAGAACGGGGGTGGGGGGGAGCCTGTGGCTGGACTACAACTCCCATCATTCCTTCCCACTGGCCCTGCTTGCTGGGGCTGATGAAAGCTGGAGTCCCGCAATATTTGGAGGACTGAACATTCTCCACTGCCCTGTGTTGTGGCCCTGGGAAACTCACAGCGCGTTTTTCCATTCCACCGTGGATCAAGGATGTCTATAACATTTGGGCAGAACCCACTGGGAACATTTCCTGGGCAGGCATCTTTGGAATCCAATCAGCAGCAATGCAAATTTAATAAGAGCCTTGCTGGATCATTTATTTATTTATTAGATTTATATACCAGTTTGGATCAGAATAGTACTTGGTCTAATCCAGCATCCTGTTGCCCACAGTGGAAAACTTCATGCATCTAGAAAGCGCAGTTGGGGTTGAAGGCAAATTCCCCCCTCTTCAACTCAAGCTCTGCAACAATTGGTATTCAAAGGTATACTTCCTCTGTATATGGAAGTTCTGTTTAGGACGGCTAATGCTGCTGTTTTGAAAGTCCTTTCTGTTTCAATGATGAGTGTGCCAGGGATGTTCTCAGCGGCTTTTGCTCTTACTGTTTCCTTTTTTAATACATGAGGTTCATGAACTTAATTGCTTGAAAACTTTGAGAACAGCTGAAAGGTAGTAAAATGCAAACACTGCAAGATCTTCAAGAAGCTGCATGAGAAAAGCTATTTTACTGAACTTTGCTTACGTTCTTCGTTGACTCTTCCCCTTTTCCATCCTTTAAAACCCCTCTGGCCAATTAACACTTTGCAGAAAGGAAGCCCATCTTTTGAAATCCAAGACTTTTGCTCTTTCCTTTAAGGTGTGAGAACTTAGAACAGGGGTCAGCAACCTTTTTCAGCCGTGGGCCGGTCCACCATCCCTCAGACCATGTGGTGGGCTGGAATATATTTTGGAAAATAATATGAACGAATTCCTATGCCCCACAAATAACCCAGAGATGCATTTTAAATAAAAGGACACATTCTACTCATGTAAAAACATGCTGATTCCCAGACCATCCGCAGGCCGGATTTAGAAGGCGATTGGGCCGGATCCGGCCCCCGGGCCTTAGGTTGCCTACCCCTGACTTAGAATGTAGGGGTGGGATTTGTCTCAGTTGATGCACAAGCAGAACAAAGTCTTCCTATGCAACAGGACACCCCTCTCTCTGCCCTACATGTCCCCTGAATCTGCTATGGTGTTTGGTGGAAAACCAAAAACAGGTTTAGGAGGAGGAGAGAAGGGAAATCCTATTATGCAAGTGGACCTCATTCTGCTCACAGATCCACCTCTTACTGCCACATTGAAATCCACTCTGTGGCTGCAGTCCAGTGCACAGGTACTTGGAAACGAGCCCATTGAATCTAGTAGTGCATAGTAAACATGGTTTGGGGTCAGTCTGCAAGTCTGTTCCAAGGTCACCAGTAAGCCTTTCAGCAACTCCAGACGAAGTTCAGGCTTCTTGAGCCTCACAATATTTCCCCTTAAAATTATTTGGAACAAAGTGAACTTTCAGAATAAAACCCTTCAAAAATGCACAGCATTGATTGGTAACGCCTTGTGTAAATTCTCTCGCCCCCTGCGAATGATTGGCATGTACCCTGACAGCGCTGAACTCCAGGCCCCCCAAAAAAGTCATCTTTGTTGTCTCCCGCAGAAACGACGAGAGCGAGAAATCCAACAGCAGATGGAGAGCCGGGACGAGGAGACCTTGGAGCTGAAGGAGACCTACAGCTCCCTGCAGCAGGAAGTGGATATCAAGACTAAAAAACTGAAAAAGGTGAGTGGCCTCCCTGGAGGTGGGCTGGCAGGTATGTACAGGTACTGTATGTGAGCTCTGGAAATTAGCATGGATGTGGCCGAGTCCAGAACTGGGCTTCCTGTCTTCAAGGCACTAAGATGTGACAGTTTTCTCTGCGCTTTTAGGGCAGGCAATAGTTAATTGTCTCAAAGGAGTCGGAATGGATCAAACCCCCTGAATTTCCCCCCACCCAAACCAGGCACAGCTTGCATCTCCCCATGAACAATAAGGCCCAGCGGTTCCCTTTGACCTTGGGGGAGATGCAAAGCTTTTTGACAGATGCATGTTAAAATTCAGAGTTTTTGGCTGGAAAATTCTCCACTTGCATGACCTGGTAAGCTGTTGTAATTTTACAGGTTCTAACTAGTTCTGTGAGCCATAATTATTATACGTAATAGGTTGTGATGCTATGTAGTCATGTACTACCTTGATTTTTTTTATTTTGCAATAGAATTAATATTTTGCTAGGTTGGTTTCAGACAGGGCTGGGGAACCTCAGGCCTGAAATCCAACTGTGGCCCTCCAGAATTCGTTACCAAGCCCTTGGGACTGTCCCTAAACCACACCCTTCGCTGACCCTCCGCCTGCTTGGATCCTTGAGTGTTTTAGCCAAGCTGAAATGCGTCCTCTTATATTACCTCCTGCTTGTCTGAATGGAGGGCAGAGAGGGCTTGCAGAAACTAGCCTATTGTACAAAGGTTGCATTTGCATTTGTTGCTCCACCCACTTTACCTCTGGCCCCGCCCTCCACTTGTACGTGGCCCTCGCAAGCTTGCCCTGAAGGGAAGACGGCCCCTTGGGCTGAAAAGTCTTCCCCACCCCCAGTTTCAGAGATTCGCTTTTCACCAATATTTCTGCATGCCTAATTCCTAAGGAAAAACCCTTATCTCCTGGTCTGCCCCGCAGAGGACCTTAAGGTCCATGAATAACCATAGTTTAGAGGTCCTGGGCCCTAAGGAAGTCAGACTATCCTCCACCAGGGCCAGGGCCTTCTCACTGGTGGCTCCGACCTGGTGGAATGCTCTCTTCCATGAGACCAGGGCCCTGCAGGATTTAACCTCCTTCCACAATGCCTGTAAGACAGAGCTATTCCGCCTGGCCTTTATTTTGAATTCAGCCTGATCTTTTATTTACCTTCTCTTCCCTTCCCATCCCCTTTTATGAAGATCACCTGCTCTGAGAACCCACAGCTAATTCTCCCCTCGCTGGCCCAAGTAGGACCAATTCAGCCAGCTAGCCCTGGGGATTATCTAACTGATTTTTGAATTTTATTGTTATTCATGTTTTTATACTGTATTTTATGCTGCTTTTATAATTAAGTGTTTTAAATTTGTTGTTAGCCACCCTGAGCCCGGTTTTTGAACCGGAAGGGTGGGGTGTAAATAATAATAATAATAATAATAATAATTAGAAGGCAGCTGGACTGAGCAGCCTCTGCCCTTTATTTTTAATAAAAACTTGAGCTTACGGTATACCATTGTGGGACACAATCCACAAACCCTTTTGAAGTGACCGGGAGCCGTGCAAGAACTGGCCCGCTTGCTCATGAGGCAGAGATAGTAGGCTTGGCGGTTTGTGCTGTAGCCCATGACTCTGGCTCTCTCTCTCAGCTCTTTTCCAAGCTGCAAGCCGTGAAGGCTGAAATCCACGACCTTCAAGAGGAGCACATCAAAGAACGCCAGGAGCTGGAGCAAACGCAGAACGAGCTCACACGGGAGCTGAAGCTCAAGTAGGTTTTCAGCCAGCTGTGCGTTGCTCTCGAGGGCTTGGGAATGGCCTGCGGAGCAGTCTGTCTGCTGGCCAGGAATGAAAAGCGAATATTTCACTTTTACTGAGGCTGCTTGGAGCGTGCTTGCAACATTACCTTTCTTGATCTCCGCAGGCACCTGATTATCGAGAACTTTATTCCCTTGGAGGAGAAAAACAAGATCATGAACAGGTCGTTCTTCGATGAGGAGGAGGACCAGTGGAAACTGCACCCCATCACCCGCTTGGAGTGAGTTGGCGGCCCCCTTGAGCTGGGCTGTAGGGTTTGGGGAAATGGGGACACACCCTCCATTATCTCTTTAGATTTTCAGTTCATCCGGCCCGTTCCCTGCAGCTCTGGACTTGAAATCCAGGCTTAGCTCCATTTTTCTCAGTTGGTGGCTCACCCAAGGGCAGCGGACTTTCTGCTCCCCTCCTTCTTTTCCAGCCCCAACGATCACAACGCCACCATTCTGCAGCTCAGGTTGATTGAGGCAGGACTCTGGCTGGCAGCAGCTCTGCTTCTGATCCTGCAAGGCGGTCGCTGCAGCCTTAGATGTTATATGAAAGATATTGTGATGTAACTACCGCTACTTGAACGCTGCAGATGCAACATGGAGTTGTGTCCCCAGCTGCCTAAAAGCGGGAATTTAGCTCAGAGCTTGCTAATGTATTTTTCTATTCAGACAAATATTTGTGTACTGCTGCGTCAAAGCAGTTTACAGAAATCAAAAGATAAAATAAAAAACATAAAAAGTTAAAAAGCAGACATCAATTAACCATTGTGGAAGCTCATATTTTTGCCTACATAAGGCAACAGAACAGAAATGTTTGCAGCAGGCATTTAAAAGTTAGCACAGAAGGCGTCTGCTGAATCTCTAGTGGCAGTGAGTTCCAAAGGACTTGTAGGATGACCAACGACACTCTTGAATCTCAGTGACTGAGCAGGGAAAGAAGGGCTCAGGTGATCCCTGAGGCCCCTGGACCTAAGTTGAAAATGAATACAAGGACCTTGATCCTCAGCAATTAGTTCTGAGAGGCATTTTGCCTCTGAAAGTCTCTTTTATACCCTTCATGGATTTCTGTATCGCCAGAATCCTCTGCAAGTGCAACTTGCAAAGGGTCAGGAGAAGGAAACCATTGGATTGCCAAGTGCTGCCTCTTAAGGCAGCAAAATACCGTGTGCTGGACCTAGTATAGTAACGGCATTGCATTGCACATTGATGTTCATCCTCCCAGCTGGGATGTTAATCCACATGCTGCAAGATAAAATCAAGGCAGGGCCCAAGGTATGACAGTTGAGGACAGATGGAAAGGAGCAGGCTGAGAAGTCGCATCTGGCGGCATATCTCACCCTGGAGATTTCCAAATTTCTACACAAAGCTCTTCCGGCATGGTGTTTGTAATGAACAAAGAATATATTAATCGAGAGATCTCTTCCTGGGCCCGTTCCTTTCAAGTATAAAGTGTCTCTAGGATCAGCGTTGGGAAACTGCTGACACAGCTTTGCTATATAAAGCCTCCGTTAGCAAATTTAGATCTGCTGACCGACAAGGAAAGCAAAATCTTCCCTCCCGTCTTTTGTGCAGGGTACACCTCATAGGAAAAGCAAGCAGAGTAGATGGCTAGGGGACAGCTCTGCCTTTGCCAGGTTGAGGGAGACACGCGGCAATACCGGTTTGTGTGTTAATGTCCGGCTGGAGGACATGCCTGTGCTTGCACAAACATAACTGCCAGCGAAAACATAGGCACGCTTGGATTCCTGCTCTTTTTTCATGGGGATAAGCATTCATATAATAAGGGCAGAATTGTTGTTTAGTCGTTTAGTCGTGTCCGACTCTTTGTGACCCCCTGGACCAGAGCACGCCAGGCACTCCTGTCTTCCACTGCCTCCCACAGTTTGGTCAAACTCATGCTGGCAGCTTCAAGGACACTGCCCAACCATATCGCACTCTGTCGTCCCCTTCTCCTTGTGCCCTCCATCTTTCCCAACATCAGGGTCTTTTCCAGTGAGTCTTCTCTCCTCATGAGGTGGCCAAAGTCTTGGAGCCTCAGCTTCAGGATCTGTCCTTCCAGTGAGCACTCAGGGCTGATTTCCTTCAGAATGGAGAGGTTTGATCTTCTTGCAGTCCATGGGACTCTCAAGAGTCTCCTCTAGCACCAAAATTCAAAAGCATCAATTCTTCGGCGATCAGCCTTCTTTATGGTCCAGCTCTCACTTCCATACATCACTACTGGGAAAACCATAGCTTTAACTATACGGACCTTTGTCGGCAAGGTGATGTCTCTGCTTTTTAAGATGCTTTTTAAGATGCTTTTTTAAGATGCTCTTCGTGACCCCCTGGACCAGAGCACGCCAGGCACTCCTGTCTTCCACTGCCTCCCGCAGTTTGGTCAAACTCATGCTGGCAGCTTCAAGGACACTGTCCAACCATATTGCGCTCTGTCGTCCCCTTCTCCTTGTGCCCTCCATCTTTCCCAGCATCAGGGTCTTTTCCAGGGAGTCTTCTCTTCTCATGAGGTGGCCAAAGTATTGGAGCTTCAGCTTCAGGATCTGTCCTTCCAGTGAGCACTCAGGGCTGATTTCCTTAAGAATGGATAGGTTTGATCTTCTTGCAGTCCATGGGACTCTCAAGAGTCTCCTCTAGCACCAAAATTCAAAAGCATCAATTCTTTGGCGATCAGCCTTCTTTATGGTCCAGCTCTCACTTCCATACATCACTACTGGGAAAACCATAGCTTTAACTATACGGACCTTTGTCGGCAAGGTGATGTCTCTGCTTTTTAAGATGCTTTTTAAGATGCTTTTTTAAGATGCTCTTCGTGACCCCCTGGACCAGAGCACGCCAGGCACTCCTGTCTTCCACTGCCTCCCGCAGTTTGGTCAAACTCATGCTGGCAGCTTCAAGGACACTGTCCAACCATATCGCGCTCTGTCGTCCCCTTCTCCTTGTGCCCTCCATCTTTCCCAACATCAGGGTCTTTTCCAGTGAGTCTTCTCTCCTCATGAGGTGGCCAAAGTCTTGGAGCCTCAGCTTCAGGATCTGTCCTTCCAGTGAGCACTCAGGGCTGATTTCCTTAAGAATGGATAGGTTTGATCTTCTTGCAGTCCATGGGACTCTCAAGAGTCTCCTCTAGCACCAAAATTCAAAAGCATCAATTCTTCGGCGATCAGCCTTCTTTATGGTCCAGCTCTCACTTCCATACATCACTACTGGGAAAACCATAGCTTTAACTATACGGACCTTTGTCGGCAAGGTGATGTCTCTGCTTTTTAAGATGCTTTTTAAGATGCTTTTTTAAGATGCTCTTCGTGACCCCCTGGACCAGATCACGCCAGGCACTCCTGTCTTCCACTGCCTCCCGCAGTTTGGTCAAACTCATGCTGGTAGCTTCGAGAACACTGTCCAACCATCTTGTCCTCTGTCGTCCCCTTCTCCTTGTGCCCTCCATCTTTCCCAACATCAGGGTCTTTTCCAGTGAGTCTTCTCTTCTCATGAGGTGGCCAAAGTCTTGGAGCCTCAGCTTCAGGATCTGTCCTTCCAGTGAGCACTCAGGGCTGATTTCCTTCAGAATGGAGAGGTTTGATCTTCTTGCAGTCCATGGGACTCTCAAGAGTCTCCTCCAGCATCATAATTCAAAAGCATCAATTCTTCGGCAATCAGCCTTCTTTATGGTCCAGTTCTCACTTCCATACATCTGGACCATAAAGAATAGTTATATTTTAAACAGACTAGTTGTGTTTGTGGTGGAGGATTGCAGTAGCTAAACAGCATTGAGGAACATAGGACATGTGTATCGAGCTGGACCAGTGGTCCATCTGTTTCAGTACTGTCTACACTGGCTGACAGCAACTCTGCAGGGGCATTCCCAAACCCAACTGGAGATGTTGCCAGGGACTGAACCTGGAACCTTCTGCATGCCAAGCAGGTAATAATAATAATAATAATAATAATAATAATAATAATAATATTTTTTTTAAAATGATATTTATTAAAGTTTCAAAAAAAGGTTACATAGATAAGAATAAAAAAAATAGAGAAAAGAAAAATACAAAATACAAAAAAAAATTAAAAACAATTCCATCTTTTCATCACTTATCTTTCATTTACTTGTTTCCCGGACCTCCTCATGCCTCCCTTTTTTGTATTCCAGTTCAATTTATTAGTTCAGCAATTCCTTTCCCTCCTTATTTTATCCTGATCTTTAATCTTAATATATTATAGCATTGAGTTTTTATGTATTGAAAATCCAATTTTTCCATATTCTTTTATACCATTACAGCTAGAAACCACTTAACTTCAATCCAACATCATTCTAACATTCATTAATTTTACAATATTTCTGTAAATAGTCTTTAAATTTCTTCCAATCTTCTTCCACCGACAATAATAATAATAATAATAATAATAATTTATTATTTATACCCTGCCCATCTGGCTGGGTTTCCCCAGCCACTCTGGGCGGCTTCCAACAAAACACTAAAATGCAATAACCTATTAAACATTAAAAGCTTCCCTAAACAGGGCTGCCTTCAGATGTCTTCTAAAAGTCTGGTAGTTGTTTTTCTCTTTGACATCTGGTGGGAGGGCGTTCCACAGGGCGGGCGCCACCACCGAGAAGGCCCTCTGCCTGGTTCCCTGTAACTTGGCTTCTGGCAGCGAGGGAACTGCCAGAAGGCCCTCAGCGCTGGACCTCAGTGTCCGGGCAGAACGATGGGGGTGGAGATGCTCCTTCGGGTATACGGGACCGAAGACGTTTAGGGCTTTAAAGGTCAGCACCAACACTTTGAATTGTGCTCGGAAACGTACTGGGAGCTAATAATAATAATAATAATAATAATAATAATAACAATAATACAGTCATACCTTGGTTGTCAAGCGGTATCCATTCCGGCAGTCCGACTTCCAAAAACATTCGACAACCAAGGCGCAGCTTCTCATTGGCTGCAGGAGCTTCCTGCACTCAATCGGAAGCCGCTTCAGACGTTCGGGTTCCAAAGAACATTCACAAACCGGAACACTCACTTCCGGGTTTGTGGGGTTTGGGAGCCAAAACGTCTGAGTCGCAAAGCGTTTGAGATCCAAGGTACGATTGTAATAATTTTTATTTATATCCCACCCATCTGACTGGGTTTCCCCAGCCACTCTGGGTGACTTACAGAATTCATCAAAACAAAACAAAACGTCAAACGTTAAAAGCCAGGTCCTCTACAACTGAGCAGATTAGGCCCTTCCCATAATAATCCTTGTGGGAAAAGTTGTTCTGATATTTAAAGTGTGCATTTGAATGAAAGAGAGGCAATCCCTCCTGACGGAAGCGCTTACATTGTCATTTTTTCAAACGACTACAGCTCAGGCGTGGTCTCAGAGAGAACTCTGGCTATGGAAGTTTTCAAACCAGTGGCAGCATCCACACATCTGTCTGTTCCTACTCCTGCAGTTCCCAGTTAAATTGTGGGACAGGCACTCCTCTTCTCCCCAGAACATCCCCGTTTCCCTTGTTCTCATGGTAGCTCCTAGCGACCAAGACCAGTCTGAAGGTTTCCTGATGGTGCTGGCCCTGGGCCTCTCAAGCAGCTGCCGTCATGTAGCCTGGCAGCCAGGAGTGGCACAGTAGCACCTAGGACTCTCCCTCCTTGGAGGTTGGGTGGCCATCTGCCACGGATGCTTTAGCCGAGATTCCTGCATTGCAGGGGGTTGGACTGGATGAGCCTCGGGGTCCCTTCCAAGATTTTCCTGACGCAGCAATTGCAGGCTGGTTGGAGAGAATCAGTGGGTCCGAAGTTGGGCTGCTTGTGGAGGGAAGGGGGCTGGCTCCTGCAGTGGGCTTGATGTCCTTTTCCCTCGCCAGGAATCAACAGATGATGAAGAGGCCGGTGTCAGCTGTGGGATACAAGAGGCCGCTGAGCCAGCATGCTAAGATGTCCATGATGGTTCGCCCAGAAGCCCGGTACAGGGTAAGCTCATGCTCAGATCTGCATAAAATCATGAATGGTGTGGAAGGTTCCTCGTGGGAGAAGCTCACCATCTCCCCAAATACAAAAGACCTGAGATCGGACCCTGCTAATTTCAGGCCGATTAGTCTCCTAAGCATTATCAGTAAACTATATGCTGCCCACTTATGTAATAAACTTGAGAATTGGATGCAGCGAGAACTGTCCTTACAGAAGCACAAGCTGCTTTCAGGGCAAACTGGTCAACTTTAGACCAAGGCCTAGGACTCCTACATCTTGTGGAAAAATACACCTCAAGAAAAGGAGAATCCCTCTACGCAGCTTTCATAGATTTTAAATCTGCCTTCGATTTAGTATCCCGAGATAGGCTTTGGGGAAAACTAAGCGCCTCAAGCATAGACAGACATCTACTGTGTCTTATCTGCAGTTTATACGAAAACACTCGGGTCCGGGTTAGGTGTGACCGACAGGGCCATTTATCCAAGGAAATCCAAACCTCCCATGGTGTTAAACAAGGCTGCGTCCTTGCGCCTACTGTATTCAACTTCTACATTAACTCCTTAGCAGGAAACATGGAGAAAGAAAATGCCCACCCCCCTAAATTGGCTGGTACGTTTGATAAATTTTTAAACTGCTGCTATATCTGAATTGTCTCTGTAGTGCCCGATTGCAATTCGGTGTATTCCTGTTGTTTTGTGATTTTCCTGATGTTGTGGGTGACCCGGAGCTGGTCTGTGACTGTAATAATAAAATTCAAATTCAAAGACCTGAGGTGCTAAAAGGTTTGGGCAGGAGGTTTACACCATGCAAAAAGAAGCACTTCGAAGTAAAAGTCACCTTTCGCTCTCTACGCTGCGCAGTGTTGCAGTGGCCGGGGGCTGGGAGGGTGGCTGCTTGCGCCACACAGGGGCATAGCTTTTGTCTTCGGGAAGAGCGCCATGTCTGCACCCATAACCAGAGGTGCATCTCAGCATTGTGCCCAGGGTTGCAGGGCTTCACTGAGGCACCAGTTGCTACTTTTCATCAAGAAAATTCCCTGTTAGTCATGCTTTTTTTTTTTAAATGATATTTATTAAAATTTCAAAAGAAAAAGATTACATTAAAAAGAAAATTAACAGTAAAAAGGAAAAATACAAAATACAAAATACAAAAAAGAAAAACCAGTTAAAAACAATTCCATCTTTTCATCACTTCTTTTACATTTACTTGTTTCCCAGACCTCCTCATACCTCCCTCTTTTGTATTCCAATTCAATTTATTAGTCCAGCGATTCCTTTCCCTCCTTTTTAATCCTGATCTTTAATCCTGATATATTATAACATTAAATTTTTAGATATTAAAAACCAATTTTTCCGTATTCTTTTATACCATTACCGCTAGAAACTGCTTAACTTCAATCCGTCATCATTCTAACATTCATTAATTTTACAATATTTCTGTAAATAGTCTTTAAATTTCTTCCAATCTTCTTCCACCGACTCTTCTCCCTGTCATGCTGTTTGTTTGGTTCCTGATGCAGCATCACAATTCACAACAGGCCTCTATGTCAGGGGTGGGGAAGCCGTCATTTCCCTTCCACAGGAAACATTTTCGTCTGTAAATTTTTAACGTCTGCAGTATTTGGTTGTCCTCCAGTAGGAGAGCCAGGCTCTCTTTAAAAATTATTATTCATCTTATTTATCACAAAGTATAAGGACAGGTGCCAAATAAAATAAAACTAAATTAGAAGGGGATATCTCAGACTAAACATACAGGAACACATTTCTGCTCCAGAACTCCAAAAACAAATATAAAAAATATATAAAAATAATACCAGAAGATTCCAAGTAACACAAATAGGTTTAAATTATCGTGTACCTTATTACTCCAGTACATTGGGAAAAGACTCCATTTCTCAATACTGTTGTCGACTCTCTCTGGTTCTCACCATATATGCAAGCTTAACCATGCATACTTTGTCCCAGATGTTAGTTAGCCATTCTCTCGTGGATGGCGTTCTCATTTCCCCCACAGTTTTGACAAATATTAATTCTGGCAGCAGTTAAGTGATGTTACATTAATTCCCTGTCCTCTGTTAGTACAGTTTACATAACATATCTAAATAGTAAAATTGGAGGAGCCCATGGGTAAAGTATACAGGCCCACGGGTGGTGCTGTGGGTTAAACCACAGAGCCTAGGACTTGCCAATCAGAAGGTTGGCGGTTCAAATCCCTGCACTGGGGTAAGCTCCCGTTGCTCGGTCCCAGCTCCTGCCAACCTAGCAGTTTGAAAGCATGTCAAAGTGCAAGTAGATAAATAGGTACCGCTCCGGCGGGAAGGTAAACGGCATTTCCATGCACTGCTCTGGTTTGCCAGAAGCGGCTTAGTCATGCTGGCCACGTGACCCGAAAGCTGTACGCCGGCTCCCTCGGCCAATAAAGCGAGATGAGTGCCGCAACGCCAGAGTGGGCCATGACTGGACCTAATGGTCAGGGGTCCCTTTACCTTATGGGTAAAGTATAGCCCAAGCTATCGACCAGTGGGTCAACTCAGCCCCCTGCTAACCGTCTCTGTGTTGTGATGCTGTGGAAGAAATCCCCACCTCAAGTTAACAAAGAGACACTCAGACCCAGCTTCCTGCAATACCCGCTATCCAACTCTCTGCATAGCAAAACATGTTTCCTAAAGCAAAGCCCTCTGCTTGGCTGAGGACTTAAAACAAAAGGGACCTGGCCTCTTGTTCTCTGCAAAATGCCCAGCATACTGATGGCCTCCTATAAATAAGTAATACAGCCTTACTGAGCAGGAAGAGTATGGGTTGGGGCCAGGGGGACCAGGAAGCCAGAAAAAGGAGGCAAACTGTCAAATTATCGCTGGAATGAAGGCGCCTATTGGAAAATGCAGGATGCCAAACACGTTTCAGTGTGTCGTCTTTTTCGGGAGCAAAGAGATTTCTATTCCACTTATAGTGAGGGGTCATTTTGAATTCAAAATGCTGTGGACAGCTTGAGCTTTCTAATAAATATCTCTGCAATCTTTTAGAAGTATAATCCACTTGAGTTCCTGTGACTGTTCTTTCGTTACCTACAATTGGGAGAACCTTCGCCCGATTTCTGCTGCGAAACAGAGCACATGTGAGCAATAAAGTTGTCTGCTGGCTTGTGGGCCTAGGTGCCTGTCTGAACTCTCCTGGTTCTGATCCCTCAGGCAGAAAACATTGTATTGCTGGAACTGGATATGCCTAGCCGGACCACCCGGGACTACGAGGGCCCAGCCATTGCCCCCAAAGTACAAGCAGCTCTTGAGGCTGCTTTGCAAGAAGAAGATGAGATACAAGTGGACGCTTCCACATTTGAGAGTACATCCAACAAGAAGTCAAAATCCAGGTGAGCTCTGGTCGTTGGAAGGAGAGCAGATACACACACACACACACACACACACACACACAAAATTCCGGAAGCCCATATCCTGGGTAGTCAAGTTCAGGCTGAATTTGTTAGCACCGGACTACTTAAATTGAGGGGATGGTTTCTGCACAGTAAGCAGTATTTGGTAGAGGTGAAGGGTTTTCTAAAATGTTTGAGAAAATGGGAGAGGCTTGGCATGCTGCCGCCCCCTTTTCTAAAAGCATCCATAGAAGGAAAACTATTTGCAACAACTGCTTGACTGTCAGCTGGAAACCTGGTTATTTTCTTAAAACGGTGGTTCCCAAAGTGGGCATTATTGCTCCCTGGGGAGCAGTGGGATTACTTGGGAGACGCTAAGAGGCAAGTGGAAAACAGAAGTGCCTGGCGTGCTCTGGTCCATGGGGTTACGAAGAGTCGGACACAACTAAACGACTAAACAAAAGAGGCAAGGGGTGGAAGGGGTTGGTGGTGGTATAGATGACAATTAGACTCTGAAAAGTTGGTATGACAATATCAAGCTCATCACTTTTGTTGAATTAATGGAACTAAATGGTTTTCATTTGATTTTGAATAAATGTGCAGCAAATGGTTACTACTTTGAACTTTATTGTGCTCCTATCCTCCTTAGTGGGTTGTGAAAACTTATGTTCCGAATGCTGCTTTTTTGTATGGTGGGGGACACAGGGGGTGAGTTTATGGAACCAAGGGGGAGGTGGCCCAATTTTGGGGAGGAGCCACTGTCTTAAACAGAACAGCCTGGCCATCCCAAAGCAACGTAGTCGGTAAGGTTTAATAGTAATAAGCCGATTCTAAAGCAGATTGTCCCACGAGAAGCCAATAATTCATCATTCAGCTCCAAGAAATGGCTTTCCCTTTGTTTATCCCCGACAAGTTTCGTTCGTCACACATTCTTCGGGTTCTTCTGTTTTCCAGGCCTAAAACGGGAAGGAAATCGGGTGGCTCTTCGTCCAGTCCATCTGGGTCTCAGCTCTACCCTCAGTCTCGTGGGCTGGTCCCCAAGTAAAACCAGTTCCCTGCTAAGGTGTGGCTGTGCAGCAGCTTTGCCTTCCGAGAGCTGAGGCAAGCAAAGGACCTTCGGAGGGGACTCTGTGGCCAGGCTCCAAAGTGATTCCCTTCGAGACGAAGCGATGGCCCCCTCTGCAGCTGAACTGTTGTTGTTTTTTGTCCAGCCAGGCGTGTTCCAGGTGGGCTTCCGTCCCTCTGGCATTTGGTCACCAAGGGGAAAGAGTCTTTAGTTAGGAAATCAGAAATGCATGAGAATACATTAGTGTTAGATGCAACAAGAAGCCTGGGGGGGGGGGGGGTTGTCGCCTTGCCATCTCCTGCTCCTCTTCCAGTCTTCTTGCTGCACTTGGTTTGCCTGCCCTTGGGATGGAGCCCAAAGCCATCTCAGCAGAACCAGCAATCTGGGACTTGATGATGCTTAATAATCGAGTGAGGCTGAGAAGCGACCGCCCATGGCAGAAGATCCATTTCCTTTCTTTCCATCGAAAGACTGGCACCATTGGAAGGGTTTTTGTTTTTCTGGGGGGTTGGGATGGAGTACAGGTGGACGTGCCTCCAACCCACGGAGGAGCCGAGAACGAAATGCACCCCACAGCTACTTAGACGTGTTTCCTGTTAGAAATGCAAGCCGAAGGAGGGCTTTGAAAACCTGCTCTCTCTCTCTCTCCTCTGGAACAGAAGCAATAGAAACTTAACAAATCCTTTGCCTGTTTACAAAGATTGGCAAGAGTTGTCCTAGGCGGAGCTCCTAGAGACTTAAGCCATGACCGGCAAGGTCCACTCTGTGCAACAGTCAGCGCTGTGCGCCAGGTGCCAGCTCCGCATTTAGCGCTCTTCCTCTGCTCACCATCCAGTTTCTCCCAGTGCGCTCCACCAGGCACCTCTGCTTTGAGGGAATGACGCAGCAGTTCCTTCATTGTCTTCCACTGTCTGCGTGGTCTTTCTGACTTCTCAAGGCTGGTTCTGCTTTCCGCCGCAGAGGGGTGGAAGCCGAAGCAGTTCCTGGCCACCGCAGAACGTTCCTTTTGTGAGCAGAGGGTGGTTTCGGACCAGAGTTGCTGCATCTCACCTTGTCCGAAGTGGTAGGATCTTTCAAAGTGTTCTGAGCTCCGAATCTTCTGTCGGATGGGAATGGGGTTTAAGGTTTGAGTTCGAGGGGAAGGCACCACTGCCCGTTCCAGTGGCGAGGCTTGTGCTAGAACAGTCCTGCTTCTTCAGAGTCTCTTCTTTCTCCTCGCCCCAGTTCCAGAGCTGCCCTGTGCAGTGTTTGGGGCGCAAGTTGCTGCTGAATTGGGCCAGGTCAAAAGGCTGAAGAAGGTGCCCCCTCCGGGTATCGTTTTACGGTTCAGTTTGTACGTTTAAGATTGATGTATATTGAGAATTCAGTTGTTAATATTTTATTTTGGGGTTGCTGTTGACTGTTGTACTGTGAATATTCCCCACCCCACCGGCTTCCTCTCTGAATGTTTTAACGGCCCTCCTCTCCCTAGACCCTGCTGTGGGTGCGAGTGTGCATGTAGGTATGTATGAGAACTTGCTTGGTTATAGGAATACTCTCAAATGCGTATGGCCTTTGCCTTGTTGCCCTTATGTCAAACATTCTCTGAGCAGGCCTCTCCAGCTGCACTGACTCCATGGTTTCTCACCCACGCGAGCAAGGACAACCCAGACAGGCCATCCTACCAGCCCAGAGCTGCTCCAACAAGCCCCATTGCTTTGGATTCTGGGCAGTACATTTCTGGAATGAGGCCGGTTTTTCTGTTTTCAAAGTATGACTTCCGTGGAGTGGAGCTGTCTGGCCCCTGGCTGTTGCATTGGCCAGAGGGAACCTGCACCACCTCCCTTTCATGGTGAGCTTGGCAAAAAGCCTCTTTTCTTTGGCTCTTGTGGTATCAAAGTGCTCCCACCCCCATCCGGTTCAGCTCTGCTGTTTTGATCCCCTTTGTTATTTAAGAAAAGGATTGTATGGCTTAGATACTGAGGTGCGCTGGTTGTGAATCCAAAGAATCGTTTAGGCAAAGGTACAGCGTCTATGTGCATCTGTGGGCTCTGCCATTGCATTGGGCTTCTGTTGAGAAACGTTCAGAGGGGAGAACTAGAGGGGGAATATCCTAGGGGATGCTTTGCGTGTAAGAATCGGGTAAGCAGGCCAGTGCCTCAGAGGTTTATCCAGGCCAGCTTGGAGAACCCCCTGAGTTAAGGATACAAGAGAGAGGAATGAGAAGCAGGAGCAGACAGACCCCTCAGTGCTTTGTTTATAATGTGATTCTTAACTCCTCTCCCCTCTTTCCTGACAAGGGGGCTCTTCTCTCAAACTGGCAGAATTATCCTGATACAGCTGATCTGTCTGAGGTCCAGCGTGAAAGAGAAACCCATTAAGGCCTAGGAAATGACGAGTGCAACCATGGGAGCTAGCTTGCAATGTCTTTGTCTTTCCTTTGATCTGCATAATTGGATTAGCTTTTTCTCTCCCAAACATAATTCAGCAAAAGTAGCTCTTGAGGTCCAGGGCCCAAACCTTCAGGTCCACGACCATTGAAGCAGTTTCTTTAAAAGCTTTATGTGAAACTCTTGGACACTGCTCAGAATTGTTCCAACCTTTGCGTCGCGGCCATCACCAACGTGGTGCCCTTGAGGTTTGGACCACAACTCCCACCAGACCCCAGCCAGCACAGCTGGGAGCTGTAGCTCAGAACTTCTGAGGGGCACCAGGTTGGCAAAGACTTTTCTAGGGAGAGTCCCTTCTGTTATCTGTAGACCTGGTCACAAGATGTTCAGAAAATCACTTTAAATAAATCTCTCTGCAAATTCGTTTCTGCTGTTTGTGGCATTAGGCAATGTAACTGAGGTTGAAAAATAAACCACAAATCTCACGAGTGCTGTTCTCGCACAGCCGACACACCAGAAAAGCTAATGCAAGAGCCATCCATGATCCTATGACTGTGTAACACTGGTCAGCTGGGTGGGTGTTCAGCACCTTTGTACTGTATGTTGGTGGCTCAGCCCTGAAAGGATGGGGTGTTTGTTGATTTAAATCTGTCCTTCTTTGACCCCGCAGATCCAATCCACTGGGTAGGACTCGAGTGTGGCTGAAATGAATGAGAGCAGCACAGCGGTGCAAAGCCATTTATTTCAGTGGGTCTCACACAGGGACCGTACCCAGTGGAATGAACGTGAACTGGCGCAACTGTCTTCTGAGAAACTTCCCAAACCTTTGGAAATAGCTCGTACATAGTTCCTTTTCTGTCCATAGATCTTACAGCTTGTATCTGTTATCATCTCTCTTGTCTAGGAATGTAAAAGTGCTCCTAAAGATGTGTAATAAATAAATAAAAATTCAATTGGATTTATTGTATGTAAAATAATAATAATAAAGCCTCTTCCTTCCCCTCCTCATTGTTTTTAGTTACATTTTTTCATATCCTGTTTCACATTCCCAGGTTTTCTTTTGGAAAAGGTGTTCATACATTGATGGGAAACTTGAGTCTTAGAATTTTATTAGATTTCTAAACTCATCCCATATTTTAAGCCCTAGATCCCAGTAGAGTTCCTGCTGTTCCCTTTTGCCACCAGACTTTTTAACCAGTATGACCTGGTTAAAATCATGTATCTGAATCTTTCCCCACCCACCTATACTTCCTCATTTCCCACCTGTTATTGAGGCCATTATTTCAGAAGGAGCAGGAGCTGGTAGTTTTCAACCTCACCCTGTCCTTCCTCCAAGCTTGCTGTTTGAGGTAGGTGGGCACAAGGAAAGAGGCAGTGCTCTGCCATTTAATCCCAGTTCCTTAACGTGTGTGTGTGTGTGTGTGTGTGTGTGTGTGTGTGTGTGTGTGTCTGTTTGTTTGTGTGTGTTAGGTGGTCCAAGTGTCAGAAACACTACCTGGTTCCCACAACCTCTTTCACTGGGCGTATATCAGTAGAGGCCACCTGCCAGGCTTGCTAGACCTCTCTGAAGCATTCTGCAATGCAGGTATTAATACTATGCAGCTCGAAACAATAGGATGAATAAAAACTGACTCCTCTCGGAATAAAAATTATCCTGACCAAAAAGTATGGTTCCAAAAACTGGAACTTTACTAACAGAACTTTCTTCAAAAGAGACTTACAACAAGAATGAAACATCCAAACAGTTGCATAAAAGCATGTGCTTCTCATGTGCTTTTCTTTCCCCGTTTCTAACACTGCTTGGGAGCCGTGGCAGACGTAATGTCCTCTGTTGCACGCGGGCGACAGGAGTTCTCCTGCTCATCCTGGCATTGCTGCTTCCTGGCTCTGGGGTAGGTCAGAGGAAGAGAAGAGGAAAGAGTGACCGACCTTGCAAGATTACCTTTTCTCTAAACGGAAAAGACCCAGAGATTACAACCTTTCTCCATAGGGGAGGCGTTCCATCCCATGGATCATTTCAATTGGTAACCAGCCCAGTAGGATGTTTGGAGATGTCCTCCGCAGAGTTTATATCAATTAGAACATGTTGATCAATCTCATGTTGAGTTTTTGGCAGATTTACAATATGGGGGATAAATGGAATTGGAGGTGCTTCATTCTTAAAGTACCTTGAGATTCTTATACCACTCGTCTCCAGGTGTTCTCTACATTTGTACACTAGTTTTGCCAGTCTCCCCTCGTAGAATGAGACCACCGCTCTGGCAAGGAATCCGTTGAAGTATAGATATTCCACTTGGGCCAAATCAGTAGGGTTATTAAGTATACCCGGCATATAGATCTTTAAAAGGTTCAATAGATGGGCTTTACGCTCTTCTTGTGTTCTTTCCTGAACTTTTTCCCAACCCCGCAACATCCTTTCTGAGGTGAGGCCACCAGAACTGTGCATGGTATTATTCCAAACGCAATTGCACCATAGATAGGAAAAATTCTCCAAAAACCTCACCTTCAGCTCTTTTTCAAAGGAGAGGGTGGGAGGTGCTTCAGAGAGCAATTTACCAACCCATTTCCTGCAGTGCCTTAAATTTCTCTCCACCCCAAACCAAATCGTTGCCATTTTTGTGTGGTAATAGCACGAATTTTATGGCCTACTCACATCTGGGTCTGTGGTGGTTGAGCTTGCTTCTGCAATGTGTCTGGGTGTGTGTGTGACACAGTTGCCCTTGACTACTGGCCCCTGCTCAACCCCCCGCCATGCTGGAATCTCAGCTAAAGCTTCTATGACACCCACCCACCCAATAGGACAGGAATTAGTCTGTCTTGTCACTCATGAGCCTGCTGCACTTAAGTTTTTCTATACAATAAGAACTGAACAGGAACTTCATGAACAATGCTTAAGAATAAGCTGCCCACACATCAGCAAAAGACCAGGGCACTTTGCATAGATACCTGATCACCAGCAAACGTAACAAAAGGCAAAGCCTCCGAAGGGTTATTCAACAAAGACATCAGTGACTTCTCCAAACCAGCAAATAAGTGCACAGGTATCATCTGCATTCATGTCTTCGGTGCAATCCAGCACACCTTCCTTGGATTTGAAAATTCTTCTGAAGTTGGCTGGTGCCCATGCAGAACAAAAGATTATTATTATTTATTGAATTTTTTATATTAAAAAAGCAATTTAAAAGAAGCAGCAGTACCCTCTTGCTGGGCAGCAGCAGTCCTTATGAAGCCTGTCAGGCCCTGCCCTGGGCCAGGTGGAGAGAGGCAGGAGCGGGCCCCTCAGACTCTCAGCAGGGTGGTCATTGCTGGGAAGCAGCAGCAGCAGTCCTTAGATTTTAATTAATACAAATGTTTTTGTCTAGCTGTTTTAATAACCAACATACTGTATGCAGAGTTGTGTACACACATATCTGCTCTCTTGTACAGAAGCCCTTCTGCTATGAACACTTCACACATTTCCGTGTGCCTGTGCAGTAAAAACACTGGAAACAGAACTTATGTCAAGCTTAGAAGACACTCCGTTACTTATTTTGAGAAATGGGGAGAAAAAGAACAACCATCTCTGGATTCATCTGTGCTTCTGAACAAACACTGTGAGAGATTAACGTGACACTTCAGCTTAAATCGCAAGGAAACTTCCTTGAGGTTCTATTTCAGAAGCTGGGATCGAATGTGGCACTCCAAGCCTCTCTACCATGACTTTCATCTGTGCTTCGTAGTCGGCAAATCTCACCAGACCGATCCGCTTCGACTGGCTGGATCAGTCATCACCTAGGGTCAGGAGAAGAGATGAAATGGCTGTAACAACAATGGCATTGCACTACCAATTGCGTACCAATTCTACCCAGCTATTCCATGGGTTGAATTTCAAAATGAAGCAGTGCGAAAAATAATGTTTGATGATTTTCAGCGGAAGGTTTCATCCTGCTTTCATCATCTTCCCTTGCTAACAGCTGCAGCCTAGAGACCAGGCTCCTCTGTCCATTCTGTCTGGCTGCAACAGAGGGAGAGAATGGAGAGAGGGCCGCTCCATGAATTCTGCTGAGAAACCAGCTCAGCCATGTAACTTTCAGGGTTCTTTCTCTCTCTCTCGACTCAGATTTAGACAAACAGCCCCAGCTACCAGCATGAAAAGGTCAGAACTCTTCCTTTTTTTACCACAATGACTTCACTGACCAAAGTCAATACTGAAATGGACTAAGACCACAAATTGAGCTGAATTCTGACACAGATGCGGTTGCTCAGTCCCAGTCCCTTGCTTCAGTGGCCCTCAAGCGAAGGCTTGTTTCCATTATGAGTTAAGTGAACCACAGCCACTTAGTCCCAGCGCCAAGAAAGACAAAAGTCCGAGGGCAGCAAATGGTATCTCAACAATCCTGTTCCCAAAAAGAAATTTCTGTTCCCTATACCAGGCTCGGATACCACTTTTTATGGTTATTTATTTATTTATTTTTGGGTAACTTCAACAGTTCTTGCAGTGGGTGAAGCAATATCTCTTAAGAAACCACAACAAACAGCAGTTACATTTTGATGCTTTGGCTAGTCATGGCTCATGGAAGGGTAGTTACGCCAGATACCTGGACTCTTGAGAACTGCTCCAAATCTGCTGAAGAACTCCTCCAGTTCGCGCTCGGACGTTTCCTATGCGAGCCCATAAACCACCAGGTCAGCGGTACCAAGACATTCTTGTTTCACATCCATTTCCTCTATTTTCCTCTTCTTGCCTAAAGATAGATGTGTCCATCAAACATAGTCAGCACTTTTAAAAATAGCTAAACAAATATTCCCATTAGTTGCACTGAAAAATTTGAGTGAAGCAGATCATTCTACAGCTACATGAAACTTAATCCTAGGTTCCTCACTGGGTTTAAGGCTTTTAAAGTTTTTCATTCTTAAGTACCACTGTGTTCAAATGGGGCCAATTCCTTAATAACTATTTAGGATTGCAGCCTTGGGGTGTATTTGTTTTGTTTACCAATTGCTCCCACTTGCATTTGGGGGGAAGTTTTATTTGAATCCTTTTCATCTTTAAAACTGTTAGGCGTGTCCCATATATTTAAAAGATGAAAAGAAACCATGTAATTTAGTTGATCGATAAGGGGTCTAAAAATAAAAGATGCCCAATTGCCTAACAATTTGAGCAACTTATAGGACTTTGGAAATCTAGGACAAACTAAAAGAAAATCTATTATCCGTATATATTTTTTCATAGTCAAAGAACCCATAATTCTTTCTATTTTTTTAAAAGAGCAATACAGCACATAAAAGCAAGGACTGAGCCATTTCAGAGCACACGGGAAACTGAAGCTTTCCAGGCAGTACACAGCACAGGGAATACTTGCATCACCTTTGGGATGATCACAGAATCAGAGTTGGAAGGGACCTCTGAGGGTCATCTAGTCCAACCCCCTGCAATGAAGGAACCTCAACTCAAGCAGCCGTGATAGATGGCCATGCAGCCCTCTCCCATAGGAGAGCATAAAGCAGCCAGTTAAATCTTCTTCCTTCCATTTACCCCATTAGGACACAAAAGCAATAACCTCATGTCTGGGAAAGGGAAGGCAAGGCAGAAGAGAAAGGTAGGGTTTGGCTTTAAGGGCATAGCGATCTGCTCTTTTACTCTTGAGCAAGAACTTCATGTCTCGAGAGGCAGCTAGGCAGCATCTTACCCACCTTAACATGCGCAACACATGCACAGAGGTGGGGCAGGGCAAGATTTCCCCCCACCCCACTACTCTGAAATAAATAACCCCCTCGATGTTTTTTGCAGCGTCTGAGGAGCTTGCTACTTTGCAGGCTGTTGAGCTGTGGCTGCGAGGGGGGTGGGGGGAGAGCTGAGGCAGAGACGGTTTTGCAGTGATTGTAACTGTTTTGCATGGTGACATCTCTGCAAAACCCTGCAAAACCGATCTTTGCCTCGGCTCTCCCGTGGAAAACCGTTACAATCCCTGCAAACATTTCATCCCCCCCCAATAGTTAATTTTAGTTAATTTTCCGAATTTATAACAAACATAAAAAACATTACAATATAAAAAAGACAAGCGAACAAACATATATCCTAACTGTTAAAATTCCAATTTAATTATCGTTAGTCCCCCTAGCTGAGTTTCCATATAACTCATTGCAGCAGTTTTCCAATATCCCTGCAAACGTTGCAAACGATTTCTCGGTACACCCCCAACCACACCCGTGCCCAACATACACGCATGCACGCTTCCAAGTGATAAGCTTTGTAGGCTTCACGGACTTCATATAATAAACTGTACAATGATTCTAAGAACCTGGGGGTGCAGAAAGGCTGCCCCTGGACTGGGAGGCTCCATAAGGCCTTAGGAAGAGCTCGGCAGCTGGATGAGGCCAAGCGAGGCCCCGTCCTCCTATCCTTGCAGCAAGCAGCCCCCCAGAGATGCCCTTACCCGCAAGCAGGATTCGAACGCAGGACCAGCCGTGGTTCGCAGCAAGGGGGAGTCCGACGCGTTTGCTGCTGCGGTGCTGCTTATCTCTCTCTTCCTCCCTAATTCCTTTGTTTATTGCATTTATATCCCACCTTCCCCCCCCCAATGATCTCCAGGTGGCGCCCCTGGTTCTCCCCCTCCTCCACGTGTCATCCTAACAACCACCCTGCGAGGTAGGTTAGGTCGAGAGGCAGTGAAGGGCCCACGGCCACCCAGTGACTCCCACGGCCGAGTGGGGATTCGAACCCAGGTCCTTAGCCCGACACTCTAACCGTTATACCACACTGCCGCCCTTCCGTGACATGTGGGCCGGGCCTCAGAACGGGGTCGGGGTTAGGGCTCTCCCTGGCCGCCTCTCAATGGGCCAACGCGGGAGCTGGGCGCGTTAACGGGTTGGCGCATTCACACGAGGGCTGAACGCGCGAGGACCCGGATGTCTCGGCCTCTTCCCGGCCTCCCCCTCCCCGCTTGGCGCCGCCGCCCATCATGCACCGCGGCAGCCTCCCCGCAGCGTCGCCAGCCCCGGAGCGGAAGCCCCCTCCTCTTCTGGGCGGGAGAGGGCGCCTTCTCCCCGCCGCTGCGCCTTCTGGGATTTGTAGCCCCGACGCCCTTGCCGCGCGTGCCCGCCTCCGCCCCGGTCCTCTCGCCAAGACTACATCTCCCGTCGGCCCGCGCGGCTTGTTTTCCTTCAAACCCCGCGAGCGAGCCCTCTCCCTCCCTCGCCTCCTGACAGGGCTCCTGACAGGATTGTCCCTCGCCGGCCACTGTTCGGGCCTCCGTCACCGCCTCGCCTCTCGCGCCGTCCACTCCCTCCTCCTCCTCCTCGTTTCCCCCCTCCCTTTTCCCGCCCACCCTTTCGAAGACCTTTGACCCCCAGCCCCCTCCTCCTCCTCCTCCTCCGTTGTTATGTCGGGCCTCGGCGGCGGCGGCGGCAACACCACCCTCAGCATCCCTTAGAGCGCGCGCGCGCCGGGCCCCCCTCCCTCTCGCCTGCCTGCCTGCCCTTTTTCTTCCCCTCAGCCGCCTCGCGCGCGCGCAGCCCAGCGCCCCGCCCCTCCCCCCCCGCCGCCAAAACCGCGCCCGAGTAACGGTCGGCCGCGCGCGCTCCCGTCTGCCTGCCCTGCCTCCTCCTCCTGCTCGCTCCCGCTCTCTGCCCCCCCCGCGCGGCCGCTCTTGTCCTCCGCCGCCCCCCGCTCCGACCTCCTCGCGCGCGCGCGCCTGCCGGGAGCGCCCCTCGCTTGTTTTCCCCTCGGAGGAAGATGAAGGAGATGAAGCAGAGGAGGAAGAAGGAGCGCACGTGGGCCGAGGCCGCCCGCCTGGTGAGAAAGTGGGGGGGGGGCGGCTGGAAGGAAGAATAAGCCCCTCGCGTGGGGTTTTTATTTCTTTTTGTGTGTGCATTGGGGGGGGTGTTATGGGGCGGAGGGCTCTTCCTTGCCGCTCCCTTTGTGTGGGGCGGGGAGGGAGGAGCTGCTTCCCCATAGGAGAACTCCTCGCCTTCTCCAGGTGGGAGAGCTACGGGGGCACAACTCCCACTTCCCCTCGACTCTCCCGGTTGACCCCCGTGGGGTGTCATAGAAGCCCCCCCACGAGGATGGGCGTAAGAACGAGGGTAAAGCCATGCAGGAGGGTCAAAACTTGAAATCCCCCCCAGTTCGGTCTTTGGGGCTCTTAGGCCCTGCACAGGATACACAAAGTGGAGGTGGGAAACGTGAAGCCCTCCAGGTGATACTGGACTACAACTCCCATCATCCCCTGACCATATTGGAGGTGGGAGTTCAACAGCAGTCAGAGGGCCGCAAGTTTCCCCATTCCCCGATACAGAATCTCTGTCATAAGGATGCCAGAAGAGCCCGGCTGCTGGATCAGGCCACAGATTTGTCTAGTCCACCATCCTGTTCTCACAGTGGCCAACCAGACCCCTTGGCAGTAAGTCTGCACAGAGAACCAGAATGCATCTGTGCTCTCCTGGATGTAATTCTTAACAGCTGGTATTGAGAGGCATGCTTCATCTGACAGTGGAAGGAGAACATAACAGTCCTGCATAGTAACTATAGATATCCTTGTGTTCCTTGAATTTTTCTAATCCACCATTAAAGCCGCCCAGGCTGGTTGCCATCATGCTTTGGTAAGAAGTGTCATAGTTCTGTGAAAAAGAACTTTCTTTTCTCCTGACCTTTCAGCTTCATTGGATTGCCACAGATTCTAGTGTTATGAGAGAGGGGTAAAACCTTTTTATAAACTTCTGAAATGCCCCTAATTGATTTTTCTCCAAACTAAAAAGTCCCAAATGATGTAACCTTTTCTCACAGGAGAGCTGCTGCAGACCCCAGTCATTTTTACTGCTTCCTTCTGAAGTGAAATAACTATACACAATATTCCAAATGTGGTCACATGTCCAAGGTGCTAACATCACATTTATGTTTGTGTGTAGGTTCTGTGAAGGCTGTGCTAGTAATACACAAGTTCATCTGCAAACAAATGACAATTGCTTCAGTCTCCCTAGAATAAGGAGAAACACAATACAGTGGCACCTTGGTTTTCAAACGTCTCTGTTGACGAACATTTCGGTTTTTGAATGCTGTAAACATGCCGAGTAAATGGTTTGGTTTTTGAACACGCCTCAGAAGTCGAACATGCCATGTGGCTTCCGCATTGGGTTTTTTGTTTTTGAACATTTCAGAACTCAAACGGTATTCTGGAACAGATTACGTTCGAAAACCAAGGTACCACTGCAATAATATCTAGAGGGGTAGCCATGTTACAACCCAATCATAGCCATGTCTACTCAGAATTAAGCCCCATTGAATTCAGTAGGACTTGCTCTAATGTAAGTGGGGTTAGTATTGAAATCATTATGATACAGCCGCCTAGTGGGTAACTGATGAAATGGGTCACAAGACAGAGTGTTTTTGCAATAATATTCTTCACATTTGTATAATGCTTTCAAATGTTCAAAATGATTCATATGCCTATAATGTAAGTTAGTGTTTTCCCCAGATGGACAGGATTAAGGCTGAGATAGACATGTTTGTCAGAGGCCAACTTTTAAGTTCATTGCACACTTGAGATTCAAACCCAAGGACTTGCATATTTGTAGCTCAACCTCATACCTACTGCAGCACACCAGCTTTGCAATAAGGATCCTATAATGGGAAGAGAGGAGCCCGTCAGGAAATAATGAAGCGTTGGACTGGAATTCCATTTTGTGTATTTAGAAATTTTTCAATGCCACAGGGATTTATACTTCATTCATTCTCCATAGAGCGCTCCCTCAGGATGCAAGAAATTTGAGAGCTTGTCCTATAATTTATACTTATGTCATGGGGCTTGGAATGAGTTACACAGAAATTGTCTGAAGCATAGTATATGGTTGCACAGTTCTTTCCACATTAGAGGCAGTATACAATGTGGTAGAATAAACTTTTTTTGGAAAGATTGCTTCTGGTTCGGGGTATGAAAATGAATTTCCAAGCTCAGAGTTAGTCACCTCTGTTTTCCTGATATATACTTGTCTATGTGTGAGTAAAGAGTCACCTCTGTTTAAGTTCATTCATGTTGGCATAAGCATGTCAGTTACAGTGGTACCTCGGGTTACAGATGCTTCAGGTTACAGACTCCGCTACCCAGAAATAGTACCTCGGGTTAAGAACTTTGCTTCAGGATGAGAACAGAAATCATGCAGCAGCAGGAGGCCCCATTAGCTAAAATGGTGCTTCAGGTTAAGAACAGTTTCAGGTTAAGAACGGACCTCCAGAACGAATTAAGTATGTAACCAGAGGTACCACTGTATACCTGTGTTGCCTGACTATGGTAGGGACTTTTAGTACCATGATAACACTGTTACTGTATTGTATATTGACTTGCCGGGCAGAGCAAACTCAAAAAATGCTAGGTGTCTTTCTAGATGGAGGTTATTTCTCACTTCATTAGACATACCTCTACCTGTGACATACATGTGATGGAAAGAGAAGCTAAAATGCTACTGCCATGTTTATCTAGGACTCTAGAGCAGGGGTCAGCAAGGTTTACCGGCCATGGGCCGGATCACTCCCATGGAGATCGTCTGTGGGCCGGATTGGCGCAGCGTAATACCAGAAATTGCATCTGTGCATGTCCGTGGCGCCGGAAATCGCTTCTTCGCGTGCACAGATGCCAAAAATCACGCCTGTGCAAAAGCGATTTTCGGCGTCTGGACATGCCCAGATGTGATTTCCGGTATCTGCACTTGCGCAGATGTGATTTCCAGTGCTGCCCGGAGAGTTGCTACGCTGGTTTAGCGCAGCACGCAGGGGACTCGCCGAGCAGGCGGCTCATGGGTCGGTAAAACGGTCTTCATGGGCTGCACGTTGCCAACCCCTGCTCTAGAGGCAGGGGCACTATCTCCTCCCCACAATATGTGTAAAGAGAAAAGTTTCTCCTCTGTAGTAGTAATTGGTACACACATTGCAGAGTTGAGGCAGGACTTGGGAATCTCTTACAGCTGTTTAATACATTTTTAAAAAGAAAACTCAATAAAGCCTGGGAAAGTTTGTGTGCCCACTGGTTCTCATCTTCAGAATGACATGGGGACATCTGTTTCCACATTTTAAGCCTCGCAGCAAAGGGAGAAGAATTTTGCCTGCTGTTGTCATTTCCACATAAGATTCCACAGTGACAAGTTGCTACAACCTCTGAGGCAGGAAGGCATCCCATGGAAATTGTTTCTCCTGCTCTGGATGTTCTCACATTCTTAGTTTCCCATTGGCTGAAACAAGGAGGTGAAAGAATGGGCCACTATAGAGCATTGGTTCATTGCTGTCTAGTGCTGTGTCTGGTAGAAGCTGGGAATCATACTCTCATGTCCAGTTGGGAAGGACTGTTTCTTAAAGCAGGATTGTGTTCCCCCCTTTTATGAGAATAGGTGATTTACCATTTATTCTCGCTCTCCTTCCATAAGAACTGTATTGAAATAGACTGCCTGGCTCATACATTATGGTTGGTTGAGGTAATTTTCACTGTCCTTTTTACAAAGGAGAAACCTTCTTTAAAGATACAGTGGTACCTCGCAAGATGAATGCCTCGCAAGACGGAAAACTCGCAAAACGAAAGGGTTTTTGGTTTTTTGAACTGCTTCGCAAGACGATTTTCCCTATGGGCTTGCTCCGCAAGACGGAAACGTCTTGCAAGTTTGTTTCCTTTTTCTTAAAACCGTTAATACAGTTGCGACTTGACTTCGAGGAGCAACTCATAGCACGCGGTGTGGTAGCCTTTTTTGAGGTTTTTGAAGACTTTGGTGATTTTTGAAGCTTTTCCAAAACTTTTCCGACACCGTGCTTCACAAGACGAAAAGAACCGCAAGACGAAAAAACTCGCGGAACGAATTAATTTCATCTTGCGAGGCACCACTGTAGAGGAAGCCTCCTGTCCTCTTTTGCGCAGGGATAGATTTTTAACAAGGGTTTTAAAGGCCCACAGAAGGAGTTATTTTCCAGAAGAAAGTGACTTTTTAATTCCATTTTCTTGTTCGCTGTGAGGGGTGTTCATGCAGGTGTGAGGGAGATACAAAGGTTTTCATTAATGGTTGAGAGAGTGAGAAGTGTAGGCTCTTAGAGGCGAATGCATGTGTGTTCCCATTTATGGTAAGAAGTAGGCGTTCTTCCTGAGAAAGCTGCCAGCAGTTAGTAGATGCTGATTAAATTTCTCAATATTACTAAAATATTTCCCCTCTAGGTATGGGCAGAATTTCTGGCTTGCTTTGTTAGAGGCTTAAGGAAACAATTTTGTGGTGTCATTAGAAGTAGATACACTAGCAACCTTTCACCTCTGGAGCGGAGCCATGTTTTTGATCGCGTCAGTATTATACTTACTTACCTAGGACTGACTTTTGACTAGGCATGTGTAGTACAGTCCGTAAGACTGCAGTGGTATAGACCTGGACTTAACCCCAATGGCACACGATGGGAGTTCTTCCAACTAAAAATGCATTGGATTTTGCTCCAAGAATCTGAAGCTTCTCTGCTTTAGTGTTTTCCAGCACTTCCTGAGATCAAACTGATTTGCATTCTGAGGAATGTTTCAGGAATTTACTGTGTGGTTACAGTTGCAAAAAAACGCTTTTCCCTGCATGTGAATTGTGAAATCTTAAATGGAGGCATGTCCTTTCTTCTTTTTGGTTTGCACTTTAAAAATAACAAAGCCCATCCATTCTCCACTCTCAGTAATAAAAAAAGAGGTGTGGAGGAGGGGATATGCAGAATTGAAGCATAATTGTATCTATTTAGGGGACAAATTCCTCAGGTGGGTGTGTAAAACCTTCTATCAAAACTCTGATAACGCTTCCCTCCTCCACTCCAAACTAGAGATGAGCACTAACATTGCATACATCAGGGGTCGGCAAGGTTTACCTCACCTGGGCTGGTTCACTCCAGCGGAGATTCCTCCGTGGGCCAGATCACACGTGTGTGTGAGCGTGTCTGCCCGCGATTTCCATTGTCAGCGTCTGTGCAGACATGTTTTTTCGGCGTCAGCGCATGCGCAGACGCAATTTCCAGTGCCATGGAAGCGATTCCCTGCACTGGTTTAGCGCAGCACGTGGGGACTCGCTGAGCAGGTGGCTTGGTTCGGAAGCAGCTCGTGGGCCAGTTAAACGACCCCCCGTGGGCCGCTTGTGGCCCATGGGCCTTAGGTTGCCCATGGGCCTTAGGTGCCCTGTCATAAACCATGCTCCGTTATTTGCATGCTGGATCATGCAGCTATCTGCTTTTACTGTGCTGTTTTCAGAGACTGGGTTCAGGAAGTAATATTTCCCTTCTACTTAAAAAAAAAATTACATTGAGTAGGGCAAGTTGTATGTGGCTGTAGTCTGGATGCTCTGTCTTCTATATTATTGACTGAGGATGAAACTTTTCAGTTTTAGTTGGTGGTTTCCTTTCTTGGACAATATTCGTCCGCTGCTCGACTGTCTAGTACAGAAGTGTGTACAGTCGTACCTTGGTTTTTGAACAGTTTAGTTCTCAAACGTTTTGGCTCCTGAACGCCACAAACCCGAAAGTGACTGTTCCGGTTTGCAGACTATTTTTGGAAGCTTAACATCTGACACGGCTTCCGATTGGCTGCAGGAGCTTCCTGCAGCCAATCTGAAGCCGCACTTTGGTTTTCGAACATTTTGGAAGTCGAATGGACTTCTGAAACGGATTCTGTTCAACTTCCAAGGTACTACTGTACTTGTTTAGCTGTGTTCAAGTTTAGTACAGAGGTACCTTGGGTTACAGACGCTTCAGGTTACAGACGCTTTGGGTTACAGACTCCGCTAACCCAGAAATAGTACCTCGGGTTAAGAACTTTGCTTCAGGATGAGAACAGAAATCGCACGGTGGCGGCACAGCAGCAGCGGAAGGCCCCATTAGCTAAAGTGGTACCTCAGGTTAAGAACGGACCTCCAGAACAAATTAAGTTCTTAACCGGAGGTATCACTGTATTTAGTGTAAGAGTATTCATACAGTGATACTTATTCTGACCACAGCGGCCACAAAAATGCCAGTGGCAGCCATGCGCTTAATTCTGGAAACTGCTACCTGATGCTTCCATGGATGCCCAGTATAAAGTGAGATCTTGTCTCCTTTTGTACCAAGCACAAGAGATTGTGGTCCCCTTCCAACATCCTTTGGCATGTGGAAGAACTTGAGGGGTGGGACAGAGTACTTTGACTCTTACTTCATACCAGTTTTTGCAGGAAAAGCAGTGGGAGTATTACTGACTTCCCCCAGGCTTGTTCAAAGTGAGTACCTCTTGCTTTAGTCCTTGCATTAGGCAATTACAGGCATTAGCTGGAGACTCTCATGATGCTTTGGACAAATGAGCTGCCTCTAACAGAGTGATTGGAGGGAGTGGGGAGACACACAGTGATGATGGCAACCAAAAATTTTGTCCAGCTCTGAAACTCTGCTATAAAGTTTTTAGACTTATACTTTTCTTATAAGAATATATATGCCTGCCACTGAAGTTCTTCAGTGAGTTCTTTTTACTACTACCAAGCATGATAACCATATTGATGTAGTGGAGAGTCCATAGTATTTGCACTGGGGAGGCCTGGGTTCAACTTTCCATTGGGCACCTAACTCTTGTTCTAGAACAGCTACAGTTTCTTAGTTCTGTACTTCACTTGCTAAAATAGTTTAGCATCCACAGCATATAGCTGGTAATTGTTCAGCTTGATGAAGATGTTAACCCAGTGTGTGGTAACTGCAGAAAGGGCAAAATCTATGCTAGGGATCGTTAGAAAAAGAGTTGAAAATTACAGTGGTACCTCGGGTTACATACGCTTCAGGTTACAGACTCCACTAACGCAGAAATAGTACCTCAGGTTAAGAACTTTGCTTCAGGATGAGAACAGAAATCGTGCTCTGGTGGCGCGGCGGCAGCGGGAGGCCCCATTATCTAAAGCGGTGCTTCAGGTGAAGAACAGTTTCAGGTTAAGAACGGACCTCTGGAATGAATTAAGTTCTTAACCTGAGGTACCACTGTATATCACGATTGCTGAAGTAACGAAGGAACTACGCAGAGGCGAACGCAGCATGTCCTGGCAACTGCTACTACTTAAGGGTCTAAAACTGATAAATGATACTATCAATTACCTCATGGTGATTGTCAGCAGTAGGCAAGTTCTAGTGGGCAAGTCAAAATGCATCCAAATGAGACTTTTGCTTTTGGGCTTGGCTACCAAGTGGTGGTATATGCCCCCCCCCCCCACATATGCGTAAAAGTTCTTAGAAGTAAATGAAAATTGCTTGTTGTTGTTGTTGTTGTTTAGTCATTTAGTCGTGTCCGATTCTTCGTGACCCCATGGACCAGAGCACGCCAGGCATCCCTGTCTTCCACTGCCTCCCGCAGTTTGGTCAAACTCATGCTGGTGGTTGTATTTGACTGAGTTATTGATAGGACTAGGAAATTCAGCAAATCTGTCAGGCTTCTAGAGTTTGAACGGGTAGAGTTCCTTACTGTTTGTCATCTTCTTCAGGTGCAGAGTGATACTGAGCATCAAGGCAGCCTTCTTTGCTTAGATGCTTCCATCTGTATTTTATACACAGATTCTCATCTTTGTGGGTCAGACACTTTGCTTAGACACCTGGCATATGTTGCTGCTTAACCACTATCTAATGCCAGCAGCATTCAAATAAAGCTACCAGGTGATATTAAGAGGACAGGGGCAAGGTTGCAGGGAATATAGTCACCCTCCTTGACCTTGAAAATACTGAGATTGAATGGATGATAAGTCCATATGTGCGCCTCAGCCCCCTTGCTCATCTTGCCCATGCCTTGTAGTCCTCTTAATGTCACAGCAGCAATCTTCTTGTGAGAAGACTTTGCTTTCCCTTGCTCTGTGAGTGAACTTGCTTATCAGACCAGTATTGCTTTTGCCCCCTTTTACCTGGCATCTTCTTAATATGTATGGAGCATCATTACCTTTCTATTTCTGGTTTGTTGCTGGCTCAACCTCAGGTTAGATTATCTGCTTAAAGGCTTTCTGCCCCACACCTGGTTTGTGGGTTGTTTTCAAGCCGACTGCAAACCCATTCAAAACAGATCTTTGTATAAGACCTATGTTTTGTACATACCTCCTCATAGTTTTTGAAATGTCTTCTTCGTTTCCCCTGGCTGCCTTATACATTCTATCCACGCAGCTTCTAAGAAAAGTATTTTAAATACACACAGTTGGAATGATACTCAACACATGCCAAAGTCAAACTGCTAATCTTGGTAGCAAACTATCTGGAGGAGCTGCAGCCCAGGATCCCCTGGTGTTTGGATCAGCATAAACTGAAAATATTTTCAGGCAGTACTTCCGGCTCTGCCCTGTTTTTAAGTTATTTCCCTTGCACAGTGATCAAAGAGCTGCTTCAGAATGTTCTTTGTGAAGATAACATGTGGTCTGAAAAGCCAACAGGGGGGCTAGTTTCTTATTTATATGCCATTTGTTTATGGGATAAGGGGTTAGCGTTTTGTTTTGTTTTGTTTTGTTTTTATGCATTTTGTGTTCTCATTTTGTATTTTTATGTTGTGAACTGCCCTGCGATTTTCAGATGAAGGGCAGTGTACGCATTCAATAAATAATAATAATAAAATCTGATATCAGGAGAGGAAATCTCATAGAAATCTCAGAACTCCTGTGATTTGTTAAACAACTGCGTTCTTCCTTTGTAGTGTTTTACCCTTTCAGATGTGATGTGTGCTATAGTAAACTTTAGAGATCAATCTACCAAGCTCTTTTGCTGAGCATTCATTTTCATTGAGGCATCCACAAGATATTTGTGGCTGGTTTCCTGTGATTTTTATGACTTCCAGTAGACTTATTCACATGCTCACAGGTATTGTGTGCACTACTTGTAACACTGGTGAAGGTAGCTAGCAATCATTACAATTTCTGGCGAAATTGTGCCCCTTAGGAACATCCTTCTATAGCATGATGTTTTTGTTCATTCTTTGTTTTTGCCCTGCAGCATGACATGCTTTATATTTAATTTGAATTCTCAAGTTCTACTTAATCTCACATGTAACTGTTAGAGAACGGGTTCATGTGATCCATTGATGTGCAGCTGCAAGCTACATTTCTTTCTGGGTTAATGTTCTATGTGTGATTTGTGTCAAACGTGTCCAAGTGTCTTAGCACGTCAGAGCTTAACCCTTCCACCAGGATCTTACTTCCTTTTTTCACTGATGAAGGCTACCTCTTTCTGAAAAGTGCCCTGGAGTCACTCTTTATCCTTTAAGGAGGCTGGATCACTTAAGTCTGTGTTAGTAGTTGTCTTTGTTCAGAATTAGAATGGCTTTCCTCAGTGCCTTGTGGCTTAGCACCTTCTTTTAGATCACTTGTTTAGATTCCCTGGGAGCTTCTATTAACTTTAGGTGTGTGTTTCAGTTTCCATTTCCTAGTCTCGCGCCAAATAACTTTATAATTCACAGCTCTTGGAGTATCACGTACTTAGAAATGCGGAGCTGAGGGCTATGGATATAATTTGCTTTTACCTTTCCTAGGACATGTTGGCAGATTCTCGGTTGCGTGACAGCAGGATGTGTGGTTCAGGTTGATCTTTCTCTTTGTGGAGGTGGCGATTCACTGGTGGTTACTGACCTGCATTCCTTTCCAACAGAGATGCCCCATTGATGCTGTTTCACCTCTTCAACTGGCCTGCAGCTGCTACTCCCTTGGCACAGCTTTGCAGGAACTCCATTCTTTATGTTCTCACATGCACACAACAATTAGTGTTACCAACTTGTCCTTTTAGTGAGACTGTAAGTGAAAATTGTGAGCCTCAAACTCTTTATTTCAGCACTCTCTATTTTTGAGAGTACCAGTAGGCTGAAATAAGAGCTTTAGGTTACACAATGGAATTTATTTCAATAACATGTATAGTAGCTTACAGAACATCCATGAGGTCATCTCTTTTTCCATTATCGTGTTTGTATAATTTGACATACTTTTATCTGGAAGAAGAGTGTGTTTGATCAAAAGTAGGGGGTCCCCTTCTCAGCACAGGTTTGTTTCAGCGTCTTTGAAAGGAGATGCTGAGAAATTCCAAATGTGTCTCAAGAAAAGCTTTAGAAGTCGACTTCTAACTTGAACTGAAGAGCTTATATCTTTTAAGCCAGAGCTGGAGGCTTCTTATCATTGCTGCTGTCAAAATATTATCCCGTGTACTTTTGAAAATCTTGCCTTCACAGTATCTTCTTCTTACACTGTATACATTTTTTGAAAAAGGGCACTGAAATAAAAGTGCAACCTTTCATGGTCATGGTCCAGTCTGTGGTTGCCTGTTGGCGAGTCAATTGTTTCACCAGGAGACATTGACAGTTTCATAGTCTGAGAGGTATACACCTGTTCATCCAGTGTACTAGCAACTCTGTGATTTTTAGGGCCAGAGTTGATGATCTGTCCAGGAGGGCAAATAGTATCTTGAAGGAAAGCAATTTATATTGGGAAAAGAAGCGGGGGGGGGTATAAACAACCCCCTCCAAACACCTTGGCCCTGCTTAAGTTGAAGAACTCCCTCCCCACAGAGTGCGGGACCTTCAGTATATGGCTTCCAGCAAATGCTGAAGACACGCCTCTTTACTCTGGTTTTGACACTTGAGGTTTATATTTTAAGGATGCACCTTATTTCTGTAATTGCAAGTTGCTTTAAACTGTTTTTAATAATGTGTAACCTGCCCTGGGACCTTAAGGTGAACATTGGGTAATGAATTATATATATTTTTAATAAGAATAGCTTCCACTGCCTACTGAATACTTTTTTATTCTGGCAGGCATTTAATTGATGTTTTGTTTTATAGTTTGTTTTATAATTTAAAAAAAAAATCTATTTTTTGTACTGTAAAGACTATTGTAGTTAAGCAGTGTGCAAATTGCTTAAATAAATACCATATTTTTCTGTGTACAAGACGAGGAATTTATATTTTAAAAATTATGTTAAAAATTGGGGGTCGTCTTATACATGGATAGTGCAGTGTGGGGACGGGTGATTGGTTCCTGCCATGAGCAGCAGATTGCTATCTGCGATTGGACGGGTGATTGATGGTCGCGGCAATGGCTGTTGTTGATTTGCTTCCACCGCGGCAATTGGGTGGGCTATTGGCAGGTGCTGTTGGTGACTGGGCAGATGATAGGTGGCTTCGGCAACGTGTGATATTGTCTGCGTTTGTCTTTGGGATTTTCGGCAATCCCTCTTAAAAAAACGCAACAACTCTCAACAACTTTGGGCAATCCGTCCCCTATTTTTTTAATTTGTAGTCCCCAAAAATAGGGGGCGTCTTATACTTGGAAAAATATGGTACACCCACACACCAGTGACTGCTTTTAAAATAGGTCCGCAGATGCAATCCTGTCTCATTGAGCTTGGCCCTTCAGCACTGGATGAAATCTTGCCAAGCGACTCATTTCACTTTGAGTCAGCATGGGCTGAAAAATCCATGTTCGATAGCTTTGTAGAAAGGCTAGGCCAGATTCTCTAACCCTTTATCTTCAGTTTGAATGCCTTAGGCTTGGGGTTTACATGCTAAGCTTGAACTGTTTATTTATCTTTTCAGGTGCTGGAAAACTACTCTGATGGACCCATGACCCCAAAACAGATTTTGCAGGTCATAGAAACAGAAGGCCTAAAGGAAATGAGGTTGGTAGTGTTCTTCGTGTTTAAGTTAAAAGTATGGTGTAGGATGAAGATGACTTCTTTATTTCCTCTAGTGCACCTCTTCCTTGCCTTTAAAAAACTGAATTTGGTCTGGAAATGTTCCATGTCATACTTTAGGTTCAATGGGTGGATTTGAGAATTATTTTATTATTATTTTTTCCAATTTATACACCGCCCTATACCCAGAAGTCTCAGGGCGGTTCACAAACAAGACCACATATAAAATCAAACCAAAAACAATAACCCAATAGCCCTGCATAATCCAGGCATGTCCAAAGTCTGTTTGGGGAGCCTAATTCAACCCCTAAAAAACCCTCAGGAACTTCAGTCCTAAAGAAAGCTCAACAAGTTCAACCTTAAATAAAGTTTAACAACTTCAATCCTAAAAAAAAAGGCCAACAACTTTGGTCGGCCTGGGCCTCTGAAAAAAAGTTTGGACACCACTGGAATCCCATGCAATGCATAGGCTGAATTGCAAGCACTCCCCGCCCCCCCAAACAAAGCAGTTACTTGTGGAATTGTCCCAGGCATGATGAGCAGGTGAATTTGACAAGGCTAAATGTCATGTTTAAACCCAATGGAGTTAGTTATATCATGCTGTTGTAAAATTATCACAGAGACCTTGTACTTCGATGGCTCTTAACTGTTTTTGTCCATCGGGGTGTTCATTAGATTGTATGTTCATTGTTGCTCTTTTTCACCATGTGAGCCTTTTTCCAAGGGATTGTGGAACAGCCTCATTACTCTGCTGCTGGAAGAGCAGCACTGGTTGCTGGTTTGATACTAGACCAGGTTCAAGGCACTTGTGTTAATTCACAAAGCCCTAAATAACTTGGGCCTGAAGTATGTTACGCACTGTCTGATTTCTTACGTTCCACCTTGATCGCTGAGATCCTCTGATGGGACACTTCTGATGGCTCCCCACATGGCCCCTGAGGTTTGGCTGGCCGTCACTAGAGACCAGGTCCCGCCCTGTGGAACTCCCTGCCAGTAGAGGTTCGGCAGGAACCACCTCTCTTCATTCAGACATCTTTTGAAAACTATATTGTTTAGACAGGCTTTTGTAAGATGAGTTTTCTTTGTTAATCAGTGTTTATTGATTCTCATCAATAAATGTTGTACTGGGCCTTGAAATAGTTCTGTAAAAGTATGGATTCTAAATATGTAAATAAATAAATTAATCTCCCCTCCCTCCTGAGTATAAAGTGTGTTATCAAGGCAAGAGCAAACAAGCTTGTTGTTGTTGTTGTTGTTGTTGTCGTCATCATCATCATCATCATCAAAAGATCTCATGGCGGTTTAGGTAGAGATCTGAGCCCCTACATTTATCCATGTGCATTTTATTGTTGAGTTAAAGATATACTACAGACAGAGGGAGGAATTCAGCACTGTGCTATTACAATTGTTCAGTCAGTGCAAGCTTTTCATCTTGTGGGAGGGCAGGGTGGGAGTCCCATTTCACTAGCAGAACTTGTTTCACTGGCTTCTGCTAGTGCATCTGATTAGTTGAATCTGGCCCGTAGTATGTTTGGTACACTCTGACACTGTGTTTCGGGCTGAGATTCAGTTATAAGACATTTCAGAAAATGTTCAGAGTACAATCTTTCATTTTGCAGCACCTTTAACTGAGACAGGAGCTTAAATGCAGGAATGAAAGTGTAGACTTAAATAGATATACCTATAGTCTCCAGCTGCATTTAATAAGGTAGAGAGTTATTTGCAGATGAGATAAATAATTTTATTTGCACTTCAGAAGTAAAGTGCCCCAAGCTGGCTATACCCTGTTACTGTTTTTTTGTCTGAAATAGCTTATCTCCCACCTGGAGTTTGAATATTTTGTGTTAATTCCATTCTGTTTTCTTTTGATACGTCATTTCCTCTCCACATGTCACCGGCATTGCTATGGAATCACTGCATGTCTACAGAAGGTAAATTACTTTCTAAATAAGGATGGGGGCCTCAGCAAAAAATTGTCCTCAGGAATTTAAAATATTTCCTCCTGGATTTCATTTCATTTCAATTTATTTGCCACTCTGGTACAGATCACAACTAACTTTGCTGTTAATTCATTAGAAATGATAACAAGTCGTGCTTCTTTATCAGCTTAAATAATCTTACTGGCTCTTTATTTTGAAGGTGTGACATCTTTTCAAATTAGCTGCATCTGACAGAGCACTTTACGGGAGGGCGGCACAGTGATGATGGTGTAACATTTTTTTATTTTTTTTTAAATTTCACCTAAAGAGCTCTGCTTTCTATGTTTTGTATTTTCTGTGAATGCTTCTCTGTAAAAGGGGCCCCAAAGAACATTTCATCCATTGTTACCATGTTCACGAAGCCAAGGCAGTTTTGTGTTGGGATCCAGCATCGCTAAACATCATTATGTCTTATCATTCTTTCCCAATATTTGATATTCCTAAAGCGGCAAACACATATTTGCGCTTCCTCCTTGCCTTTGGCATTCTGAAATAAAATATCATGTTATAACACAGTTTAGTTTTTTTTTCTTTCTTTCTTTCTTTATTTAAACAGACGCCACCTTTTCCCCTGATGGTACTCAAGGCAGTTTAGATTCTTCTTGTCTCCACATGCAACTGTGTCTGCAGTGATGCGAAAGCATGTGAAATAGAAGGTGTGTCCTGGGCTTTTCAGTTAGGAGCCCAGCATGTAGGCATAGCCAGTGGCTTCTTCAAGGCGAAGCCCAAACCACACAGTTGCAAAGTTTGGATGCTTCTCCCACTGGAAACTGAATATACTGGGAAATATACTGGGGAGGAGCAAGGCGGAAAAATATTTCTGCCCTTCACCATCTCCTGTTTAAAACAATATTTTAGAATCCTTATTGTAAAATTGGTCTTGACTGGACAATATAAAATTATTTGGCCAGAAATTAACTTGAGATTGCATAGCACACCTTTATGTTTCACAAAATAAAAAACAGTAACTCTGTGCAAGTACTGAGGTATTTGGTTTAGTAGTGATTATTCTGATCAGGGAGTTTGATGAAAACAGTATGTTATGCCGTACAGACAGGCTGAAAGTTTCTTTTCAACACTGGGGTGTCTTGCAGTGCTGGGTTGGGGTGGCTGAAGTAGCAGAGTTTCCATAATAACTTTCCTGTTAATTATAAAGCAACGTGTGTCTGAGCTGCCATATCCAATGATGCGTTTTTCCTTCCTTCCTTCCTTCCTTCAGTGGCACATCCCCGCTGGCCTGCCTGAATGCCATGCTCCACTCCAATTCAAGGAGCTGTGAGGGGCTTTTCTACAAACTCCCTGGGCGCATCAGCCTTTTCACCCTCAAGGTAAGACCAGATTGCTCTTCCTCCACACCAGAGATTTGGCAAAGGTTTATCTAGCTGGCAAATATTGAATGAACACCTGTCACATGATAGAATCTGAAATCTAGACTTTCTTGCAAGCTGGGCTCACAGTCAAAGCTAACCTGCTATTCAGCTTACATATTCTAACCTGCTTACATATTCTAAACTGCTATTCAGCTTATATAGCGCTCATAATATTTTTAAATATTTGAGCATTAGTGCCATAAGACCTACTAACCTGACACACAGCATATTGTTTTTTTCTAAAGCCAGTGCTTAAAGCAGCACTTTTAATCAAGGTGGATGGATCGAATTAGTGTGTTTGCTAACCTATCAACCAGTTATTGGACATCAGGGTTCCCTTGGGTTCAGTATTATCCCTGTGATTTTCCACTTTGATTTGTAAGGGAAAATTCACCAGAGCTTTGATTGGCCTTTCTAGAAAGATGCTGTGCAGTGGTCCCGGAACCTGTCCGCCCCTGAAGGAGAAGAGCTGGATGATGCTGCTGATGCCGAAAGCAGTGGCTCCAACGAAGCCAGCACTGTGAGCGGCGATAATGACAGTAAGTGCTTGCCTGGCCGAGTTTTTATTTTGTTAACAGAATCTGTATAACCCTCTCAGCAGTTTACAAAAAAAAATACTGATAAAAATCAGAAGCTAAAAACATTTACCCAAAAATGTCAAAATATAAACAATCATCACAAGTTGAAATATACATTATAAACTTCCGGGGTGGCGCCATCGACAATGGTGGACTCCCTCTGAACAGGAGGGACTAGCTCCGCGGGAAACGGGTCTTCTCCGCTACGGCGAAGCGGGGACCCTTTTAAAAATCACAGGCGGATGAAGCCTGTGACCATGGGACTCAGCGGGCACCCTTAGCGCCCCCCCCCCAACTCGCTAAGGAACCCACTAACGGGCTCCGAAGCGAAGAGGGGGAAGTGGCGCGGTGCTGTGAGTCAACTGCTATTTCCGTGGAGCGAAGCCGCACAGCCGTTGCCGGAGAGCGCTGCCTTTTTCCTGGGACAATTTGGACTCTAAAATAAGCACCCGTGAGTACTTAGACTTTGAACAACTGGACATTAGATAAGGACTTGCGAGCAGAAAGGAATTGGATTTTAAAAACCTATTTTAATTTGGTACGGAACGGGAAGGTCTAAACAGGAAGTCAGCCTTCCGTTCTTCTGTAGACAGAATAAAGCAAAGACAACGTAAACTAGAGCTTAGAAAATCGCCTTTAAAGGATTGGATTTCATCATTTAAAATTGTGGATCCCCCTTCGACAGCAGGAGAAGGAGGGGATCTTTTCCGGACTGTTTAAAGTGAGTTTAAAGTAAAGTAACTTTCCTCCGTCCTGATCCTGGAGCGGGGTGTCAGGACTGACGTTTGAAGTTCATTGACCAGAGACAAGCATTTTGACAGATAGCTAAAAGAAGAGAAACATAGTGATTCCACTGCTTCCCTTCGCATCTTTAAGCAACAAATATTGACAAAGTATCTCAAAAAGGGAAACTTTGTTGCAAGAACAAATAGAAGTTTTCCCCCTAGAGGGAGACTGTGTAACTGTAACCAACTCCAGGGAGCCGGCAGCTGTTACAGATAACAATCGTGGGAACAGGCATTCGACCTTGCAGGACAATGTATTCAGAAGCTTTGTTGTGTGCTTTCTATAAAACAAATGCCCTACTGGAACAATTACATGAAAAGGTGAATTGGATGGCGACTTCGACTAGAAATTTTGAACAGGCAGTGGGAAATTTTGAACAGACAGTGGGAAAATATGTGGAGCCCACTCAGGAATTAAATCAGGAGTGTGTCCTGACAGAACAGGCCCAACAGGAATATGAGTTTTCGGATTTGACAAATGAACTTGGAAAAAGCCAGATTTGGAAAGAAAAAGTTTGGTTTGGCTTGGAAATGGGGGGCTGGATTGACCTCCCTATGCTGGGATGTTTGGACTTTTCAAATCGGACAATGGGCCGTGAGATGTTTGGGATTGTGGGGGCTCTTAATTTCGGAGGGTCTTTGAAACATGCCTTTAAATACCATATGGAATTCAGTGTTGAATATGGAAAAGAGGCTGATCTGTCGAGAAGGGTTAAAAATATTGCCAAGCTGGAGTTACCACGAGCAGGAGACAAGGGAAAATACAGTTACAAATATGAAGAAGAGCTGCGGAAGGGACATGGAAGAGACTTGAGGGCCTCGGATATAAGGCTGCCAGGTTAATGGGCTAGATCGACGGGATAATAAGGACTGACAAAACCCGGAACCAGGAGGAAGGGACGTTGGATGAAGATTGGATTTGTTTGTATTTCTTTTTTTCACCATTAGAACTGTTTTATAAAATTGATGAATGTTAGAAAAATGTTGGAATGAAACTACTTGGCTTTAGTAAAGATGTTTAAAGAATTATGAAAGAATATTATGGTTATGAGAAGTTGGTAAGGATAAGATTTAAGTTTTAAGCTCTAAGGTTTATTTTATTATAGAAAGATAAGATTAAAACAGTTTAGGGTAATGTAATGACAGAATATTATGAAATATGGAAAGGATTTGCTGGGATAATTAATAACTAGGATACAAAGAAAGGGAGGAGGAGGAGGTCAAAGAAAGAAGGTAATGACAGTTGAGGATATGAGAATAATGAATTTGTTTTTAAATGTTTTTTAAGTGTGTGTGATGTACTTTTGTATTTTTTTTCTTTTTGTCACTTTTTCTTATTTTTGAATTTGTATGCATACGGTTGGAAGGGTTTTTTTTCTTTCTTTCTACTTTGTTAATTATTTTTATTTTGTATTTTCTACTGCTTTTATTTTATTTGGTAACACTTTGAAAATTTCAATAAATATCTTATTTAAAAAAAAAGAAAGAAATATACATTATAAACTAAAATGATGTTTGCTTCAGATAGAATTGTAGAGTTGGAAGGGACCCTGAGAGTCACCTAGTCCACCTAGTGGGCTTGCCTAAGCGAAGAAGTTTGGGGCAGGTGCCAAAAACATGTATTATTAATAATTTATTTATTAAAAATATTCATATACTGCTGCATCATAAAAGTATATCACAGCAGTTTATAAAATCATAAAACCAGACAATAACATCATGAAAAGTTAAAAGCAAAAAAATAAATAAAAACCAAACATATCAACACACCATGTTGGGAGGGTGTAAAGAGTAAGGTTACCATAACTTCCGTCATAGAGCTTCAATATGTTGATGACATATTGGAAAATGTTGATCACTTTTCCTACCTGGGCAGTTATTTTCCCACAAGGGCCAACATGGGTGCTGAAATCCAGCATTGCCTGAGTTCTGTGAATGCGGCTTTCTCCCAATTGAAGTGCAGGGTGTTTCAGGACCGGGACATTCACAGGGAAACCAAAAAGCTCGTTTACAAAGCTATTGTACTACCATCCTTACTGAACATTGTGAAACATGGACCGCTTATAAACAACATCTCCAACTCCCCAAAAGTTTCTATCAATGGTGTCTCCCCAAAATTTTACATATCACTTGGGAAGACAGGCGAACTAATGTCAGTGTACTGGAAGAAGCAAAGATCACCAGCATCGAAGCAAAGATTCTTCAGTGTCAACTTCGTTGGACTGGTCATGTTCGGATGCCTGATTATCATCTTCCAAAGCAACTGCTCTATTCCGAACTTAAAAATAGAAAGCGTAATGCTGGTGGTCAACAGGAGGTTTAAAGACTCTCTCAAGGCAAATCTAAAAAAAAGTAGTGTAAACACTGACAATTTGGAAACACTGGCCTGCGAGTGCCCCAATTGGAGAACAGCCTTTACCAAAGGTGTCATGGACTTTGAAGATGCTCAAACTCAGGACGAAAGGGAGAAACATGCTAAGAGGAAGGCACGTTCGGCAAACCCTCATCGTGATGCAACTCCTGCCTGGAAACCTATGTCCCCACTGTGGAAGGATGTGAGGATCCAGAATTGGCCTCCAGAGTCACTTATGGACTTGCCGTTAAGACTGTGTTCATGGAAGACAATCTTACTCAGCTACGCGGGATTGCCAGAGAAGAAGAAGACTCTTAATTGGCTGCCTAGGCCTGGCAGAAGAGAAGAGTTTTCAGCAAGCGTTTAAAGGTTGGCAACAGAAGGCAACAACAGAATATCAGCAAAGTATTCCACAGGACTGGGCCGATGACACTAAAGGCTGTTTTTCCACTGTTGTCAAATAAGCCTCACCAACTGGGGGAGCCTGCCTGGTTTCAGTAGGCAGGAAGTTCCAGACTGTAGTTGCTGCCATGCTTGAAATATAATTCCTTTCAAGTGGAGACTGAGTGGCACTTGTAAAAAGTCAGTTCTACAGATCAAGGTGGTTGAGTGGGCATATGTGAGGTAAGGTGAACCTTCAAGTAAACGAGTCCCAAGTTGTTATGGGTTTTATATACCAAAAGTAACACCTTGAATTGTTCCACTTACAGATTGGCAGCCAGTACAGATCTTTTAAGCAGAGGTGTAATTGTCATTAATTCTACTCATATTGATCCAGAGCAGAACTCCAGTGTATAGTTAGCAGAGTAAAAACTTAAACACGTTGCAGAATTCACAAAAAAATAGATCAAAGGCAATTAGTATTTAATCCAACAGAGCTTTACTGCTGCTGACGGCAAATGAGCGTAATGGTCACAAATCGAATACATTCAGGACTGGCCCTGTCCATAAGAAATCCAGTTGCAGCAGACTTAGTTTAAGTTTACAATAACTTATAAGAAGACTAAAACCTTAACACTATATACAGAACACCACACCAGAAGGAAAAAGAGGTAGAAAAGAGTGAAACCCGGGCTCCTCCTGGCCTTATTATTATAGTCAGAGATAACAGAAACAGTTTAAGCCAGCTTTACTCAGCTTCTCTGAAGGAAAAACCCAAACATCATGAACCTTCTGCTTGTTTCTTTCACACAGAGAAGCTTCCAGAAGCCTCTTGGATTAATTAGAATAGGAAAGATCTCTACACATCAGATCAATACTTTCTGTATCAAAAAAATGCAAACTGACAGTAATATGCTGACATGGGTTTCACTCCTGTGAGCAATCACACTGCAGCATTCTGCACAAACTGCACAAGGAGAGTCCCACCTTGCTGTAATCCAGGCTTGAATTCACCAATGCCTGGATTACCATGGTCAAGCTGTCTCCGTCCAGGAATGTCCAGAGCTGCTGTACCAGCTTCATCTGGCAAAAGGCACTCCCAGGCTACCTGAGTCTCCAGTGACGAAGCTGGATCCAGAACTTGCTTCTTCAGAGGAAGCGCAGCCCTGTCAGGGGCAGACAATTGGCCAACCCTGAGCTGCTTGTTTCTTGCACCAATGTTGATGGGATGATTTTTTTTCTTTTCAGTATCTCTAGATGAAACCTCCTCAAGCGCCTCTTGTTCCACTGAGCCTCAGAGCAAGAATGTACCTGCTGTTCGGGAGAGCCATAGAGCAGCCTCACAGGTAGAATGGGGGCATTTGACTGGGGGCTTGTGGGCAGTTGGGGCAAAGCAGAATGCATCAGAAAGGACAGCAATGCATATAAAACTTTTAAGTAAAAGGAGACGTAAAAATAAAAGAAGGGCTCAACAGAGTTCTGGTGGAGTAGAAGGAGAAACCTGCAGCTGCACAGGTTGACCCGCCGTGGCAGTCCTTCTGCAAAAGTCTCTCCTTCAGTGGCTGCTGTCCCCGAAGGCTGAGTTCTGCCTCCACAATTGGAGGCAGAGTGCTTCTGAACACCAGTTGTTGGGATTCACAAGTGGGGAGAGTGCCCTTGCAAGATTGGGCAGGCAGACTAGAATTGCTCCATAGAAGGGCCACATAAATCACCTACTCCACATTTTTGCTGAAGGAATCCAATTATGTAGATTTGGCAATTCGTCCAAGTATATCCCTCCCCTCCCACCGCTGACTGACTTGGCCATAATATTTCAAAAAGGAGTGCCACTTGGCTCTTTAGGAATGAAACATAATAGGAAGTTCACAGTTTGTGTACGGTCTGCACTGTGACTTCTTCTTCAGAATGTTGATCTGGCTGCTTATGTGCTCGAGGACTAACCAGTTAACGAAGTACAGTGGTACCTCGGGTTACATATGCTTCAGGTTACATACACTTCAGGTTACAGACTCCGCTAACCCAGAAATAGTGCTTCAGGTTAAGAACTTTGCTTCAGGATGAGAACAGAAATCGGGCTCTGGCGGTGTGGCAGCAGCAGGAGGCCGCATTAGCTAAAGTGATTCTTCAGGTTAAGAACAGTTTCAGGTTAAGTACGGACCTCCGGAACGAATTAAGTACTTAACCCGAGGTACCACTGTAGGTGTGTTTTGAATTCAAGCAGAGTCACTGTGATTGGGGAATTCAACTTTGAGTTAGTTTACCCAGGTACACTACCTTAGGGCTTAACCAGCAGTGAGACTCTTTACTTGCTTCCTGACTTGTTTTGCCTCTAGCCTTTAATATAAACCTGCCTTTCTAAATACATAAATTTGCCTTTTGCCTTGTGCTCAGTGAATATTGCAGATATTTGTGCTATGAATATGCCTTAGAATCTTAAGAGTTGAAGGGAGGCATTGCAAGCCACATGGACTGATCTCTTCCCGGCTCAGTGCAGGAACTCTGGAGCTGGAGAAGCCCCAAGATGTGGGGACCTCCAGTAAGGAAGGGAGAGGTGTCATTGCCAAGCTTGTTGCTTTAGCCTAAACTGATGCTTCCTCACCTTTTCTTTTTCCTCGCTGTGTTTCTTTTGGTCTTTTCTGGAATACAGGCAAGCAAACAGAAGAAAAAGACAGGAGTGATGCTTCCTCGTGTAGTTTTGACTCCTCTGAAAGTAAATGGTGCTCATATGGAAACTTCTTCAGGTGAGCCAACTCCCCACCCCTGTTGACTTTGCACATCTGCATGAGCTCTCCAGTACCAAACCCCTATCTGGCACCTCTCACAAGAGTTTCTGAGTGCCATGCGCAACAGAGATTCTTTGGCACTTTTTAGGTCTGCTAGGGCTATGTGCTACACATTGTACCTTGCTCCGAAGGCGGCTCACTGGGAAATTGGTTTAAAGTGTCTCCTAGGCTTTGAGTTCCATCCCTGGCTTCATTTAACACTATTATTTTAACAGAAGAGAAGAAAGCAATAGCTGCAGCAGCCACCACCCGGCCTCTGCAGTTGTAGATATTTGTAGGGCCTCAGCATGAGTAGCCTTTGTTCAGATCTCATGGAACATTCTTGGGTTGTTGTTTTTTAGTAGATCATTTTTATTAAATTTGCAAGAATATAGAAATACAAAAAATCCACAAAAATGAGATGGCAAAAAGATGGTTAGCAGATTAAAATCTTGTACCTTCATCCGTCTCATAGCATTGTTGCAAGGAAAAATTAGAGACATTTCTACTCTAAAATAATAATATTTTTTATTTATTAAATTTATATACTGTACTACCCTCAATCCAAGGATCACTGGAGTGATTTGCAGTATAAAAACCATCAATATTACCATCATCAAACCATCCTAATCATTTATGTTGTTCTTACATCTAGACACTATATAAAAAGAAAAGAATGAGAAGCTCTCTCAGCAGGCTTAGAGGCTGAAGACAGACAGGAAGGGAAGTAATTGTTGCCAAGCATAATGACAGGAGCAAAGGGGGCTTTGAAACCAGAGAGGACTGGGTGGGGCTGCTCCTTTCCTGTTCAGCTGCCTATCCCTTTCTGCGCTTACTCTCACTTCCTGCCTCCACCGCCCCAAAAAACCAAGATAATGGGAGCTGGAATAAATTGTGCAAACTGAGTACGGTAATGTCAAGATTTGTGTTTCTGTAGCGTGGCATTTGCTCACCTGACCATACCCTTACCTATCCGAGTCATAGCTACTTAACTTGGTGGAGGTTGTGTTTAATAAGGTCCAGTGAGGAATGTGGGGAGTGTTTAACGTTGTCTCGTGGGGTGCTCCTTGCTCACTGGTTTCAGGGTTCACAGGGAGACAAGTTGGTGGCGAGAGCAGCAGCAGCAGTGGTTCCTCTGCCCTGAGTGGCAACACTGCTATACGCAGCAGGACAGAAATCAGCAGGGACCCTCCACAGCTGATCCGAGGATTCCGGAAACCCACAAGTGGTAGGTGCAGTCTGTTGTCTGTATCTAGATTTCTTGCTTCAAACAAAAGGAGCGCAGGGCTTTTATAGGCAAGGCCAGGCATTCAGGTCTGCCTTGGAAGTCCTGCTTTTTGTACCATCACCTTAGACCAGCACATTTATTTCTGCAGGCATTTAATGTATAGTTTTACTGATACATTAAACTGATTTTTGGAATTTGCTGTCTTTAGATGGCAATGTGCTGAATTTATATTTTTGTAATTGATGATAAAGGTGGTTTTTGGTGGTGTTGTTCATTGCATTGCCCTGTGGGCAGAACAATATAGAGCATTGCATAATTTTAACCTTCCTCTATACTCCTGTGAGTAAACAAACTCCATACAAATCCTCAAGGAGCAGGAACGAAGAGAATCAGTTACTGTACTTGTGCAGGACTATATTTAAAGTTTTTGATAGAATCTTTGTTCACTTTTCTCTGTCCAGACAATGAAAATCATTTGTAAAGCATGCTTGGTTTGTGTTTCTTCTACCACCACCGCATGAGCTGTTGGTGTTTTCCTGTGGTGGTTTTCTAAATGGCTGGAGGTGGATGCTCCTGTTGGCCCCTGAAGTATAGGGCTGGGGAGGTGTTCACTGCCCGAAGCAAGCAGCCCCAGGCCAGTTCTCTCTCCTTTGGGGGCCTGTCACTTTGTGGGGGGGGGGTAGTTGCTACACTCATTCATTCACACATCTGTCCAGACATGCTCCAGCTGTTTTCCTCCTGAAGCAGAAAGCCTCAGTGGTTTCGAAGTGGCTCCATTGTGCTTGGCATTCAGGTGATGCCAAGGTCTTTTGAAAGACCTAATTGTTGAAGCTGCCTGTATCGGCCTCTACTGCTGTCTGTGTTGATTTGTGGAAACCTGCCTGGAAGCGCCTTCTGTGTTTCGGAGGGCTACAGCTACCGGGTTGCGGGCAGGGCCTCTTGCGTATAGACTGCGTAAATATTCCTAGTTTTATGAGACTCTTCGGAATCTGCAGGACAAATGAAGAGGAACCGAGGCGATGATATAGACTTTGAGACGCCTGGCTCCATTCTCGTCAACACAAACCTGCGAGCGCTGATAAATTCCAGGACCTTCAATGTTTTGCCCCTGCACTTCCAGCAGCAGCTTCTTCTCCTTCTCCCTGAAGTGGACAGGCAGGTACGGATCCCCACCAGCCACGTCTTGCCCCTCTGTTCTGCGACACTTGTGCAAGCTTCTCATCTGCTGTGGCTTGTTTCCTTTTAGGCCGGGACGGATGGGCTGATGAGGCTGAGTGGGAGCGCTCTGAATAACGAGTTCTTCACCCACGCAGCCCAGAGCTGGAGAGAGAGACTGGCTGATGGTAGGTGCCTGGGGTGGAGCGGCTGCTTTGGTAGAGGCCAGACAGTGTATTAAGTCGAACTGCCCGGATCCTGCGTTGCGGTGGTGCAAGTCACTCTGCGCCTGTTTTGATTTATGAGGTGGCAGCAGCACAGGCTCCAAACAACCTTAACAGAAACATTGGCGGCTTTTCCCCAGTGTCAGCATCCATCTTCTTCGCTGACCTTCCACCTTGCAGACAGATTCAGTAAAATCTAATTCTGTCTGCTTTAGCAACAAAGCCTGTTGGAGTGCGAGGCCTCGGATGCCTCCTGCTCTGCTCAGTTGTGGAAGGTGACTTGGAAAAAAAAATCTGTAGGAAGCTTCTGGTGGATTATGAGGCACCGGTGGTGATACCTCTGTATTTTCAGGGCAGATCAGCAATTTGGCTCTTAAGTATTTTGAATGACGTGCATGGCTCAGAAGTACAGTGGTACCTCAGTTTTTGAATGTCTCGGAAGTCAAACGTTTCGGTTTTCGAACGCTGAAAACCCGGAAGTATCCATTTCCGAACACGCCTCGGAAGTCGAATGGCTTCCGCTGAGGGCCCCCCCCCCCCATTTTCTCTACTGGATTTGCCAACCGCCCTTTGCGCCTCGGTTTTCGAATGTTTCGGAAGTCAAACTGTCTTCTGGAATGGATTACGTTCGAAAACCAGGGTACCACTGTACTTCCACCTCCTAGGCCAGGAAGCCACTCTAAAATCAGAGACTCGTGCAATTGTTTTTATGAATTTATTTTTAGCCGACTTGATCACTGTATACTTTTAGTGAAAAGGCAGGGTATATAAGATCCTTTCAGCTATGAGTCTGTATTAAAAGATTAAAGATCCTCATCTTGCTGAATCCCTGGAGGGAGAAATCTCTAAAGTGGAAGGCAGCCAAAATACTTTTAGGTTTCCTTTTATCTCCCTTTCAAAGATAACAGCTTTTGGCACCAACTTGGATTCTAAGAAACCTGTGAGCGTCTGCCATGGAGCTACTTTGTTGCAAACGATTCTGGGCTTTGTTCTAACCTAGGGCACCCTCTTTGGCATTGACATTGTCCTCATGCAAACTAAGTAGGTGCTTCGGATCTTGCCCAGGCTGTCTTCTAGCTATACATTGCAGAGGACAATTAGTTGTGTGGTGAACAAGCTGCATTTGCGGGGGGAAACCTTGTTCACCATACTTGTTTCCTCATTGAGGAACCCCTGAAATGCTGGGGAAAACTCCAATGTTCCCCGGATCATGGCTCCCCTGTTGCTCTGAAGCATTCAGCTGCATCCAACGGGGCTTATTCCCCTTGCTCTCCTTTTCTCATGCACCCTCTGGAGCAGATCTTGAAGATGCATGAGGGACTGCAGGGGAGAGGAAAAGGGGAGATCTTTTGCAAAAGCAGAATGGCAGCATTGTGCTTCCACCTTTAAGACAGTTAGTAGAACTCTGTCAGTTAAAGAAAAAGTTGTTCATATGTAATTAACATAAGATTTCAAACAACATGTAAAGCATTCAGCAAAGTTTCCCCACGTTGATCGGTTTTTAAAAATGATTTTGCCCCAATTAATGCTGTCCCTTTGGCACCAAGGCAGAGCCCCCCTGAGATCATTACAGCTCACCTGACAAGAGCGCAGAAGTATGGTCTCTTCTGCCCTGGACTTAACCCTGCCATGCACTTTCCTGATGCGACTTTTGTTGAGTTGGGATACTAGCACCTGCTGCTTCCAGCTTCTCATTGTTGGCTTTTTTGCAGGGGAGTTCACTCATGAAATGCAGGTTCGCATAAGACAAGAAATGGAGAAGGAAAAGAAAACAGAGCAGTGGAAGGAGAGGTTTTTTGAGGACTACTATGGGCAAAAGTAAGTGGGTGTTTTTATTGAATACCTTTAAAAAACAAAACCACAAGCTAACTTCACCTGTTTCTGTGCTATCACTTGTGGGGGGGGTGTAGTGTTGCAAGGGGACCTGCAGAGGTTTAACTCTCTCAGGGAGGCCACAGTTCACCATCTCTACCTCCAACCTTTTAATTTTTAAAATGATATTTTACAGGTGATATCCAGCCAAGTCATACTTGGAATAGACTAATCTAATTTAATTGACCCAAGTTCCTAATGCTGGCTATCACCCTAGGTCTTTCAATTTGCAAGGGCAATTAAAGTTCTGGCAAATGAATATGAAGGCAATGGGTTGACCTAGCAAGAATTAGCACTTTTTAAAAATGCTGTAGAAATTCAACGCAGAATTGCTTTATAATGTACAACAACCTAAGTTTATCCTGAGGTGCCCCAGTTGATCTTGGCTACTGGCTCAGGCAAGGTGTCAAGTTCCAGTAGAATCAGCAGTAATACCATTAACTAATATGGGGTTCCTTTCACTTCTTGCCTTGTGTCCCTGACCTACAGGCTGGGCTTGACTATTGAGGCGCCTCAGCAAGAAAAAGCAGCTCCAGTCAACAGAGAGACCAGGGCTGCCTCAGCCGCCCAAGAGGAATCTCCAAGGGTGCAGCGTGGCCCTGTCACGCGGCAGCGAGACGGACACTTGAAGAAGCGCGCCCTCCGGTGCAGAACCCGGGAGAGCCTGAGCAAACTCTGCGAGGCAGAGCACGTGGAGGCGACGGCCAAAGAGGCACCGTCCCCGGAGCCGAAGTCCCCCAGTCAGAGGGACGCGAAGCCGGAAGTGGACCTGTGCGAAAGGAGCCGGGTGTCTCCGAAATCGGAGATTTCGCCTGAGGCCACCAGGATCCAGAGCAAGGTAGAAGATGCGATGTCGGCGGCTGCCGCGTTGGGCAGAATCCCCAGCCTGTCCCAGGAGCCCCAAGACCAGGAGTCCAAGGAGCAGAAGAGGAAGTGCTTTGAGCAGGCTGCCTCTGCCTCCTTCCCCGAGAAGAAGCCCCGGCTTGAAGATCGTCAGTCCTTTCGTAACACAATTGAAAGTGTTCACCCAGAAAAGCCACAGCCCACCAAAGAGGAACCCAAAGTCCCACCCATCCGGGTAGGTAACAGCCTCATACCAGGTCATACAGGCCTTTGGGGACCAGGGCTAGAGCGACCTGAAGCAGCCTGTGTTCGATACGTCTCCCTCCCTCTCTCTCTCTCCCTCTGGGCATGGGTGGGGAAGGAAGGCAAGCAAGCAGGTGGATGAGCTTGGAAACGCCTTCCCTCCCTCAGAAAGAAAGCTTATTCTCTCTTCTGTTTGCTCGTCTGTAAATGGAGGGTTCCTCTTGCAGTTACTTCCAACAAAGCCTTTTGCTTGGTTCAGTATAGCTTAAATGCACCCATGCCATTAACAGCTTTGGGCACTGTCCTCTTAACTTGGCCCCGCTTGGACAACTTTGGAGAGCCTCTCCCATACCCTCTGCCCCAGTCCCATTTGGGTCAATTCCTAGAGCTTCACTCTTAGCAGAGCTTCAGCTTGCACCTTCTGGGTGAGAAAAGGCCTGAGTTGGAAAGGTTTTCCTGGGCATAGATTTTTTTACAGAAGTGTTTTATTTGCTGCCTGCCCAGAGCTCAAGGTTCTTGCAAAAACAATGAAAAGCATTAAAAGACAGTACAACAAAAACCCAACTAGCTTATCAGATACTACTTCTTCCTAGGACTCTGGTAATGAATGCCTTTACCTGACTGCATTCCCAGAAATCTTTTGAGAATAACAGTTGAAATGACGTGCTTGCAAGTTTTCTGGAGCCCCATCGAGGGCTCCTGTGCAGTAATTCTAAAGCACACATACCTGAGCACCAGTGCATTGTGTAAAACGGTTGTTGTTCTTGTCTGCTTGTTTTACAGATTCAACTTTCCCGCATCAAACCCCCCTGGGTGGTTAAAGGTCAGCCAGCCTACCAGATATGTCCTAGGATTATCCCCAATACAGAACCCTCCAGCCAGGACAGAAACGGGGACTCAGCCTCTCCTGACTTTAAGGCCTGTGCTGTGCAAGGCAGGATCCAGCGAGAGGCTGCTTCTCCTGCCACCGCCATTGGAGGTGGGGGTGGGCCGGGAGGAGGTGGAAGGAACACGGATGAAGGCGGTGGTGGTGGTGGCGGCAGCAGCGGCGGCTGCAGGATCCGGCAGCCCGGTCACCGCCCCAAATACTGGCGACCGAAGAGAACTCGTGGGAAGTGCAGGTCAGATTTACAGCGAGCACAGCTATTGTCGTTTTCACACCTAGAAGAGGAGACCGGCTTTGAGCTGGCCAAAGCGGACTCTTGCGTGCAAAAGGCCTCTTCCCTGCAGGCTGAGGGAGATTTTGCATTTGGGCAGGCCTCCAGCCTGACATCACTTCGGTCTGAAGGTGCTACCCAGCTTGCAGAAGCTTCCGGGGGCAGCTGCTTGGGAGGCGCTGTGGCCGAGCCGTCCCTTGGTCACCTAGCCACGGAGACGCCAGTGGGCAGCTCTGGGCAGCTCCCAAGTGATATAAGTAGTGAACCGTCTGCAGGCGCTGCTTCCCAAGAGGGACGTGGTAGGAAGGAGGGAAGTGAATTTTCTCCAAGCAGCAAACAAAGCCGTTCTCCAGTGGCTCTCTTCAAAGGTGCAAGTAGAACGGAAGGGCATGAGCATGGCCACTGTTCCCCTCCGAATTGTGCCTCTATTCTGAAAGAAACCACCTCTGGTACTTCTAGCCGTACCGTTGGTCTGGAGAGCAAACTAGAAAAGGGGCTAGATATGACACCTGGCCCAAACATAGAGGAGCATATCCCCAATCCAGAGAACTTCAGCATTGTCGGGACAGAGGAACTCTCCTCACAGTTCCACATGTCCCCAAGCCAGCTGGCCCCACAGCAGCACGAAAGAGAAACGCCAGGCGGGCTACACACCACCAGCAAGGATGAAGCTTCTCTGTCGAAGCCATTGCTGTCTGAAGGCCTTCCCCCATGGGAGGTGTTGCTGAGGACAGGAGTGGAGACAGACGGACAGCAGGCGAAGGCCAAGCCAAGCACCAGCCCCTCCAGTGACGAGGAAACCAGGAGCATTCTGAGCGAGACAACAGAGACAGCATCCGACTTGGAAGCTGAGCTGACGGATGAGAGCGCAGAGTTGGGGCAGCACTACAGCAAAGCTACCGAGAAAGGAGCTGATCCCGACAGGGGCCACCAGGAGGAATATAACAGGATCAAATTAGAAAGTTTGGTTAGAACTGACACTTCCTTGTGCAGGGAGGGCTTGCCGTCAGAAGCAGGGGCCACCAACACCTGTCAACCGCAGGCATCTCGTCTGCAGGAAGCTTGTGAATCTTCCCTCCGTGTTGATGCAGAAGGCCAGGAAAGACCTCTGGTGGTGGAGACCCCCAAGCCTCTGTCTATAGAAGCAAGCAACCCTCTGGTGGTTCAGTTGCTGAAGGGAAGACTGCCTCTCAAAGCAGTTCTTCCAGGGGCCCATGGCAGCCCTAACATAGTAGCTGCAGCCTCCTCTCTGAACAAAGTTTGTTCTTTCCCAGTGGAGAGCAAGTGCAGGAGTTCCCTTTCCCAAAAGCCCTCTAGGGATGAGGGGTTGGACATAAGTGGTGAAGTCGGCAATGGATACTGTGCACCAAGGTTTCCGAGGGACTTCCCCAAGAGGCAGTGCACTTCTGGCCCAACACCTTTGCCTGTGGAGAGGGTAGAGAAGGACCCAGAGAAAAGCTCAGACTCTCCAGATCGAGCAGTGGGTACTTCCCAGAAACCTGATAAGCTGGGCCTGGGAGGAGCAACGTTCTCTTCCTGCACTTACAACAATAGAAAAGATTCCTCTGCCGCTGTCCCTGCAGAATCTCTTGCCCCTGGGAGCCCAGAAGAGAAGCTGAAAGCAACCGGCACAACCTCTCTGGGTCCAGATCAACCGAGAGGAGGAGCTCTTGGGAAGAAGGTCTTTGGCTCTGGCTTCCCCTGCAGTGCAGCTGCCAGAGCCCAGTACCCCAGAGTCCTGGAACCCTCTCCCATCCTGGGCATGCTTTCACACAGTAAGCTGCTGCCGCCCCCCAAGAGTGCCGCGCCTGGACATGGCGTGCAAGTCACACGGGAAGACTGGCCTCCGAAGCAGCGTGCGCACGTTGGAGGAGGCGGCGGCAGAGGAGTGGAGAACAAGAAGGTCCTGCCATGCTCTGGCCCAGCCAAGAGGAACGTGGAGAAGAGGAAGGAGGCCCCTCCAAGCCCTGTGGAGCTGATGGAGCACCTGCAAAGCAGCCCTCTTGTTGGGAACTTGCCCTTTTTCAAGTGGCCAAGGGAACTGGGGAAGGGACTTGCCCAACCCCTGGAGCCTTCCTCCATCCCTTCCCAGCTCAACATCAAGCAGGCGTTTTACGGGAAGCTTTCAAAGCTGCAGCTGAATTCTGCCGGCTTTAATTACGCCTCCAGCGTGCCAGGCTTCCCCAGGAGCCTTGCAGGAAGCATGATGCAGCTAAGCCACAAAGCGAACTTTGCCGCGTCCCGTGGCATGTCCCTCTCTGCACAGATGTTTGCCGATAGCGGCAGCATGGAAGAGATTTCACTCAAGTGTTCATGCAGCCTTAAAGCCATGATCATGTGCAAAGGCTGTGGGGCGTTTTGTCATGACGACTGCATTGGCCCCTCCAAGCTTTGTGTGTTGTGCCTTGTGGTAAGATGATGAATTACGGCCCTGGAAAAGGGATTGGGGGGGGGGGAGCTGTATATTTCGTGTGTCTGTTTTGATAACGAGGATTCTGGAATCTGTACACAAGATATTCTGGTCATAATAGAGGCAATGTTAGCACTGTATATTTGATTTTCCTGCTAGGATTGGACCATCCCGTTTCTGAGGGGTTCCCTGCCCCCACCCACAAGAATTGCTGAACATTCTGCTTGCTTAATGCCTTTCTTGGCCCTAGTGATTTGTGTTCCTTGAGCCCTTTGAGGAGGGAGGGTTTGCTCCATGGGAACTGGAGCCAGCACCATCCTTTTTTCTTTCTTTTTTAGCGGCTGGGTTAAGTAGACCCCGCTTGGCAGGGGGAGCAGAATTCAGTCTTCCATTCTCCCTTCCTGCAATCTCCCTGGCTTGGGTTGGGGGAGAGAGGTGGTTGGTTTTTCTAGATCCTTCCACTTAGAGAGAGCAGGAAATAAATGGTTGTGGGCTTCAGGGCTGGACGGCAGGATGAGGGTCACCACCGAGATGGTGAGTGTGGCATCATCTTCCGTATTGGAGGGGCCTGGCTGTGCGCAGCTGTGTCAGGGCAGAGGCTTCAGCTGCCATTGTCTTCTGTCGCAGGCAGCCTCTGCGCCAGAGGACTTGTAACCACCAAGGGGCAGTGGGGCTGGGTGTGACCCTTTTATTTTCTAAGCAGAAATTTTTTAACTTTTTGTTCTTGGGTGTAAAAAGTGAAATGTTTGGCTCCTATATGTACCCTCTATGCATCTGTTGGATCATGTATTTATATGTTGTACACAGTACTGGGCAATTCTGTAAATTGATGTTATGTACATAAAAGGGTTTTTTAAAATTCATTTATTTTTCAGGCTGCAGCAGTATTGCATTAAAGTGGTGTCGGTTACTAATTGCTGTCCATAATCGGAGCTGTTGTGTTCTGTCCTGCCTCACGCCTGCAACGGCCTCTCCTGCTCTCTGAGCGAGAGGTGCAGCGTTTGTTTCAGGTCTCGCTCAGCTGCTCTGGCTCTGAAGTTGTGCTTCTCACTGCCCCTCTTGCAACTCTAGAGGGAGCTGGAGGCAAAAGCTCAGGTGGCTCGTTTAGCCGGTGGGAGCAGGCAAGCCAGCGCACCTCGCCTTGGGGTACCCTGCGTTGGCTGCAGCGGGCTTCCCTCTCGAGGGGCAAGGGAGGAAGCAAAGACTCCATTTTCATTAGAGCAAATGGATAGCGAAGGTCAGTCATCTTCCTCTTCTCCTTTAGCTCCTACCTACCTCTTCCTTGACCGGACTCCTCTTTTTCATTAATTGTAGCCCTCCCCGCTCAAAAGCTATAGAAGTGTAAAACCTGGACCTCGTTTTCCAGAAAGGTTTACTCTTAAATCAATGTAGCAGCTTTTTAGTTGGAAACATGAAGATGAGAGAGGTTAAAAGAATTGCGGTATTAAAGGCAACTAAGCTGATGGTCTAAAACCTGCTTACCAAAGATGGGGGGGCAGAGTTGGGGCCCCTCACTCTGCACCCCCTCGGGGCCACTGTAGTGTACAGACTGATGCTGGTCTGGTGGGGAGGGGGAGTCCTCTCTGATGACCCCTGGTGTTGTATGTCCCTTGTGGTATTGGAAAAAAAATAAACATTTTGAAAAAGCAAACTTGTGGTTTTAATCTTATGATATTTCACCAGTTCCATGCATGGTAATTAGCAAGGAGGGATGTTCTGGAGACTTGCTTCTTGTGCAATGCAGTAACACAGCTCCCTGCTGGAAAGCATCCCACACTGAAGTTGCCCTGGGTGGGGCTGCACTCCCCTAGGAGATTTGCAGATGGGAGGGGTGCTCCTGTGTTCAATGCTGTCGTGAGGTTTGGGTGGTCTTGGCGGCTAGGATTGCCTTTTTCAGCTCTGGCTGGTTCACTAACTCCAACCGCTGCTGGAGGGAGATGACTCGGCCACCATACTCCATGCTCTGGTAACTGCCATATTGGATTATTGCAGTGCACTGAATGTGGGGCTGCCCTTGAAGACTCCTCGGAAACATTAGTTGGTCCAAAAATGCAACGGCTACATTACTGGCTAGGGTTCTATTTAACATGTGTTAAGGGACGTGGGTGGCGCTGTTGGTCTAAACCACAGAGCCCAGGGCTTGCCGATCGGAAGGTCGGCGGTTCGAATCCCTGCGACAAAGCACGTCAAAAGTACAAGTAGATAAATAGGTACCATTCCAGTGGGAAGGTAAACGGCATTTCCGTGTGCTGCTCTGGTTTCGCCAGAAGCAGCTTAGTCATGCTGGCCACATGACCCGGAAAAACTGTGGACAAACGTCGGCTCCCTCGGCCAGTAAAGCGAGATGAGCGCCGCAACCCGAGTCATTCACGACTGGACTTAACTGTCAGGGATTCTTTAACCTGTGTGTTAAAACAGCTGCACTGGTTGCCAGTTTAGTTTTGGGCCCAATTCAAGGTGCTCACATTGGTGTTTAAAGCCCTCAATGACTCTGGTCCCAAATACCCAAAAGACCACCTCAGGTGCTGAGATTGGTAGGGGAGGCCGCCTGGTGGTAGTTCCTCTGTCCTTTAAGAGGCCTGGAAGGTGGTAGACAGAGAGATGGCCTCTGTGGTGGCCTTTAAGCTATGGAACTCCCTCCCCGCACCCAGAGGTGCACCTAGCAACTTTATTATAAAGCTGACATCAAATGCTGAAGAAAGGTGTCTGTTTGCCCTGGCTTTTGGCATGAGGTGCATATATTTATTTTTTCATAAGTTATTTTAAACTGGTTTTAATGTAACTCATCCTGGGACCTTAGGGTGAAGGGAGGATGCTTAATTAATTAAAATAATAACAGATTGGACCAGAACACTGCTCTGCGTAGGCCTACAGATGGGAAAAGTCTACAGCTGCTTGGTAGCCACACTGGAAACTAGAAGATGCATTCTGTTTGTTATACAGTGTTTATTAAGTAGATTCAGTCTTATAATATGATATACAGACTCAAAAAAATTCCACATACTTATGAAATCAGTGCATTTAGCAAGTAATACCATGGATGGAAAGAACCGCTCGATTTAAACAGCTCGTTGGTCTTTTTAAGTGAATGGGACAAGGAGGTTGGCCTGTGCTACTCATTTCACAAACAGAACAGAATTAAGTTGCATTACATAGAACAAACACACGTTCTAAGAATTAAAATATTAAGCCACATTTACTGGAAAAAGATCCACTGTATATAACACAAAAAGTATTTCCATAGCACATGGAGGAGGAAGTGCCCATCTGCTTAGAAGAGCCACATGAAGTTGCATAGGTGCCTGTCGGGGAAGGTCTTTTTTTTTTTAGAATTCAAGAGATTTAAGCCATAAAGTGTCACCTTCTCAAGCTGGTTTTAAGTGCCATTTCCTTCCTCTAGCGTCTCTAGGGAAGTCTGGGTGCCTCTTGGGCTTTGTCAATAGCTGCTGAAGGTCTCGTTCCTGGGTGCCCCACAGCCCCCGTTTCTTGTGCCTTGGTGCTCAGGAAGCAGAAGACAGAATTAAGTAGTGCCATCCTGTGGACTGACTAGCGAGGGAGATTCTAGCTGTTTGCTTTCACCTTAGTCCTACCGTACTAAAGATCCCGATAGCTGAGCTGGTCGCTGGAGAACACGGAATGGCTTGTGTACAAACCCTTTGGGTTGCAGCAGCACATCCCAGGAGTGGGGCGGGCATGCGCGCTTGTGCACAGAGATGGGCAGGGTGCCGATGAGAGAGTCTGTGGCTCTGCTAAGCAGATGAACAAGGGTGAGGGGGTGTCTCACCAAGAGCAGGTCTTGCAGAACACGGGATGTGCTGGGAGTTCTGTACATGTAAACAGTACACTTTCACTGAGTCCAAAGTCAGGAGCAAAAAGTACAAAGGTTCACATTGGTCTTAGGTAGATACAGGCGAAGAACTGAGCTGTACAGCTCTGAAACAACAACCAAACCGAACTTTCTCTAAAGCACCACTAAATTATATAAAAATCAGACCATGGACAGATTGTAGTTGGTATTCCGGTGAAATCACTAGGCTACCTTGTAAAAAGTTTTACAAAAAATTACAAATCAAAATCTTATTTAACCCTCTGAGTTCAAAGCAGCATTTCTCGTAAATGAACTGGTACTAAACGTTACAGCCGTCTATGAGAGAGGGGAGGGCCTTCCAGTGTTGGGAGAATGTTTTTTTGGGGGGGGTGTTTCTACTTGGAATCCTGCGAATGCCTTTCCCTGGCCCAAAATGCTGCTATGGGGAAGGGACTTGTGGGTGGAGATTTCTCCTCGGTTTTTGTAAAAAGACCTGCTAGCCCATGAGTTCTGTGGGTTCCTGTCCTGTTTTTAAGAACAGGTGGGCTGGGCCTTCTGCAGGAATCGGGGTCCCTACTCAACAGGGATCATCGGCTGAAGACCACAGAGATGTCCTAAGACAATTAGAGCTATAAACACACACACGAAAGATGGCTTCCGTGGCCCGAATGTGACCACGGATGCTATACTTACCTGAACTCCACCCAACCCTGATGTCGGTTGTGAGCCCCGGTTGGCTTTCCCGTTGGTCCCTTTCCATGAGCCTTATCAGATCAGTCTCAAAACATTCTAACCAGTGGTTTAAAAAACGAAAGCAGCAACATACGCACACGAAGCCAAGTTCCAAAGTGATCTAGTGAAGAGGACTCTAAAAAGTTACACCCGGGGTGGGGTGGGGTGGGGGAGACCTTTACCTAAGCAGCCTGTTCTCTTGGGTAAACAGCCCCCCCCCCCACGCCTCATGGCTATGGCTCCTGGTGGCGCCTCCAGCAATGCGAAGGCCGCACATGACAAAACCGAACACCAGGATTTTATTACGGACAGCGATTGTCTCTGCCACCCTTTCAACGCTCAGGGTTGCACAGAAGCGGTGTGGTAAGGGCTGATTCTTTCCTGGGCCTTTCACAATAATAAATATTTACAGAAAATCAAAGTAGAGAGGGAGAAGCAGCAGGTGACGCGCACCTGGGTGTTCTCTGCTGCAGAGGAAATCAAGAGAGAAGGGGGGCTGGAAGGAGGGCCTTCCCTGGAACCCCTGGGGTGTCACTCGGCGGACTCAAAATAGAGAAACTCTGGGGATGTGAACTAGGATCAGGAATTCTCATGTGCAACAAAGCCACGCTCACGGAGAAACAATGCAACCGAGCCACGAACAGCCGCAATTGCCAAAGGTCTGCAGTAGTTTGTTCCTGAGAACTTCTTGGGTACAAAATGTGGCTTAAAACTTAAGTCTGATCCCAAGCAAATATACGGGGAAGAAAGTTCCTCTCAAACAAGCAAAAGTCGTTTCCGTACAAACTGGGCGTAGAAATGGAGTGTTGTATTTCTTTCACCTCATGAAACAAGGCAAATAAAAACTCTGAACAAAAGAAGTTCACTTCCGATAGGAAAATGGCCCAGTATTCCTGGCCTATGGGCCCTAAATGGGAGAGCTTCCAACTTAGGAGTGCTGCTGCTGCTGCAAATTTCTCCTAAACTTTGCAAGGGCTGGTACTCTGTGGCCCTTTCCCTAGCAAGCTGTGGCATCACGGGGAAGCTTGGGGGCAGTCAAAGTTACCCAGCTGGGAGCAGAGGGGAGGTGTAGCAAATTCACCCCATCTCCGAGGCCTTGGGCTTTCTGGTGTCCTCTGCGGGCACTGAGCAGTTCCCACGGCCTGGCTCTGCTGCCTCAGCTCCTCCATTCCTGATTTTAGCAGCACTGAAAAAATATTGCACTGAGCAAAAAAGCAAGTGCATTTCGTGGGTGGAGAGGCATGGGCGGGGGCTGTGGGAAGGAGAACTGGAGGGGAGAAAGTAGTGGCTCAAGCCCAGTTCCACGCATCAGAAACTGGGCTTCTTGCAGGAGTCCTTTGCCTAGTTGGCTGCAAAAAAGCCTTTATAAAAAAAACAAAACCCTTCCAGGAATGACGTGAACAGGAAGCTGCATTTCATCCCTTCCCTTTCCCCTTCATGTAGCTAATGCAACCCTGCCCCTCCCCAAAAAACAAAGTTAGGAAGGGCAGCGAGGAACAGGCCTGGTCTGCTGGCTCAAATGCCCCTGAGGGTTGACGACTGGACTCTCCCCAAGTCTGGAAAAAACCCACAACGCAGAGTGAGGTAGAGTGTGGAGGAAGAAGGCTGGGCAGCTGCTTCTCTTCTGGGCCCCAGGGGCTTTTCCTTTAAAGTGACCAGAGCAAGTCCTGCTAACTGGAAGTGGCTGGGGGACGGGGCTGGCCTCTGAGCCCCGCGGCTTCTGCCATAGGGCTGCCTGGTGGAAAAGTGGGAAAAGAATCAGAGGGTCTGCAGCTGCCTGGGCGGCTGGTCTCCTCATCCTCACCCTCCAGCCCCCCGGGAACATGGGACGGAATGTGTGACGGTGCAGGATTAAACCTCCTCCTCATCTGACAGACACAAAAGTGGCAAATCTGTACAAACTCAAAAATTCATTTTCAAAAAAAGAAAGAAAAATAAATTAGGGGGTGGGGGGAGAGAGGGAGAAGGGGAGGAGAAATCCTGGCGAGGGAGGGCCCGTTTCTCAATAAATATGGAATTTCTAAGACATGGAAGAGGCAGGATGGGGGGGGCAGGTGCTGGAAAGGGGGCTCTACAAAAGTAAATTCTGACTGTGCCTGTAGCTCCATCCC